ATTTTTGTTATTTCCTTCATTGGGTCCCTTGTTCATTCATTCATTCATTTGGTCCTTCATTTATTTGTTTCCTTCCTCATTCCTTCCTCCCTCCTTTCATTTATTCATTCTTTCCATTGTTCCTTCCTTCCTTAGTTTGTTGAGTCCTTACTTGAATCCTTACTTCGTCATTTGGTCCTTCCTTCGTTCCTCTCTTCATTCGCTCATTCAGTCATTCGTTCGCTCTCTCATTTATTCACTCGATTATTCATTCATTCATTAATTTGTTCGTTCATATTTTTGTTCTTTCCTTCTCTAGGTTCCTTGTTTATTCATTCCTTTGTTTGTTTCTTCATTCCTTTGTTCGTTCCTTCCTTCCTTCATACATGTTTTTTTCCCTTCATTCCTTCCTCCCACCCTTCAATCATTCAATTATTCATTCGTTTGTTTGTTCGTTCATATTTTTGTCCCTTTCTTCATAAGGTCCTTTATTCATTCGTTCCGTCCATCCTCCCTTTCTTAGTTTATTCAGTAGTTCCCTTAAATCCTTCCTAAATTAGTTTAGTCCTTCCTTCGTTTAGTCCTTTCCTTTCATTCTTCTTTTATTCCATTTAGTGATTGATTAAGGTTGTTTGGTGATTTCAGTCATCATATAGACGCCATCCTTCATATTCTCATCAGTGACATGCAGTCTGTAAAACGTCTCTGGGTCATTGCTTGTAAAGATTTCGGACCATCTTCTTCGACATTTTTAATGTTTCCAAAAGGCTTGCTGCATTTATAAAGCACCCATGTATTGAGGTTGTTCAGTATGAAGTGATTTACTTTCTATGTGCGATTTGATTGGACAGGAGTTTTGTAGTTAGCCAATACCCATAGACAAAAAACACATAAAGTACTGACTACAGGTTGAAGGAAAGTAGTGGAGTAAATACCAATACAGCACTAAAAATCTACTCAAGGCAAAGTAAAAGTACACATTTTTAAAACTACTTGGTAAATTACAATTCCAGAGAAAAAATTAAATGATTATAGTAACAGGAGTATTTGTAATTTGTTACTTTACACCACTGATTATACTTGGAGTAAAAAAAACAAAAAAACAAGTTGTTTAATATTAATATGGCTGCACTACAAATGAAAATGTGGAAAATGTAAACTAGCTGTGTAGTCAAAGTCTATTTAAAGGTGTATTCAATCTAGATTTTGCTGAAATTTTATGCCAAATTAAATATAACATATTTTTATGAATATTTAAATACTTATTTTAAAACTTGTAATACTTAAAAACATTAAAACCATTCCGTTTTTATCTTTAAAATAAAACAAATCTATTTTAATACATTAGTTTTAACATATAAAAATGTTTATTTTCCGGTGGGAACAAAACTATTTTGACCATTATAATTGAAACAGGCCCGTAGCCAGCCTGGTAAAAGGGGTGGTTCTTTTTTCTCAAAAAGTTTGTTTCTCAGAGATGGGTTGCGGATGGAAGGGCATTCGCTGCGTAAAAACGTGCTGAATAAGTTGCCGGTTCATTCCGCTGTGGCGACCCCGAATTAATAAAGGGACTAAGCCGACAAGAAACTGAATGAATGAATGGACCAGTTTGCGGTTATAGGACTCATTTAAGCTACTATTTAGTAATGAGTACTGCTTTTTAATGACATTTTAAGCACTATTTTAGATAAAATAGATTGTCTGATGTTCATTATAACAAAAAAAAGTGCTTTGAAAATTCATGTATAACAACAATAGCCAAACACTCATCCATGATCCGTGATTTACAATCAAAAGATACTTGTATCATATTTTGTTCTTTTTAAAAACAATACAGAAGCAAAAGATGACCATCAGGTTGTGTTTTCTTGCACAGCTGGATGTTGGACTCATGAAAAATAACTGTGTGCAACTGGACAAAATTGATTGGCTGAAGTTACACTGAAGTGACAGCCGACAGAGAATTCCACCCGGTCTTCAAACCTTTTTCAATGGGTTATTTTCACTATTTATAATGGCATAACAGTCAGTGTCAGTGAGGGGTGGGTCTTTCCAATCATCCAAACCCTGGATGACTACGGACCTGTGATAAATTCTCCTTAGTCCATTACACAAACATATCTGATTATAAAAGATTAAAGAAAGGCAACAGATTTTATTTGCAAGTTTTATTTCCATATATCTCTCAATCCAGTGATGCTATTTTTTTTTTCAATACAAAATGTATATGGTGGAAATGATAAGACTGATAAGAGTCAATGAGCAGAAATATATGGCATCATAGATCGATTGTTAGATCACAGTCATCCCTATGCATCGCTCCAATGTGTTCGACAACTCTTTTACAACAAACTGAGACGTGAAGTATCTTCTAATGTTCTCCCATTTATCCAGGGCTGTGTTTCAAAGAATATTTCTGAGGAAAAATAAAAAGATTTTAAAAAAGTCAACAGCCAATTAACTCCTGATAGAAAAACATGGATGAAGGTATACAATTTCCTACATGCACATATGTCATCATAACATGCAAACATGACATCATCCAAAAAGATTAGCCACAGGTCAACAGCACACAGAGACAAACTAGTGCTGTAATAAATTTGGCACCTGGTATATATATATTTTTTTTCTTCTTTTTTTTCTTTTATCTTAAGAGAAAAGGTGGTGTTTAAATTAAGGGAAGTCTATTAGGTTCACAACAATCATCTCCATCCCAAAAACAAGGAAATGGTGGGCAAGGGCAGTTTACTACTACATCACATACTGTAAAAAAATAAATCAAATGTCTTTACAATAACCATCTGTTCAAAGACATAATACAACATCGGTTCACCTCTTAGTGCAACCAGTACAAATATCACTATATTCTCTTTTATACCTTCAGAGGGCAGATCGATAGAAAGCATAATGCATCATTCAATAGAATCTGGCATTTTTAGGTGAGCTAAACACATCCTGTAAATCGGTGAATTGGTCCCACTGGTGCTAAAGCTGGAGTGTGTTGAGTGCAGGTAAAGCTACAGGATGAGGAGCAGTCCTAAAGTGTCATTTTGTTGCATAGCCCTACTGTACTTCAACAGTTAACCTTTACCTGCACAAACTACAGAGCACAACAGATTCCACAGCTGAAGGCTTAGTTCATTTTTTTGGAACTGGAAAACTACCAACAATAGTATCATGACTGTTGAAATCCGTAAGCAATAGTTTATGCATAATGTGTTTAAGGATGACTAATAATGCCTAGTGAAGAATTGTATATGTAGACTGAAATTTCATTGCAATCGCTTAGCTGATTTTAAGCATATTTCAAGAGTTATATTTATTCTACAACAATTTAAAACTCCCCACATAGAAATCGGATATATGGTAATGTTAGCAAATGACTAAATATTTATATGACATACTAGTTCATATTTGGATTTCACATATACAAAATTGTCATCTATGCAACATATATATAGTTGAAGTCAAAATTATAAGCCCCCCTTCTTTTTTTAATTTCCCAAATGATGTTTAACAGAGCAAAAAAAAAAAAAAAAAAGAACAAAAAAGAAAGAAAAATAATTCACTTATTGTCTGATAATATTTTTTTCTTCTAGAGAAAGTCTTATTTGTTTTATTTCAGCCAGAATAAAAACAGTTTTTATTTTTTAAAAGCCATTTAAGGTCAAAATTATTAGCCCCTTTAAGCTATTTTTTTTCTTCTACAGTCTACAGAACAAACCATTGTTATTCAGTAACTTGCCTATTTACCCTAACCTGCCTAGTTAACCTAATTAAGCTTTTAAATGTCACTTTAAGCTGTAGAGAAGTGTCTTGAAAAATATCTAGTAAAAAATTATTTACTGTCTTTATGCAAAGATAATATAAATCAGTTATTAGAAATTAAACATTAAAAGAATTATGTTTAGGAATGTGTTAAAAAAAATCTGCTCTCCGTTAAACAGATATTTGGGTATTGAAGTCGGAATTATTATAACATAATAGTTTTAAAATAGTTATAAAAATATAGCTTAAAGGGACTAACAATTTTGACAGTAATTTTTTTTAATTAAAAAAAATAAAAAGAAAAGAAAAATTAAAAATTAAAAACTGCTTTTATTCCATCCTAAATAAAACAAATAAGACTTTCTTACACATCCATACACACCCATTTACACACATACACTACAGACAATTTAGCCTACCCAATTCACCTATACCACATGTCTTTGGACTTGTGGGGGAAGCCAAAGCACCCATATAGGAAACCAACGCAGACACGGAGAGAACATGCAAACTCCTCACAGATATTTTCTATACTGTACTGTATATAAATCTTAAACATGAACTTGAATGTCAGCTATGTAATTGTCATGTATTCCATCCACAATCTGATTCATGTAACAGATTTCTACATGGGACTTAGATATTTGATAAAGATCACAGATCAAAATTAAAGAGTATTTCAGAAACCTCCCAGCTATTTGTGTTAATCAGAGGTAATTATTCTTTATTCATTACGGTATTTTATCTACATAGCTTTAGTAACATTTTGTGCCTCTGACCAAATCATCTAATGTTTGCTTTAGGAGGATTCATTTATTTATTTTTTTGCTTCAAATACTTCTTAATTTTCGTTTTTATGAAGTCAATTAATGAAAAGGTACTTTCCAAACTAATATAATGTAGCTATAATTTGGGAAACCACTGTTGCGCTCTATTCTGGGTTCACCTTTAAAAATACCACAATCTAAGAAACCTATAAAAAAGTCAAATTCGACAAATTGAAATCAGGGGCAGGATCAAAGTGAAATCCACCTTTTCAGAAAAACTGAGAATCTTTTTTAACATCAGAAACATTGCAATATATTACCAACTGTGCAAATATTACATATTCTTCATCTCATTTAGGTCACACTCAAACCCTTTGTATGGTGAATAAGATACAAGAGTAAGCCATCAAAGCGCATTAATACATTTCACCTTCATCCTCTAACCAAACACTGGAAGAGAAAGGCATGAGCCCACCATATGCCCTGTGGAAACAACACTGACACCAATAGCAACCAACAAACACAACATTCTAACATCCTTTCAGTCCTCTAGAAATCAATCGCAATTCCCATATTTTTAAATATATCATCAATTTTCCCCTGAATTGTTTCAGTAAAACACGCTGAAAAGACCAACATCGTTAACATCCACTTAATCTATCCTTACAATGCTACACTCTTTGTTTTGTGCAACCTCCTTCTTCAAATACATGCCTAAATACATTTAGGAAACAAATATTAGTGACATTTACCCTACAGCGAACAGCATCAGTTTATTGCCTCAATAGGTCAAAATGCTTTGTAATGCATCGTGCACCAATGTGGCAATAAAATTTAGGCACTTGGTATCTTACCTCTTGAGAGTAAGAAAAGGATTAGACCTTATGTAATGTCCAGCTACACTCATATACAAGGTACAAAATGGAACACTGTGAAAAGATATTCGATCTAATGCAGTCTGATAGACAAGGGAGTTCAATTTGGCCTTTTTTTTAGGTAGATGGGAGTAGACTGACTATTTCAGAATGATCTAGAGTTACAGCAGTGTGCAAACCTTAAGGCTGTGTGCCCACCAAAGTATTTTTTAGCATTTTAGCAAGCTGACCAGACCACCACTTAGCTGCTTAGCTGGTCTCTGAGCATTATTGTTCATAATATTATTATGGTAATCTGGGGGATTTCATGTGGTACAAATACGGAGACTCTTGTGACCACCGTTGTTCAGTAATACAATAGAAACATTACAGTTGATTAGTGTGGGTTTTGTCCTAACCCTCCTCCTCTGTGATTGGATGACTGAGTAAAAGTGCTACATTTTACGCAAAGTTGAACATTTGTCAACACTCGATGGCCATTAAAAATGGCAAGCACGCGACACTCAGAATGGAACAGACCACGGATGCCTCACCCATCTTGAAAAGTGAAGCCAAAATAGTTTGATCGCCCTCTAGTGGCTGGCTTCAGAATCCCAAGCTGCATATAAACAAACGAGAGCCAAATCTAACATGTAAATTAGACTTTAGCAAGAAATGCTTTGGTGGACACATGGCCTACATCCCTAGAATTCTCAATCAAAGCCTCCTGTGCAAAAAAGTCTAAACAGCCTTTCGAACACTAACAACTAACCTTGTCCCTTTATCCCCTGCAACTGTTTCCATCATAGTTTGCATTTTTGGCCGTCTTCCTCTCTGAGGTCTGAGGTCTTGATCTCATGTGATCAACTCACCCATATGTGACCCTTCTAGAATCAGCCCTAATGAAATGAAAGCAGTGTGGTGCATCACTTGAGGCTAAACTATTCATCCTGAAACCTATCAAGACCTCAATATTGCCGCTACCTTTGTAAGCGGTGACAGACACCTGCTTCATTCAAAACAAGAGAAGAACACCTTTCAAAACCACATACGCTCGATCATGATGGTAAACGGGCGGAAAATAGTGTAAACTGTGGACGTAACTCTTGTTTCCCTCCTGCTCTTGGGGCAAAGACGATAAAACTCATTCTAGATTGAATCATGTTAACACCAGTCATCTCTCTCAGTCTCCTGGTAGCTTCCAGACGCTCTCCCACTCAATCCCGGAGCCGCGTTCACTCCGAGGGAGTAGTGGTACCCGTTGGGGACTCCGCTCTGGCTTCGGGACAGCAGCGTAGAAGTGGCGGTCGCACCAGATGACGTGTGGGCGATGATGGCGGTAGTTCTAGGGGAGCGACCGGTGCCGTACGTGCTCAAGGCATCGTGAAAGTCTTCCGCTTCAGACAAGTGCGAGTCTTGCTGGAGGGGACCTAAGCTGGGGTCAGAGCCAATACGAGTGACAGGCACAGGGGATTGGCGGTGGATGCTACCGCTGAGTAAGGTATCGTGCTCTGACAGGCCACGACTAAGGCGAGCGGGGCAGGGCCCTGTAGATTGGGCAGTGTTGAGCTGGACCGGAGAAGAGTTGGCAGTCTTATAGGCAACAGCAGGCCGAGGGGTAAGAGGTGTCTGGGGAAGCTGTCTACGCCCGCGGCAGGGTGTGCTGGTGCCTGAGGTATGACCCACTGAGCTTCCTTTAGCTGCGTTAATTCCCTGAAACACAGTGGAGAGGAGAAGAAAATGAATGACTCACAAGTAAACAGGAATGAGGTAAATGGAAAGCTAGTGTTTTCCCCTTTCCGATAAACTTCCAGTGGAAAGTTAAGGTGCCTATTTTCGATTGCATATGGTTACTTTTATTAAGTTCAGTTTACTTTAAGTTTTTTTGTATAGACCATTTTGAGGGATGTAAACAAAAACAATGGTCCCTGTGTATTTCCTGTTTTACATTTTGAATTTCTATAGCTTCTGAGAATCCAAAAGGAAGCACATATTGATAAATAATGTTATGATAGATGTTTTATCATGATTGAATTTCCTCTTGTTACAGTTATAAAATAGTTTGATAATAAGCAGGAAATGTGTATGGGCCAAAGACATCAACACATTGAAATGGTCTATAGTGCTTTACAAAAGACTCACATTACTGCATTACAATCAAATTCGAAATAGTTAAGGTTATTAGTTACTATAACTTTATTAGTTGCTAATAACTTTAACTTACTAGTAACTAATAGTTTTTAACCCTTTCACCCATGAGTTTTAAATACTCCAGCTGACCCTCCTGCGTGAGTTTTTTAATGTGACCGTCACATAGAATTCATTGTGTTCTAAGGTCCCATGGCGCGCGTGGCGTTTATCATGTGACCCACCAGCCCCAATAGTCTATGTATATATCATATTTAGTTTTTTTAATCATATTTCCTTTTCCGCTTTTGTGTATTTATTTACAAATGTGCCAACTAAATTGTGAAATTACTCATACTCCAAATCCCAAATATGGGATAGATACATTTTTTCTTTAAAACAGCTTGATAATGATCGCATTATTTGTTTTAAGATGGTAACGGGCGCCACCATGTTTAGTCTGCACTGCAGAAGAGATCTGAGCTGCTGGATTTACCTCATGTTCATCGTTTTCTTCTCAAATACCTGAAAGTAAGAAACTGTTTATCTGGGAGAGGAATAGAGAAAATAATCAAGTAACAAAAACTGTTGTATTGTGCGTAAATAAAGCACATTGACTAGTTATATTGAAAAATAATTATTATTGATCTCCAGACATCCACATGTATTTTACAAACCTTAGATGGTATGTTTTATTAGTAATTAAGTGTATTTGAATATCTGAAATCTAAAATAAATGTTATTTGTTTGAAAACATGGATAAATTGTGATTTATGACAAGCACTGCACACCTTTTCTTGTGCCTCAGCACGAGTTGTCAAATTTTTGAGCAGTTGATGACGTGCGCTCTAATGTTAAAATCACACCAGTGTGATTGTACGCTTCAGGGACCATCCAAGGCTAATTACACTAGTATGATCTTACACGTGAAGGGGTTAACAGCTGAATTTATTATATATAAACATAGTTAACCTGCAGTTATATAGCATATAATTGATGTCTGTGTAAATGTTCAATGAAGTGTATTTGTATTTGTAAGTGTATTTTTTCAGCATCACTGTTGTAATGTAATTAAAATCAGTTAAATAGACTTAAGCATTCATTTTGTTCTTTAACCTAAAATGAGATGAAAAGCCAATAAAACACATGTGCCATCAGGAGCAGCAAATAATTGTTTATATTTTAAAGACAGTGTGCAGAACAATGGAATTGAATGCAGGGCTTATTGTTCATTCTGAGACCCACTTTATATTGTATCAATCAGGAAGTGAAGATCATTGATTTTTGGAGAAATCAGGTCTTAAACACATTGATTTTGTAACCACACAACAGTTCACTGGAAGCACTTAAGTACTGAGTAAACATTAAACATCCGTCTTCATATACCCTATTTAAGTTAGTGCGAGTAAGAGAAAGCAACTGACCTGTTTAAGCCTGTCATGTGGTTCTCCAGGAGAGGTGGATCGGCTAGGCCCGGCGGACAGGCTGTGGCCATGTTCATGGCTGCCGTAGCGGTCACAAGAGTAGTATCGCTGCTTCCTTTCTGCTGCTGAGGATGAGTGGTGCTTCCTCTCGTGTGAGCGGCCACGGTCTCGCTCCCGGGCTCGTTCCCTGGGCGTCGACTCTGTGTTTGGATCAGCTGTTGTGCAGAAAACATAATACAAATACATTAAATTTGTTTCTGTTCAAAGCTGAATTAAGTCATTTATATGAACTTTTCCCATCGTTGATACTGTTTTTCATAATTTACAACACCATTAGCTATATGTCCATACAAAGATGTGAATTAAATGTGTGCACAAAACTGGAATATCACATAAAACATTTGTGAATAAAGCACTGTTTCCATTCAGTGACGCAAAGAATACAAAACTGTCACCTCCTGATAAGTTGGCAACAAATATCAAAAAGAAGACTGGAATTTTCTGAGGTAAGAGAAGCCACTATATATAATAAATTCGTACTTGCTTACTTAGAAGAAAAAATGCAATGAACGTGCCGTAGCTTTAGAAGGCGTGAGATTGCAGACGCCTTGATTGATTTGGCCCAAATGTGGAAAATTGATATGTGGACCACGTAAGTTTGGCCTGTCTTGACCCACATTTAAAATACATTAAATAAATTTTTAAGTAAAGAAAAAATTCTATCAATCAGGTTGATTTGAGAAAAAGCATGATGGGCATAAAGGGTGCATAATGTGCAATGCTTTTTGGGTTTATCAATTTCCTTGCAATCGTGATACACCAACCTATCTGGCCCAGTTAAGGCCTACTTATGAGTTATTAATTTGGTTGAGACTTCACCCAGATATGGTCCATGTTTGGCCCTTGTCTGTAAGCTAGACTTGAAACAGTCTCATATTTTAAAAGAGAGATATGAAGATGTTTTTTTTCCCCTCATTAAATGTAGATTTTTTTGCAGTTGCAGAATGCTTAACGTAAAAACATGATTTATGAATCATCAATACTTAATGTAAAAACATGATGTCCAGCTTTAGTTATACCCATAAATCATGTTTTTTTGCAATTGTACATTTAAATGCATATTAAACATAAAACACAATATATCTTAAAATGGAGTTATTCCTTTTTTGCAAATGAACTCTTCATATACATCCTGCTGCTTACCCGTAACAGAATTCTGGAGTTTTTGACCAGTATGTAAAGAAAAATACAAATTACAAAATACTACTATATTTTAAATACATATTTGTAATACACATATTATAAATATTGTCCATCCCCGACTGAATACAAATGCAATTAAATGTTATAGAAGGAAATGTTGAATTACCAAAGAATTATAGAAGTGTACTGTATGACTGTGCAAGTTTCATCAGTGTTAGTGAACTCTATCTACTTAGTTTAAATTATTTTTTATAATTGTTCTAAAACTGATCAGGATGTAGTCTCAGAAAAATGGGATTTTTTTACATTTTATTTTGTTTCTTGAAACATTCAAGTGTTCAACAACCAAAAGTGTTGATTAAAATACAATTAAACTAGATAAAATGTTTTTCTTCATGTATCAAAATTGCTTATGCTGACTTTTTTTCCAAAAGTTGGAAGGGAAGAGTTACATTTTATGTTATGCACCTTGATTTCTCCTTTTCTTTTTTCCATGATCATGAATTTTCAAGGTAACACTTTATTTTAATAGCCATTTGAGTATTAGTAGACTGCTTAATATCTGCTTAAATTTTGCTGATAGTGCTGCTTTAACAAACATTTAACTGACTATAAGAAACTTTGCAAGTACATGTCATCTTGCAAGAACCCTAACCCTAACCCCAACCTTACAGTCTACAAATATTCTACTGAGAATTAGTTGGCATGTGGATGCAATGCAACTTAAATTCAACAAACTGACCATCAAAATAAAGTGTGACCAAATTCAAAACTAAATTATTAAAATCTTATTTTCCCAGTTTAATCCTCTCCAAAGGAAGTAAATAATAAAGGGTGTCCATGAATTTTAATAAAACCAGAATGTGTTTGTTTACACATTTCGATTTGATTAAAATGATTAAATATGAATGTCTCATTTTCTCTGCTTACAATCACCTCCAACGGTGTCAATAAATAAATGCACTAGGGTCTTTGAATTGGGTGGCAAACACACTGCCCAAAACTAACCAAAACACCAGAGAGCACTTACATCTTACATATCACAACAACCAGAACCTTGTGTGTGTGTGTGCGTGTGAGTGTGTGTGTTGTGTGAGCCCTGCTGTTTGGTGCTGTTGTGATCTTTGACTACAGAGAAACAAAAACACGTAGAGGAAGATGTATGTGGGTGTCTGCATGTGTTTGAAATCCGAGTACAAACACACCCAAGCAAAAATGAGCTTTCAGGGGACTGATGTATTGCTCCTGTTTCAACTCAGTCAAAGCTGACTGATCTATTAACAGCAGAACCACTCTGGCTGAGAAACATGTTTACGTTTTTGTGTTTTTGCTGAGAATGAGAAGAGCGGAAAAAGAAAGAGTAGGAGTTCTGTAGTAAAGAATTGACAGGTGGTTCGTTTTCTCGTAAGTAACCGAGAGCTGCTCTTTTCGATTGCAGGCTTTCCGGGTAATGGGAAACTGGCCAAAAAAAAGAGATCAATCCATTCAAAAGCACATTTTCTAGCATTGGTTTGTAAGTCGCGCTTTCAAAGAGAGAGGCTGACAAAGTAAATCCTACACCAAAGCGCTTTGGAGAGCAATAAAGAGTCTTTTCCTCGATAACTTGATCACTATAATCCTTAAAAGAATTTACATCACTGTGCTAAGCGAAAGAAGCTGGGATTTTTAAGTACTCTATTTTTCTTCAAAATCTTTAAAGATTTACCACACACCTCCTTTTAGTACTTGTGGCAAAAAGTCCTGCTATTATGTTGTCTAAATTGTGGTCAAATGTTTGCAACATACATCTTTTTTAAGGAGTTTTTCACAGTTTCCAAATATCAATCAGCACCACTTTTTTCAATATAGATTTTAAAGGGACAGTTCACCCAAAAATCTAAATGTACCATCTATTTATTAAACAAACTTTTTAGATGAAAAAAAAAGACATTTTGAGAAAGCTGAAAATAAACACGTTGGAAGTCAATGGCCAAATGCTTCCCAGCAATCTTCGAAATATCTTCTTTTGTATTTAACAGAACAAAGAAAGCCATACCGGTTTGGAACAAGTGAAGACTAAACATCCAATCAGCTTATTACAATGATTTCAGTAGGATCATGTGAAACTGAATACTGCAGTAATGATGCTAAAAAAATTGCGCTGTCAACATTGTAATAAATATATTTTTTATAGCATACTGAAATAAAACAGTTAATTTAAAATGAACCACAGTTTATAATATTGCAGTTTTTGCTTTAATCAAATAAACATACCCTAGGTGAGAAAAAAAAAATCCTCATAAGACATTGCAAAACTTGTGACCCTTTCTGTGTTTAAAAAAAAAGGCCACCTTTAATCTCTTTGATATTCATGCGCTCTACAATATTCACTATTTCCTATCATACAGAAGTCCTTATGAGCAAAAATAGTGAATGGAAAATGCAAATCAAGCTATAATAATATTATAAAATTAATAATAATATAATTACAATAATAATAATATTGTATTAACATAATAATACACTTAAAAAGCTTTTATTTAAAAGGTCGCACTTTATACTAAGGTGCAATTCTCACTATTGATAAACCATTACCTACAGATTTTGCCTGAATAAACTCCTAATTTGCTGCTTATTAAAAGTATTTAAGGTAGTAGCTTTAGGCATTAGGGATGTAAAATAATATCAAACAAAAAATTTACCTCATTAGTGCTGATATACAGCCAATATCTTAATAATAGGCATGTAATAATCTACTAGCTAATAGCGAGATTTGGTGCTTAAACTAAAAGTGTTACATTCTTCTTTCTTGTTTTGTGCACCTAAAAATGCATTGCCTTTTCTGCAACACTTTAGTTTGAGTACCAATTCCCACTATTAAGGGACAGTTTACACAAAAATAAGAATGTACTCACTCTTTACTCTCCCTCAAGTTGTTTTAAACTTTTATTAGCTTTTTCACTGCATTGAACACAAAAGAAGATATTTTGACGAATGATAAAAGCCAGTAACCTTTGACTTACAAAGGAGGAAAACAAATACTATGGAAGTCAATGGTTACAGGTTTCCAACATCTTTCAAAACATCTTCTTTTGTGTTCAACAGATGAAAAAACATCACAAAGGTTTGAATCAAGTAAAGGGTGAGTAAATGGTGACTGAATTAAAATTTTTGGGTGATATTGGCTCTTTATTACACTTTAAAAAAAAAGATTTACTGGATTTACAACATTTTTTAATGTATGTGGTTGCAAACAATTTATTTGACCTGAACTGAAACAAACCAATTAAGTTGACCATTACTATACTTGATTTTTTTGTTTAAATTTAGCCTATATAAATTTTTTGCAACCTCTTAACTTAAAAAATTAAGTTATGTCATTTCAGTGTAGTTATTATAAAGTAGGATCTTATTCTACATCCCTCAATACCTAAACCCAACTACTACATTACTAAACTATTGAGAAGCAGCAAATTAGTACACCACGTGACAAAATGTCTTGTCATCTAAAAAGTTTTAGGAACAACAAATAATAACTTGATATCTAGTTGATCATTTGGTATCAGAAGTGGCCTTTTATAAAAGGCAAAGGCCCCTAGATTACTTATGTTTTACCAAAATAAAATATGATCATGCCTTGATTTTGGATAATTTAATTTGGACAGTAAGGTCCGACTTTGCTGAGACAAAAGTCACTAAACAGAAATAATGTACAGTATAGAGTATAAAGTCATGGTGCAGTGGAAAAAGAATGAATATTGTGTATGACTCCAATGATCTCAGACGACTGCATCAATATATCTCTGCAATGACTCAAATAACTCTAAAAGTCATCTGGAATGGCAAAGAAAGCGTTCTTGCAGGACTCCTAAAATTCATCAAAATTCTTTGGATTCATCTTCAATGCCTCCTCCTTCATCTTACCCCAGACATGCTCAACAATCTTCATGTCCGGTGATTGGGCTGGTCAACCCTGAAGCACCTTGATCTTCCTTGCTTTCAGGAACTTTGATGTGGAGGCTGAAGTATGAGGAGCGCTATCCTGCTAAAGAATTTGTCCTCTCTCTACAGATCTTTTGTACAGCCCCATACTGAATGTAACCCCAAACCATGACTTTTCCTTTACCAAACTTGACTTATTTCTGTAAAATTCTTAGGTCCATGCGGTTTCCAATAGGTCTTCTGCAGTATTTGTGATGATTGAGATGGCGTTCAACAGATGATTCATCAGAAAAATCTATCTTTAGCCACTTTTCCAAATGATCAACTAGAAGTCAAGTTATTATTTTTTGCTCTTACAACTGTGATCAGTTCGACAAGATTGAGAAAACTTTTGTCAGGTAGTGAACTTTATCTAGCTAAAAGTCTCAGTGATAAAAATAAAGAATGGCCATTTATTTGGCTTGATTTTTGCAAACGAAGCTGACCTGCAGGTGGCGGCTGCTCCTCGCTGATGGCTCGATCCAGTGACTTGTGCTTCTTGTCTCTGCGTCTCTGACAGCGATGATGATGGTGGTGATGATGATGGTGGACTCTCTCTCTCTCTCTGTCCTGAGCGAAAGTCTGGCTCGGGCTCATCCTGGGTCTCTCCAGGTCGTATTCGCTCAGGTTGACCTCTCGCGCACCTCTTTGTGGAGTCAGCGAGGATGTGGATCGCCGCATGGGACTCACATCTGCAATTGGCTGGATTGTAAATATAAAGCCAGTTAATACAGTTAAAGTCTGAATTATTAGCCCTCCTGAATTATTAGCCCCCCTGTATATTTTTTTCCCTAAACATTCCTAAACATAATAGTTTAATAACCCATTTTTTATTAATAATTTATTTTATCTTTGCCATGATGACAGTAAATAAAATTTGACTAGATATTTTTTTTAAGATACTAGTATTCAGCTTAAAGTGATATTTAAAGGCTTAACTAGGTTAATTAGGCAAGTTGGGGTAACTAAGCAAGTTATTTTATAATAATGAGTTGTTCTGACTATCAGAAAAAAATATTGCTTAAGGAGGCTAATAATAATGACCCTAAAATGATTTTAAAAATTAAAATAAGATTTTAGTTTACCCAAAATAAAACAAATGAGACTTTCTCCAGAAGAAAAAAATATTACAGGAAATACTGTGGAAAATTCCCTGCTCTGTTAAACATCATTTGAGAAATATTTGAAAAAGAAAAACAATTTACAGGAGGGCGAATAATTTTGACTTCAACTCTATGTAAAAAAATGTTGAAGAGGTTAGAGGAGAAGACACAAATCTATCACATACAAGAGTCTCAGAGCACTAGATTTGTCACAACAGACGCACAACACCGGCTGAGCATGAAAACACACTTCCGCTGAAGGGCGACGTTCAGCCGCTCCATCGGAGAACAGTGGAGCACCGTCACGCTCGATGCAAACACTCGGCTGCCTGAATGCTGTCATCGAATGGCTTCTTACACACATACTGGACGACTGGAATAGTTGCTGAATGAACTATCCAGAGTCAAGCAGCAGCCACTGACCACTGAAGAGTCACTGGCGCCTTTTCATGATACTTTGATGTAATTTTTTAAATAAAGGTACCAGTAAGGACATTAACTAACTAACTAAAATAAATCAATAAATTAAATTGAATATTTTTTTAATAAATAAAAAAATTAAATCACATTTAAAAATTGTATTAAATTTAAAAAAGAATTACAAATATTTATAAAAAAATAATCAAATTAAATTACAGTTTTGAATGGCATTGAATAATGTTTTTGATTCTACAAATAACCATTTTTCATTGTGTGGAGAATTTTTTTTTACAATTTAACAAAACTTTTCTACTATAAAAAATCTTGATCACACTTTACAATAAGGTTTCATTAGTTAATTTAGTTAATAACATGAACCTATCATGAACAGTACTTGTACAGCATTTATTAATCATAGTTCAACATTTTCTAATGCATTATTAAAATCCAAATTTATGCTTGCTAACAATAGTTAATGCACTGTAACTTAGCATGAACAATAACCAACTTTATTTTATTAACTACCATTACCAAAGATGAATAACTTCTACAATTAATGTATTGTTCATTGCATGGTCAAGTTAGCAAATACATTAACTTAGATTAACAACAATATTATAAAGTGTTACAAGAACATTTGAAGAATGTCAAAGGTTCTTGATTGAGCCATGCATTAATAAAGAAACTCTAATTATAAGAGTGCATACAGTGTTCTTATAGACACAAAATGCCAAACTCTTCAGAGAATCTGTGACCACTGCTTGATGATGACTGGAGTTTCTAAGCTTTTAAGTCTTCTACATATACTCACTAGTGCCGCCCAGTGGCATAAGATTTCAGAATTTCTAAGAAGCAGTGCGTCCTCTCTTCTCATATCTGAAACAGCTTGAAGAGTTTTGTAATTGGTTCAAATTGACAGATTACTAAAACCTTTTAGAATCAATCCAAAGAATGTGGAATATTAGGTTTTCGGTGATTAATAAGATTTATGTATTCATATTATTTTACTCTGTATTTTATGGTTTGATCTGCTTTCCTGCACTCAAGAAAATATGTAGTTGCTTGTTCAAACTACTTAATTAAAATAAGATAAGAATAAATATCAATTTCATTTGCACAACTTATTTGTTTTATGTTTAATCCAATTAATTGATTTGAGTTGAGACAACATACATAAATTGTGTGGAACCCTGCATTTTTGCAGTTTGTGTGTATTATTTTGTCATTTTTTTTAACTAATCAACTTTGGCTGACATATTAATAGAAGTCTATCATATCTACGCTTCTATCAGTGCATGTTTTATTAGGTTGGTTTGGGTTTTTGTCTGTAAATCATCAACCCAACCTGGTAACACGCAGATCAAATGATACTAAAAGGGTTAGTTCACCCGAAAATTAAATTATTTCATTTACACTCCCACCAGTTGTTTTAAATGTTTATGAGTATTCTGTCGAAATCACAAAGAGAAGGTATTTTGAAGAATGCTGTTGCCCGTTAAATTCAACAGTGAAAAAAGAATGCTTAAAAGTCAATGGGTTCTGTTTTAACGGTCTAGGAGCAATGTCTAAAGGGCATGATGCAAAAGCATTAAGGGTGTACACGAATTCACTTTTGCTATTTTAAGGATGGAAAAATACGCTTTGTGCCCCGATGCATGGTCTAACAGGGTTGTGCTTATTCGCTTAATGAGTTATAGGTGTGTTTTGAGTATAACATGCATTAAACCAATCAGAGTCTCATCTCCCATTCCCTTTAAGAGTCAGTTGTGTTGCGCCATGGTACATTTACTATTTACATGGCGGACTTTGTAAGTGTAACAACTGAATGCTTTACTAGTGAGAAAACAGTTAAACTGACCATCTGCCACGTGAGGATAAAGAACGAGCCTCTTTTCTTTCTCTTTACTTTACTTTTACTCTTTACTCCTTTACTTTCGTGGTAAAGGAAACAGTGTTGTACGCACTCTGCTGAAGACAACCATTAACATTTCATTTGTTAAGGGCAAAGATTTGTTTCAAAACTATTTCTAAATTCAGTTTGTGTATTGCTGTACATCCTGTGTGTATGCTTTGGACCTGCATAGGTGCATAACTAACATGGTCTGTGCTGGACTTTAGACTAGCTTTTAGTTGGTCAGTGGCGCGGTCTATTTCAGTTTCTCAAAATAGAAACACGCCAACAATATGCAACAAACACACCTTCTTTTTAGACTAGCACACCCACGAGTCCACAAAGTGGTGCAAATGGATTTGCTATTTAAACAACGTGGTGCAAATCATGGAAGCTACTGTTGCGCTGGTCTGAAAATAGCAACAAATCGCACCAAACACGTTTTGCACTTTATTGCGCCGGGTGTATGATAGAGCCCAACATGTACCACCTACACACAGAAACAAAGGTGTGCGAGCTGTCACTGGGATGATACCTTTTCAAAAGGTAAACATTTGTACTTAAAGGGTCCATATTGGTAACTTAAAAGTATATATTAGTACCTAAAACTTTTAAGAGGAACACTTTTGTACTTTTTAGGTACTAATATGTACCCTTGAGGTATTAATATGGACCTTTTAGGAACAAATTTTCACCTTTTGAAAAGGTACCACCCTAGTGACAGCTCACATACCTTTATTTCTGAGCGATACAAGCATTCATCAAAATAGATTCTTTTGTGTTTACCAGGGTTTGTGACAAGTGATTCGTGTCAGTAAACGAATTTTCATTTTTAGGTGAACTATACCCTTAAAATGGCTGCTAAAAGCTTCAGTTCAGCTTTACCATGACATAAATAAATAATACTTAAACAGATTTTTCAAATTGAACTTATTTACAAATGTAAGTATATTTAATATGAATTCTGCTGCATTTATCAGCAAATAAATGCACCCTTGTTGTTCAAAAAACATCAAAAACACACTTTTTAACAGATGTGTTTCTAATAATGTATGTAGCTGAAGCATATGTGAAGAAAGGACTGCACTAACATAAAATCAAAAGGACACACAACCTACTAAATGAAACACATCCATACTGTACTTACAGTTAGCACGTCACAACATTCATAATAAAATAAGCATTGCATTTTGCTCCTTGCTTTCGACAATTGCTATAACTAAACTGTGGTTAATCTATTCCATTACCACTGAAATAGCTACCCACAGTGATGACTTTTGTACAGCAGTTGTGTGTCTACCAGGCTAATATCAAGTGTGTACACTTATCGACTCTAAAAGAGCTGGAATGGACAAAGCACACAAAAGCATAGAACATAGAGATGGAGTGGCTGGCAGAGATAGAGAGAGAGAGAGAGCGAGAAACAGACAAAAAGAGAGAGGAAGATTGCAGGTGGAACACTTGTACATACTGCTAGATACGCTCCGGCGGTGTGGCGTAAGTGGCTCCGCTGTTGGACGGGAAGAGGAAGAGGACACAAAGGTGAGGAGAGCAGGGCACACAGCTGTGGTACTCATGGAACAGTGAGACAGAGGAGAGACATCAGAGTAAAGAACCAATGATTGGTGGATTGGAAATGGTTTGTGCCGAAAAAACAAAAGAGTGGGCTTGATGTTAAGAGAAAGCTGGAGAGAAAGAAGAGACAAAGACAAAGACAAGACTAGACAAGACAAGACATTATAACACGGACGCTGGACACCGTGTGAGTCCTTTAGCGATGTAGCAAAATACCAAATCAACTGAAAACAAGGATGTACATGAATAAATTCACAGTTAAAAAGGAACATCAAATCATTACATTAGTTAAAGAGGGGGGGAAATTAATGTAAAACAAGTAAAAAAACAAAAGCACATCCATGTCATTGATGTTGCAATAAAATAAACTTGTTTTCATCATCTAAAACAGTTAAAGTTGCTGTTTACAGCATTAAAAAATCCCTAACAAAGGTCACACTTTATTTTGATGGTCCGTTTGTGGAATTTAAGTTACATTGCATCTACATGCCAACTAATTCTCATTAGATTATTTGTAGACTGTTAGGTTGGGGATAGGGTTGGGGTTAGGGTTAAAATAAGTTGACATGTACTTGCAAAGTATCTTATAGTCAGTTAAATGTCTGTTGAAAGAGCAGTATCAACAGATATTAAGCAGACAGTCTACTAATACTCATATGGAGCATCAAAATAAAGTGTTACCTTAACTAACACTAATTAGCTGTTTATTAATAGGTAGTTTTGTAGAAGTTGGGTTTAGGTCTTAGGTAGAATTAGGGATGTAGAATAAGATCATACTTTAAACTGCTAATGAACAATTAATATCTTAACAATAGGTAAGTAATAAGCTAGTAGTTTATAGCATGAATTATGACCTAAACTAAAGTGTTACCATAATTTTGGTTTTGGCTTTGCAAACTACTAATGACATTTATTCTATGTAAAAATAAAATGTTTTTATTTAGAGCAGAAAATGACAATTGGTTTGAAGATGAATTTTTTTTTTTGTTTATGTTAAATTTTAACTTCAAAAAAATTAAGCTACCTCAATTTTTTTAATTGTGTATACTGTTGAGGTCCACTAATAATGTTATCAAGATTTCACATTTAAAAAACATCAGCGGTTATAAGTAATTTGACTCATTTTTGTGCTGTTTTTGAGCCCTCGTCCAATCACTATGTTTCAATGGGCGTAGCAGTCTGCACGGCTGTGATGCTCTGACAGTTCTGCATATTACCAGGCCTGAACAGTTGGTAAAGTCAAAGTATTGATCTTTTGTAAAGGCAGGGCTTATCCACCCTATTACATCATATAGCAATGGAGTTGTCACGATACTGGAATTTAATACCAATCTGTACAGAAATTTTAAAAACGCCCGTTTCCCGCGAACATTTAAGCCAGTGGTCACCAAACTTGTTCATGGAGGGCCGGTGTCCTGCAGATTTTAGCTCCAACCCTAATCAAAAACACCTGAACTAGCTAATCAAGCTCTTACTAGGTATACTGGAAACACCCAGGCAGGTGTGTTGAGGCAAGCTGGAGCTAAACCATGCAGGGACACTGGCCCTCCAGGAACGAGATTGGTGACCCCTGATTTAAGCGATATGAAGCACACAGCTGATTTGCCATTGTGTTCACCTGCTCAACAGAAATGACTGTGGCTGTGAAGGTCATCAGTTCACTGAACTCACTGCTGTTACTGCATGCAACCACATATACAGGGACACTGGAGCGCTCCTATGTCAGCTTATAGACAAACCGGCTGATCAATGTGACTTTGAAATGCTCCAGTGTCCCTGCATCTGTTGTTACACGCAGTAAACAGCGGTGAGTTCAGGGAACTGATGACCTTCACGGCCAATCACAGTCATTTCTGTTGAGCTCATGAACACAATGGCAAATCACTCTGTTTAAAAATGTGCTCCTCTGCGCTTAGATGTTGGCGCAAAATGGACGTTTTGGTACCGATTGGTATCGAATTCCAGTATTGTGACAACCCTATAACAGAGGATTTTATTTACAGTCATTTTGTCAAACTTCCTTCAATAGAAGTTGTTTTTAAAGTAACAAAAAACCTTTGAGCTATGAAATGTATGTGTTTTTATACTGTGACCTCTTTTATGTCAAAATATTAAGGAAATTTTGGTTTCTCAGTTCATGACCCCTTTATGAAATCAATATTTTAGTGGAATAACCCAGATTTTTAAATCACAATTAATTATTATTTTCTTTCTTTTTGGGCAAATTATTATTTAAAAAAAGGAGACTTTTTATAGTGTCTCTACTCTCGTCCTTTCTCCAAGACTCAATTGGTTTAAAAATGAATAAATAAATGTGTCTCAGTGGAGAATGGTTTATACAGTAAATTAACCTCTTCTGACATCCACCAATTCACTTGCTTGAATTTTTCAGCATTCATTAATGCTTCCATTCATCCATTCTCTCATCCAGCTGCCCATTCACTCCTCCTCCAACTATCTGTGCGCTGTCATCCTGCAGCTGCCTCTTTCTTTGCAGAAATTCATTTAGTGTGAATAAGAAACAAAGGCTCTACATTCAACCCCAAACTCCCAGCAGAATGACCTCCTGTGGGCAATCTTTCATGGACTGGAGAAGTTTACCTGGAAGCCAGCATTCAGTCTGGGCATAGAGGCAGCTCTGCCATGACCCTCCAGCACATGATACCCGCCAACATCCGAATCATTCTCCATGTCAGTCATCTCTACTAGTTCCTGAAAAACATGTAGAGCGAGACAGATAACAATTAGACTGTTATAACATCGGCTCATTCTGTACTCGTAGCCCTATATACATTTCTGGAGATTGTGAATTATGTCGCCAGAAGTACCTATGGCAGCATTCTGTCTTAAAAACGAACATTACGTCTTTATAATCTTTGCACGTTTACCAGCTGACCGATTACCTCGGCTTTCCCGCTGTTACCAGTTTGTCTAGTTAGCTTGCCATGTACATCGGCGGACTTGAGACGCAGAGAGGAGTTGACTATGACGACGAGGTTCGATTCCAGCGAAAAATGGTTCCAGAAAATGGGTAAGTCAAATACAGAAGCCAAAAATTAAAAACAATTAAATAACAAGGTCAAAATGTGGTAAAATCTGAAAACGTATTCAAAAATTAGGCGAAGACTTTTCTTTTTCAGGATTGCTTTTGAAAGCAGTCGGTTGGGTTTAGGAAAGTCAGTAGGTGGGTCAATCGGTGCCTTTGAAAACACTATTGGTTGGGTTTAGGGAAGTGGGTGGGCTGGTCAATTGTTGCTTTTGAAAACACTATTGGTCGGGTTTAGGAAAATGAGTGGGTGGGTCAATCGATGCTTTTGAAAACACTATTGGTTGGATTTAGGGAAGTAGGAGGTTTGGTCAATTAATGCTTTTGAAAACACTATTGGTTGAATTTAGTGAAGTGCGTGTACTGGTCAATTGGTGCTTTTGAAAACACTATAAGTAGGGTTTAGGGAAGTGGGTGTACAGGTCAATTGGTGCTTTTGAAAACACTGTTGGTTGAGTTTAGTGAAGTGGGTGGGCTGGTCAATTGGTGCTTTTAAAACCACTATTGTTTGCTTTAAGGAAGGAGGAGAGGTCAGTCGATCGGTCAGTCAGTCAGTCATTCAGTCAGTTGACAGTCAATTGACAGCGGCTTCTGGTGGATTTCCACGAGAACAGCAGGCACGAATGACACTCGCGAGAGAAATTTGAAATCTCAAAAAACATACACAATGGCCTCGCAATGGTGGATTCGCGAAACCAAAAACAGCAAAAAACATAGCTCCTGGGATGTATTTGGCGCTCTCCAGAAATGTATATGGCAGTAAGTTTTCAGAATGGGCCAAGTAATACAGGATGAGAACTGAATGTTATGTTTTTAGAAACTCAATAGCATGTTATTCAACACTAAATAATGCCATTAGTTGACATTTTGTGGCTAATTTGCAGTTTCTCTGGATTGGCTGGATTTATTAGGTATGATTTTTTAGTTTAGTGTTAATATATGTTTTGTTCTGATAATATGTCTTCCAAATATGAAACAAAGTCATTTAGAGATTTAAATTTATTATCTATTTTTAATAAAAAATTATTGTGCTATGGAAATTGTGGTCTATTTCCATAACTGTACAGAGCTAAAGACAAAATGATTAGCTCTCCTGTGAATTTTTTGTTGACACTTTATTTAGATGGTTTATTTGAGTATTAGTAGACTATCTGCTTAATATCTGTTGATATTAATCATCCCCAACCTAACAGTCTACTTATAATCTAATGAGAATTAGTTGGCATGTAGATGCAATGTAACTTCAATTAAGCAAACGGACCATCAAAATAAAGTGTAATCCATTTTTTACCCTTTAATGTTTTTAAAGTGACTTTTAACAGAGCAATGCCATTTATCACAGTTTTCCCATCAAACACTGTGTAATTATATAAGCTAAGGTCAATATTATAAGCCCATTAAAAATGATGTTTTTATTAGCTACGGAATAAACCACTATTGTTAACCTAGTAAATTGCACTTTTATCTGAATATTTAAGTTAGTTCACTAAATAACTAGTAAAAAATTATGACAAAAACTAAATAAACTAGTTAAAAAAAAAAATGTTAAAAAGTTTCTCTCCTAACAGCACTTGGAAATTATTTGAAAAAATTATATATAAATTTTATATATATATATATATATATATATATATATATATATATATATATATATATATATATAGTATATTATATTAAACATATTAAATATATATAGTAATAAAACTTTTGGGAGTTTTTTTATGATTATTATGAATTATTGCTTGACTCACAAACTATGTGTCAAATATATAGTTTATTCAGATTCAAGAATTGTGTTCTGAATAGTTGCTGGTGGATGTAACGGTATTCATTTATTAATAATAAAAAGCCACATAAACTAGTGTAAACCTGGGTTCACTGTACATTAACATAACTGTATTCATCATTAGTATGTAAATAAACAACAGTTACAGATTCAATCAATTCTGCACTGTAGGTTAAATCACCTGAGATCTGTAAGTGTTTGGCACGTCTTCCGATTGACCACGTTGGATAGGCCTTCTGTTCGTTTCCTGTGTGACTTCCTGAGATGGGCCTCCCGAAGGAGACTTTTTCATGGCACTGCTCTGGCTTTGACTGAAACATGCACAAAAACAACAACAAAACATTTTAAATCAAAGGAAGCATATTTCTATCACTGCATCCCAAACGGCACACTATGCACTTACAGAATAAACTAGTACTTATGCACTTACACACTCAATGCATTAACAATGTGAATTTAGAGTCGTCCCTATTGGAACACGACTAACTATTTTTACTAACCAGAAATTCAAACCAGATTACATTATATTATATTGATAGCTTCTCCCCTTCTGCTATGTGAGCAAAACTGAGTCCATTGTGTGCATAAAGTATCCAACATTTCACACGTTTTTAACGTTGAATAAGTGCATCATCCAGGTACTTGGAATAAGTGCACTTATTTTTAATATAATACTTCAGTATGAATGCAGTGCTTACACTGTTTACACCACAAAAGGATGTAGAATAGTGCATAAGTATGTGATTTGGGATCCACCATGTGTAGATCAGAATAGTAGAACACTCACACTGCATCCCCATTGGTCAAGTGAAAAGAAGTGGGTGTGGCATCTGACTGAGGGGTGATATCTAAATGAGAAGGAGGCGGGCCTTTTGGCACTAAAGGCTCCTGGTCATGCAGGTGTGTGAGAGGAAGCATCGGCCTGAAGAGAACACCGACTTTACTCTGAGAAGAAACACAAAACACTGAGTTTTATCCATTATTAATGACTGTTTGAGCAATTATGAATATGAATAACCTGATTAATAATAAATGTGACTATAACCTAGTGTTCATTTCAATTCATACCTGTGTGCCTGGTGCAGCTTGCTGCTGTTGGAGTCTTTTGGCTCTGTTCTGCTTATAGTAGTCAAAAATCATGAGCGCTGCATAGACCTTCCCGACAGTCAATTCGTTATCTATGAGAGGGTGAAATGGATGTTAAAGGGGTCATGAATTGAAAAATCACAATTCCCTTGATCGTTTGACACATAAGAGGTCATTCTGCTGCCCTATAGAGGCAAAGTGCTGTAACTAGACAATTTGCCCAAATTGAGTTAAAAATAAAAAAAGTTGTTGCTAGAAGGGATACAGCTGCTGCCAGAGTTAATGAGAGTTATTTATATTAAATTACCCATTAATTGGATTTTATTAACGTCTACCCCAACCATTAAAGCAATTTATAAACAATAATTATTCAAGTATTCATTCATTCATTTATTTTTTATTTTTTCAGCTCAGTCCCTTATTTATCAGGGGTTGCCACAGCTGAATGAACCGCCAATTCCGGCATATGTTTTACGCAGCGGATGCCCTTCCAGCCACAACCCAATACTGGGAAACATTCATACACACTCATTCACACATATACACTATGGACAACTGAGTTTATTAAATTTACCTAGAGCACACAGACTTAGACTGGGGGAAATCCGGAGTACCCAAACCCCCACACGAATATAGGAAGCACATGCAAACTTCACACAGAAATGCCAACTGGACCAACCAGGACTCAAACCAGCGACCTTCTTGCTGTGAGGTGACAGTGCTAACCACTGAGCCGCTGTGCCAGTATACCAAGTGCTGTATATTTTATATTTTTTAGTAAATTACCAGTTAAATTATAGGTCAAGGTTAACTTTATTTGTATAGCACCTTAAAACAACACGAATGTTGACCTGGCAAAATAACAAACAGGACAGTATATAATACAATACAATATTAATCTAAATATATATATTTTTAAATCTGTACAGTCATGAGTACTAAAAATGAAAAAACAAAACTAATATTTATGAGTAAGCCAAAAAGAAGACGTTGATTTAGTTAAAAAAAAGAAAAAAAAAACACTTCTCATTTCTAATGGTAATATGTTCCAAAGTGTTGGAGTCTAAACTAAGAAAGCTCTGTCTCCTTTTGTTTTCAAGCGTTTTGTATTATATTAATGTTAATAATGCTAAAATTATGCTATATTGAAGTTAGTATCTGCAGCTGTATCCCATCTAGACATTACCCTAAAATAAGCTTGTCTTGTTACAAAGTATTCTATTTCAGTCACCATAAAAACCAAGCTTGCGTTAAAATTTTAAGACAGTATGTTCAGTTTCAGTATCTGCGTAGATACTGCACTTTGCCTTTATAGGGCAGTGTGCTGCATACTACACAATGCTAATCAGCCAAAACAACAAGTTGTAATACGACAACTAGTTTAAAAACTGACATAAAATAGCTTGCTACATCTTAAACATTGTGATTTCTAATGTAAAAATAATCTTGATATCATAAGTGGACCTCGGAAAACGGCACAAAATAATAACAACTAAAAAAGACAGTATAAGCAAGGGGAAAACTGATGTCCACTAGGTGGCATCAAAAACTCACAAGAAGCCACAAAAAAAAAAAAAAAAAAAACAAACAAACAAACAACTAAGTGTATAATGCCATTAATTTATTTTCAGAGGGAAAACTCCCATAAGCATTTAATTAAAATTCCATATAAATGCTAATTGCTTTTTAAACTGAAACTGCCATTATGTTATGCACAGCTTACGTTTATGAGGTGTAACCAGCAGGTCTACTGTTTTAGATGACAAACTGGGCCAAATTTTATTGATTTCCTTCCTTAATTCAGCATCACAAATGCGCTGAGCCAGAACTCCTGGGAAAAGGAAGAAGAAGAAAAAAAAACAACAATAAGAAAGCAAGTTTGTGAAATGCAGTTGTTTGAAATGTTGCTCTCACCACTCTTAATTTCCTAAAGTGAGATTCATTTTGTCAAGCTGTTAATGGATGTTACTCTTTAGCCACATTTTACTCCAGGGTTATAGTAAACAAAGTGAAAATAAGTAGAGAAAGTGACATTCAATTGACATGAACAGAACTTTGCAAAAGTCACCCCAGCTTTAGTCACCTGTAAGATTTTTGCACAGAACATTTATCTATATTTATCTTTTTAGTTTTAATGTCTTGTGTAGGGACCTAAAGCCTAAATGTATATATAAGAAAGAAAAAAAAAATTGAATCTGAAAACAAACGTTCATATCAAAAAGACCTCAAGCTTAAGTAATTTATTATGACCTCCATTGGCAGGCATGTCTTGAACTGTTTTGAGGAGACTCTCCTGAATATTCTTTGGGATTAATGTGCTACATGGAACAAAACGTCTTTCAGAAGTTTCCAGATATCTTCTCTTGATTTACTCTCATTTCAACTTTTTTCTCTCCAGGTGATCCCAAACTATTCAGGTCAGGACTCTGTGGACTCCATTTTATTTTTGGGTTTCATTAGTTTGTTCGTTCTTTCTCTCTCTCACTCACTCACTCACTCACTCACTCACTCACTCACTCACTCACTCACTCACTCACTCACACACTCACTCACTCACTCACTCACTCACTCACTCACTCACTCACTCACTCACTCACTCACTCACTCACTCACTCACTCACTCACTCACAGACAGATATGATTTGACTGCATTAACAGTGTGTTTGCAATCATTAAATTATTGAAGGAAAAACAAAACCCTTACGAATGATTGCTTTCTAGAAGGGATGGCATAATGGTTTAATATTAATACAACTGTTTCACAAAACTGAATAGTTCTAACTACTGATGAAGCTTAAAATTTATTTTCACAGTTTAAAATGTGTGCAGTTTTGGTGGAAAAAACCCTGTAATGAATAACATGTGCATCATATCAATGTAAATACATGCAAATTATTCAGAAAAAAATGTAAATTGTACTAGCTTTCAAGACATAATATGGACATCTAGACATATTTATCTAGACATGATATAGATACTGTAGTCACATTGGTTTCTGTAATAGTGAAATCACAGTCAGTTCATCTAGCTTATTATTTTATAGCTATATTCTACTGTAACATGCTATGTCAGTTAGCATCGGATTACAATGTAGATTGTGTCAAAGCAGCTTCACATAGAAGGTTATTGAATTGTGAATGGAATTAGTGTCATGGGACAGATCTGTGACTGGTGAGCAGATGGACAGTTAAATGAGTGTTTAACACATAGCACTAAGGGACTTTCACCTGATGCCAGTTTGATCTCCAGGGCAGTCCGGATGAGAGCCATTAAAGTGGAGGTAAAGTGAACCGTGTTGTCCTCGGCTATGGGCATGTTCATCCTCACCAATCGCTGCGGAATCACGGACACAGAGAGCATGTGATTAATATTACACACGACTGCAGGATTCGGAAATGACCATAACAAACGCCAGGAGGGTTTGCATGCTGAGGGAGAGTAACGACTTGGGCTTTGTAATTTCCATTTTCGTCAATTGTCATTTCCTAACTCTCGTCTCAGCACACAAATTGTCTCTTCAGGACATCGAAATGATGAGAGGAAAGAGTGTTTATATTTCATGCAGGGGTTGAGTGATGGTGGGAATGGGAGATGTTTTGCTGCATTTCTCCAGTTTGTGCAGACAGTAAAGCGGTTTCTGTCACGCTGGGAACAGTGTGAGCTTTCGCCATTATTGGAGGTTTACAGATTTCTCAGCGAGTGCACGATTACATGGCCTTACAGTGATTATGCTTAATAACCTGACAATGTGTGAGATCTTGCTAACAGCTTTAGTGGAGCGCTTTATTAGGTTCATGCTAAAATTGTGCACATAGATTTGTGATAATTACTTCTGGTATATAGTTAAACAATTTTAATAATGCCTGGAAGTCAAAATCTGTTAGAATTAGCTACTTCTTTATAGTACAGGTGTATTTACTAACCTAAACTAAGAATCAACAATACTAGTGCATGTTACACTAACATGTTAGTTGCACTAACATTGAATGGCTGTATTTTCATTAACTAATGTTAACAAAGACAAAGAAACACTGTAATGAATGGATTGTAGAGGTCTGCATTCAGATTTCGAGAATAAACCCGAATAAAAGCGCGGTAGGGGTCGGTAACGCTGGTGTAATTTAAACGGGAGCAGGCGGGCTATTAATATACTAGCGTTCCTGAGTCCTGACGTTATTTCCGAACATCATATCTGTGATTTCCTTATTCTTATTGAGCACAGGTACAGGCAGTGTTCATTGCTGTTACACATGCTGAACACATGACCAGTGCTCTCTGCATGTGCTTTTTTGCACAGTCTGTGCATGCATCATCTGCATAAGTCCTCAGAGCGGGCTTTACCAACATGGGAGAGCAAAGTGAAGATGCGCGGTCATTCAGCTTGCATTAGAAAATGATCAGTTTACTGTTGGAAAACCCAACTGAGCTGGCCAACTGAACCACGCTTGAGCCCGATTCAGAGCACTCACACTTCTCAAACGAACCAGGAAACGTGCCTTCAGTTCGGATAGAATAGTGTGAGTGCGCCCTAAAAAATTGGTCCCGTGCAGACCTCGAATGTATTGTTTATTATTTGTTCATGCTAATAACATCAACCAACATTAAGGAACATAAATACCTTATACAATTTTAGATAATCTTGTATCTCTTTATTTTTTAAAAATAACTAGTGATATTGGTCACACTTTAATAATGTTTGTATTTATTAAAAATATTATTTATTTATTTACTTTTAAATTATATATATATATATATATATATATATATATATATATATATATATATATTTTTTTTTTTTTTTTTTTTTTTTATAACAAATTAATTTAATTTAGTAAAAAACTATATAGCACCAAGCTGTTCATATAAAAAATACAATGTCTTTTAGCTTTCCTGAAATATTATTTAGGATATTTTACATTTTATTTGTGTAAAATATGACCTGGACTATGATTGCCAGAAATCGTAAAAAACTATTTGATTTAGATCTTGTAACACTGCCTGTCTGCATGAAACCAGTAGTGACTACTGTCCATGTAGAGAATGCATATGCATGTGTGGTATGATGGCTTTCTTTTCATTCAGCAAATGACCTTCAGAGAGGATGATAACAAAAGAGTAAGAAAAGATAGCATGCTGACCAACCAAAACCAAGAGCCACAAAAGCACAAACACATCACTCAGGGAAAAGTCAGAGCAGACGCTTCAAACATTAAAGTGCGTGTGAAATTAAAATCTACAATTTTTTTGTGCACATTGTTATTCTTTAGGTGAACAATTAATCCAATCAATTTACAATACGTGCGCAGAGCTACATTTTTGTAAACTATGAAATACATTGCTCCAGTGATGTTTTCTTGCAACTACTGTTGATGAATCCACTAAGGCTGCTGTATGCATTTTTTGTAAATCTTAAATACATTACTGGGATATGTTTTCTCACTCACTTACTATCCATCAGCTTGGTTCCTGATTTACCAGGGGTTACATTAGTGTTTTCAACAGCAAACGAGAAGAAAACACTGTACCATTGCAATATAGTTTTGGTATGATTTTATTTTTTTATTTATTTTTTTTAATCTGGTTTCTGGAACTGTCCTTTACCAGACTCAAACACAGTCCACTTCACATGCCATGTACAACACCATACAAGGTGAGCTACTGAGCAAACTGACCACTCCGTAAAGATAAGTGGACGAGGCAAATGCATTTGATTATGAATCAAAGATGCATATAACTTGTTTTGTGGTATTTATTCAATGCTATGGGAAGAACCATGCAAAAACAACCCTTTATTTGTCAATAACATGTCCCTGTGTATGTAATTAGCGCAAAAAGGAACAACATTGTCTGCATCATACTACATCATAGTATCGTTAGTTGTACCCAAAAACTGCAAGCAAATCTTTTGGATTGCGGTTTCTCAAAAATGTTGCCCTGAGCAAGTATTCCCAATGAGCCTGAGTTGAATTAATTCAGGAAAATGTATCCACTGAAAAAAAAAAATCATATTAAATTCGGATCATTTGCTTTTACTTATGGAGTGGCGGTCCTTTACAGTTGATGTCAGTTTGATGACTTTCATAATATTTTAACCACACCCCTCTAACTGTTAGTTTACTATCAGCTTGTTAAGTGTGACTTCACGTGAAGTGGCTTCCGTGTCCAAGCGCTCTATCAAACTGTATGTGGAGACTTGTCAAATGGTAATAATAAATGTTTACAAAGCGTTGTAATACTTTCAAAAATGATGATCGCAATTTATAGGAAATATGGGATAAGGGAATGATGTGCAAAAAGAAAGCCCTGCCCCCACTCAATATTCAGTTAGAAATATATCAATGTACTGAAATAAAAGTCTGAACAACTTTAAGTTCACACGAACTTTAAAGCACAAAGAAGTAATCAAACAAAAAGAAAACATATACAACATTAATCAGTGTATAAGAGTGTAACATTCATAGGGACAAGATTTCGCCTTCATTAGAGGGTGAAGCCCAGCCAAGACATGTTTCCACAACAACTACCGATAAAAAAAGAGAAAGGGGGAAAGGACGCTTGACTGAGCACACATCTACAGCAAGCTTGCTTTCTTTTCTCCCTGTTGATTCGAGTGGGGGCTTGTTCTATTTCGAGCGTGCTGCAAAACGAAGCATCCTCAAGCCTGTGTGGCCTCAGAGAGCAGCTCAACAGACAGACACGGATGAACGTTACCCATTCAGACAGCTAGAACAGGGTGTGTAAACTTACTGACTCGGAGGCAGCTCTCAAAGTGGCAGAACGGCCTGCCACTAAAACAGGCAGGCCTGTACCAGCAATGTTTAAGAGTTATGTTCTGTTTTTTTATTATTCTGCAGTTCTTCCTTCAATACAAGGCAAAGCAATGCACCAACTTATTCTGAATACTGTTGATGCCTCTGTAAATTAAGCACATTTTTATTCTGCTGTTTTCTCAGTGTGTTTATTCTGCTGCCCACTTCTGTTGAGTTGCCCATTGTAAATACATAGCTTTTTCTTCTTACTTATTACTAGTTATTCTCCCTTCTAAGGGGCTGTTCACATATGATAAGGTTAGATTTTTCCATTGCACTTTTCAGAATGCTTCAAATACACCATAAGTCATTTTGTCACCTTAGAATTATAAGGTTCTATCTGCGTTCTGAATGACTTTGAGATACTGAGCTTCAAAGTTTTTGCATACCATAGCATAGCATAGTATGTGTAACATTTGTTTTTAAATTAAAAAAAGTCTTAAAATGTAAATAACTTTTTAAAAAACATCCCATAATGCAAACAAGATGTCATTTAATAAGAATATGTTAATAACTCAATTTTGACAAAAATGTCAGATAGAACCTTATAATTCTAAGGTGAAGATTTGACTAGAACTAACTGCTCTATTTACTCAGACAAACAGCGAGCACCAAAACACTGCAGTGCTTTTTAATATTCTCCATAAATAAAACATATATCAGAGCTGCAGCAATAGTTTGTTTGTCAGTTCTGAGAGAACGGTTGATGGTTGCCCAGAAATGACAGACACCGTGAGATCGCAAACGCAAAGCGAGTTGTAAATGGTGAAGGAAGTGACGCGGCTCACACTTTCCACTCAGTTCTAGATACGTGACCAGCCCCTAGGAAAGCTTTTATGTGTATATGGGTAGAGTTGAAAGGGGGATTTCACGCCTAAAAACAATTGAATTTAATACAGCTGTAATCTCCCATTTATACGTTAGAATGTGACAGATTTTTCTTGAGGAAAAGCTAACGACTAAATATGCTTACCGTTATGTTATCATTATCTTAACACAAACTAATTTTAGTTTAGAGTAATATTTCATAAATACGTTTTCATGCATTCATTCATTTTCCTTCGTCTTAGTCCCTTTATTAATCTGGAGTCGCCACTACAGAATGAACTGCCACCTTATCCGGAATATGTTTTACACAGCGGATGTCCTACCACCTGCGACCCAGTATTGGGAAACATCCATACACACTCATTCACACACAAACTGTATGGCCAATTAAGTTTATTCAATTCACCCATCCACTTGTTAAGTGTGAATAACGCAAAGCTGTATTGTTTATTATTAGTTCAAGCTAGTAAATACATTAACTAAGATTAACTCAGGGTTTCTGCAGGGTTCACCAAATAAATTTAAGACTTTTTAAAACATTTTTAGGACCATTATGAATTACATTTTATTATTATTATTATTATTTTTTATTTATTTTTTTTTACTTTTTTTAATATCCCAGTTGGAAAAGATTTTCACTAGCCCTATCAAAAAAAAAAAGATTAAAATTAATTACTTAAAAATATTTTATATATTTTATAATAGTTATAATAATAATAATAATAATAATAACTATTATAATATTAAAATATATCCATTCACAACCCTTACCAAGAATAGAACAAAACATAGCTGTCAATTACTTTATTCTATAATAATAATAATAATTTAATAATAAATAAAAAAAATATATATAGTCAGGTCAGTATGCCTTAGCAGTAAATAAATGGAAAACTTTTAAGCCAATCTTACAGTAAGGAAAGTAACAAAATGCTATTTCTAAATAAAAAGTTAAAAGTTTTATTGAGATGGACTGTTGGTGATTGTATGGGTGTTAATGGCCAGATTGGGTATATCTATATGAACAAAGAAAAATTAAGACCTGTTAAAAAAGATGTAAGACCTACAACACAATATTTCAGTAGATTTAAAAAAAATTGTAAGACTTTTTAAGATTTGAGACATTTTAATACTTTTTAAGACCCTGCGGATACCCTGAAACTAATAAAACTATTGTAAAACGTGACAGAATTTTCAATTTTCTACAATGTATTTTTACAAAAATGCTAAAATTATAATTAGCGTGTGAAATTAAAACACTGGAATAGATAACTAATTTAAACTAAAATGTATTCAAATTAAATTGTAAGACTGATATTACTGTATTTTTTAGGCAAACAAATGCAGCCCTGATTTTTACTACAGCTTTACTACAGATATGTTACAATCTAGAATGTTTTACGAACAACACCAAAAAAAGCACATCAAAAAAAGAGCACAGCACAAAAATACACATCAGAAAACACGTCCACAGCTAGTGCACTGACTGACAGCCACATCAGCCAATGAGAGGACAGAAGAGGAGGAGCCAAGGGAGAGTCGGGGGTGGGATCTACCTTGTAGGCGATTCGTGGAGGACATTTCTTTCCCAAACCTAGCGGAGGGGACATGTGGCGGAGCATCTCGTACATATCGAGGTAGGACATGCGTCCACTTCACAGGGACAGTCACACGGACAAGGGGAAGGAGAAGTGGGAGAAAATGTGATGTGAATGAAAGAAAAAAAGAAAAAGGAACAAAACAGCATCGTTATCAAGGATTCTGAAGGAAGGTCAAGGGTTTTTCTGATACCATCCTGCCTGAAAAGGATGAATGGATCATGCCTGCTTTTAAAGGCTGCCAGTGATCGGGGAATGAAGAACATGGCATGATGGGACCGGGCAGAAGTTTCTGTCTTTGCATGCTACAGGCTAACCAATCAGATACACAGGAACAAAGCTAACATTTGGCCTAATTGAAAAACAAATAAATCTGCTGGAGTATGTCAATATTTACAACAAGCCAGACAGTGTAATGTGAACATATAGATTAGTTTGGAAAGAGAGATTTAGCTTTTGGCTTTGTTTCCTGGTTACCATGGTTAGCCATATTTGAATTAGTAAGGAAAGTGGAGGGAGTTTAATCCAATCAGAAGTATTATGGACATAGTTTTTTTTTTACAGCACCTCCCCATAAAGGAAGAAGGTGTGTAGGTTTTCAAACCTTGTATGCCACCCTATTAGGGCAGTTCTTTCCTAAGCCAAGGGGAGGTGAGATTACACGCAACAAATTGTACATATCCATATAGGGAATCCTTCCACTGCAAAAAAAGACATGGGTTAGACAGTTCAGAATGAGAGACATTTGATTAGATTTTATAAAACATGTCCTGTGTTGTTTTAATAAATGCCATTATAAGCTGTGTTTACCTTATAAAACTAAAGGATTTAGAAATTGAATATTCTTTTTATCCCAACGCCATTTAAATAGGGCACTATAAATGTTAAAGAACTTAATTCTTATATTTGCATATATACTTCTCACCATCTACTGTATCTTTTTCTAAAACATACAGTATAATGTACAAGCATGTTTATTACTAAGAAAACCAAAACAACCAAACAAAATTATACATTTTAATTGAACACATCACATCACATACAGTCCCTAGTCTGGGGCGGATTTAATCAATAAGCAAGGTAAGCAGACTCCCCCAAATAAATACCTAGAAGTATAAATTATACCTATAAAATAAATATAACATCATATTTTGTATTAAGCTTAATGTTTATTACATCACAAATGCACAAATGTGTCCTTCACCCTCACAAATTATATAAAGATTTAACTTTAAAATGAAATTGTTTATATATCATTTTAGTTGTGAATCCTTTTTAAGAAAACACTTAATTTAAAACGTTTTATAAGATGTTTTAAATGTTGTTATTAATTTTTTTGCGTTAAGACAAAATGTAGAAAAGTAGATTAAATGATGTAAGAATAAAAACAGCAAAATGAATCAATTAAATATAAATGAAAGTACAAAAGATACCTTTTAGAACTTCCGGGCCCCATGGCCGTAATTGCTTAGGGCCCCTAAATCACTAAATCCACCCCATTAATAAGGTACACATACAGTATTGTCCTATCTAGTATTGTGAAAAGACAAAGCTGAAAATTATGTGTTGATGTTTTAGCTGACGAAGTCTATGTTTAAAGCGCCACCCAGCGATCAAAAACTTTAGGTGCATTTACTGCCACCGTGGCAACAGCGAGTGCAATGGCAAAGGGAACAAATTGAAATATTAAAGGGCACCTATTTCAACCCTTTTTTAAAGATTTAAGATAAGTCTTTTATGTCTCCAGAATGTGTCTGTGAAGTTTCTGAAAACTTTCATCAGATTATTTATTATACCTTTGTGTATGTTAGAAATTTGAGCTGTTTTGACTTTGTACTGTAGCTGTTTTGGTGCCTGTGCCTTTAAAGCAAATGAGCTGCTTCTCCCTGCCCACCATACCGATGTGTATGTCAGAGCCAAAGAGATAGCTCACTATTGCAATGATGGGTGTAGCTTATCAGGCTGAGTCTAACACATACTGTATGCAGTACAGTGACAGACAAGAATGAAGCAGATCTCTCTTATTGCAGTAAGAACTTTCCTAAAGTCCATGAACCGGGATTGAAGAGTTTTTTATGATTAATACTATGTAGCTGAAGAATTACGAATCAATTTTACTGTCTATATTACAAACATGCACTGTTTTAAAAATATTTTAAACTTGTAAAACTTAATCTTGATGTGCTGCTGTACACAGAGAGCTGAAGAGATCGCTTAGGGGAGCGCAGGGCATAAAGTAACGAGGTGGTAAAATGTAACTCAGAGTATTAAGGTATTTGCTTATTTGTTTACACCAGTGTTGGCAGACATCTTTCTGCAAATTATTTAAAAAGTTCTGCGAAATTTGGATGAGAAACACAGGAGAAACCATTTTTGCTGCATAAAAGTATTTTTTATTATACTCTATATTTTTTTATTTTTGAAAAAATCTGTGAAAGTATGTTAGTAAAACCTTATATTGTTGTGATTACCGTCTTCTAGACTAAAAGAATAAATCATTTTGGAAGATGTAAAAAAGACAGTGACTGCTAGCCAGTTTTGAGGAAAACACGACACAGTGAGGTTAGTTGTAACAGGGTGTTACAATTAAACTAAACACTGTTGGACAATTAAATTGTCTGTTAAAACAATTAAACTAACAAAATATAATTTTAATTTTGAGCATAATGTTAAAAACTTTCTAAATAAAAATGGTAATAGAAAACATTTTTAATAGAAAAAAAATTATTGCTAATAATGCAAATAAATGCATTGTATAATAATGGATAATAATGCAAATAAATACAAATGTGTTTATCCAGTAAATAAATAAATATACTGTGCTATGTAGAATAAAAAATAAGTTAAGCTAATTACTGAGGAACCTACACATAGTTCTGTCTAAACAGCTTACAAAAAAGGAGTTTCATCATAGGTGCCCTTGTAACGTGTACACAAGCGTTTACTGCTAAATGTCCATAAATGTAATTTTTCAAGCATTTTTGAGACTTGTGGCTTTTCTTTAAGGGCTCTTAAAGAAAGAAAGCATCCAAAATCTGGGATCCCGCACGTTGGTTAACTTCAAATTCAAGTTTCATACCTTCAAATTAAAGGACTTCGATATGGGGACACATTTCAATTGTAAAAAACACTGTAAAAATATCTGTAACTTGACAGTTTACAGTATTTTGTGATTCATTTTTTTTCCACTTAATTATGCTTTTAATTTGCATTATGAGATCTTGATATTTCCTCTAAAAGCTTTTGTTGCTGTAAAAGTGTCTTATTAGTTTTAAATGATATATTGTCTGGGTTGGTGTCGTAATTTAAGAAACAACAACCTGGTAATACACTGCCAGTATATTTTATGTTTTTTCACAGACTTAATTCTTTATACATTTTTTCTTTAACAACACCTTTTCTTTTACACTACTAAAACATCAATAAAAGGTACTTTGTTCAATTGTAGAGTAAATTTTCAACATCAAAAATAGACAAAGCAGAAATAAAACTCACATAACGCAATTCACACCTGTAACTACACAGAAATCACATGTGAATCACAAAATATGAAAACAATTAACATATTTGTCAATTAACAGATAATTTTTTACATTATGTTACCTTATCAGACACATTGTTACAGTTTAGCAACACACAACTTTGCATTTTTGCATTTAATTTTGCATTGATTTTCTATTTGTCATTTTTGTTTTGCATAAAACTGGAAAAAATTAGGCACATTCTAATCTGTACTCTAAAATAATAAGCTGTTTCCGTTTGCATGGAAAAAAAGATGTGCCTTTTAAATGTTTATAGCACAAAACATTTATAAATGCATAAATATGTGTAACTACATTAAATAAAGCAAGTAAGTATAAAGAGACCACAAAATGTTATGTGTGAAATAACACATCAGTGGACCAGAGGGTTTAAAATTTAATTTTGTTCTAGAAAACGTCTAGCAGAACATTAATTTGAGCATCTATGTGTGTTTGTTGTAATATATATACAACAAAATTGTAACGACCCTCGGAAACCCTGCAAAATATACTTTAAGCAGCCATTAATCTTCACCAGCAAACTATCATTTTATTCATATCATATATACCATAAAGCTTTTTACAGAGGAATATGTTTATAAAAAATTTACCTGTTATATACAATATTTTATTTCACATAAAAAGTTATAAAAAAATGCCAAAAACCTCTCTGTAAAAACATTTGACTCTAAGGATAAAAAAAAGTTAATTTTAAACTTGAATTATCCAGTGCTAAGATTTTGATGAATATTTAATTAAACGAATATAACATGTTAAAACTCAACCTTTTAGAAACCTTGTAAAACCTATATTAGCAATTCTGAATATAATCAATTAGCTAATGAAGTATGTTGATAACTACTAGGTGTTTTTTTTTTCTCTTTTCATCTGCAATGTCATTCCTTGATACATTTCTCTTCCATATTCCATCAATATCACATACTTCAAGCTTATTGAGATAAGCACACTCAACTGTACATTCTCAGAGTTAAAATGGATTACACTGACAGAAAGGATAGAATTTAAAATCCTGAAAGTGAATGGCGTGCAACGGATAAGATTTGCATTCCTCAGCATAGACAAAGCTTGAGGATTTGATGGTCGCACAGTAAAATACGATTCTTGTGACTTAAGGCTATAGAGTAAATCAGACACCGTCCCGGTGTCGTACCCTTCTAAGCCGCCGTTTTTTAACCTCTTAGTTTAGAGCTGTCACATAGGGTGTTTTAGGGTGGCACTAACTGCTGGTGACACCATAGGGGAGTGATACGCACCAGGCGGCAGGGTCGTACTCAGCCCAGACGCGGATGAACTCATCTAGGTGATGAGGCCCCAGAATAGAAGCATCTCGTGTCAGATATTCAAAATTATCCATGATGACAGCCACAAACAGATTCAGCATCTAATGGAGATAAAGGAGAGATTATGACAAAATAGCAAAGGAAATCTCAATCAGAATGATGTAAAACATGATAATGGATTATATTTAGATATAAGTGGCTTCTTATTGGCTAGATATGTATTTATTTATTTTTATTTATTTATTTTTGTTTAATAATTAATAAATAAAAATTAATTCATTAATAATTAATAAATAAAAATCTTTTTTTTTATTGCTAACACAACTCAAAACCTTTGTGCTGTTAAATATTTACATTTTTATGAATTTTATGTTAGGCTCCCTTAAATATAAAATTTAAAGTAGCATAATTTATTGTTTTTACAATATGTTTTTATTTGTTAGTTTCAGTAAATTTAAAAAGGTACTTAAAGTTCATGTCCACATCATATAAATATTTTGATTTTAAATCATTTTTGGCAAACTACTTAACAGAGCATGATCTATAAAAATGAGTAGCTGTTCATTATCTTAACTTAACAAACATACAGTAACAAATTTATTGGCCATTAGTCATTGTTTCCTTACGCATTAACTAGAAAAAAAGTGAATTATGAGTAAACCAAATTTTGGCTAAAAATACAAAGTCTTAACTGTTACTGTTGATTAATTCATGACATTTAAAAATAATTCAAAAAAATTATACTATTAAATATTATTGACTCAAAATTATTCATTTATTCATTCATTTATTAATTTTCCTTCGGCTTAGTCTATATTTCAGAAGTTGCCACTACGGAATAAACCGCTTACTATACCGACATATGTTTTACACAACGAGTGACCTTCGAGTTGCAACCCAGTACTGGGAAACACCCATACACAAGTCATACACACACTCATACACTACGGCCAATTTAGTTTATTCAGTTCACCTATAGCGCATGTCTTTGGACTGTGGGGGAAGCTGAGCACCCAGAGGAAACCCACACGAACACAGGGAGATCATGCAAACTCCACACAGAAATAGCACACAGCAGAGACTCAAACCAGCATCCTTCTTGCTGTGAGATGACAGTGCTAACCACTGAGCCACCATGCTGCCCAACTCCAAATTATTGAAAGTAAAACAGCCATGTCTTATGTTGGGTTTATACCAAATGCAAAGAAATCATGTGCATTGCATCACACTCGCAAAAGTTTACTCGCAAAATCTTTTTCCACCTTATGCTATAACTTGTGTTTGTTTGTGTTTGATTTGTAAGTTTGAGATGTTTTGCACTAACCAGAAACGAGCAAAGAAAGATGAAGGAGACGAAGTAGAAGTATGCAAAATCGCTGCCGCACTCTTTCCCACTGTAGCCAGATTCTATATCGCAATATCTTTCACTCAGACAAGCCAACATGATCTCGTGCCAAGCCTCCCCTGTAGCACTTCTGTAACACACATGCACACAAACACAGCAAAATCAGTAAACAGGTTCTATTATATGTATTCTGCAGCTGTGATCTTAATCTACTAAAAGGAGTTGCACTTAAAGGGATAGTTCACGCAGAAATTTATCTAAAATTTTCTTTCTATTTACTTACCTCCAAGTGGTTCCAAAGTTTCTTTCTTCTGTTGAACAAAAAAAGATAACCTGTAACCACTGACTTCCATAGCAGGAAAAACAAATGCTATGGAAGTCAATGGTTACAGGTTTCCAACAATTTTCAAAATATCTTATTTTGTATTAAACTAAAGAAAGAAATGAATAAAGGTTTGAAACAAGTAAAGGGTGAGTAAATAATTTTGTTTTGGGTGAACTATCCCTTTAAGTTTCGTTACACAGCTATACAATGATTATAAAAGGAGTTTGATTGTTAAATGGTAAGTAATTCAAATGCTGACATTACCTGAACAACAACATGAGGGCCTGAAAAAAGGTGCGGAAGTTATTGTGAATGTTGATGGCCGAATCTTCATTGTTCAACGCGATGTTACCAAACACCTGACACAGAGAGAAAGCACGTTAAGCTTTCTAATTTCGGATGAATTGCAGACAATGCAAGCATTTTTTGGTGGGGACTGGCAGAAAAAAATACATGGCACAAAGTGTGCACTTTTCTATTGAGACAGCATGAAAATACCTGGAGGGACCGTGTCAATAATTCAGACTGCCTGCAGGGTTTGTTACAGTAAGCATCTGCAGAATTAACAAGGCCACATACACACATTGTACAAACTGTGACTCATGCTTTTGAATTTTACGACTTTATGCCAGACAGCAGACATAAAAATAAACACACTGACTCACTCAAATCTACAGTTGAAATGCACTGACAGACTGTCAAATTAATAATCTGTCAGCTGAAAACATTATAAAAAGTACATCAAGTGACCAATGTTTTAGGGTGGCATATGTACAAAAGTGTATACTTTTGGTTGTTGTTATTCCTAAATTGTCTTGTCAGTTTGAAGAAACATTCTGTGTCAGATTATGTCCAATTAATTTGTAATATCTATGAGAAGTTCATAATATCTTCACAATATATGCAGGGTTAGCAGAAAATAATATATCCAACGGAAGAAAATACACAGATACCTAGAACAAAAATGGCTACTTTACACTTAAGTTTGCTGTTGGGGATGTTTTCATCCACTCTGGGGTGATTTTGAGTCTTAATTTGGCCATAACTTTTTCTGTGTTTCAGCAAGCAGAATGATTTTCGGTAAAAACTCTTATTTTGACACATATTTAGGGAAAATGCTTTGAAATAGGAAAAAAAAAAAAAAAAAACCTCAACAAAACTCTGGGCAAATTTACAACCCTTAAGTTATGTTAGTGATTAAAATATCCATTAAATTAAACTGCTGTAAAAAGCATCAGAATTTAGTTTTTTTATTCACATAAATCTGTTAATCAGAATCACAAAACCTTCCTGATCAAAACTATTAAATTCTTTTTAGTATTTGCAACACGTTTTAGAAACATTTGCAAAAGCAAAAACAATTCACAGGAGGGTTAATCATTTTGAATTAAACTGTATATGTATAACAAACACAAAATGTGTAAAATAATTAACATTTGAAGTGCATCAAAAAGTTTTTCAAAATTGTCCTGACACAAAAATGTATGTTGTTCAATAGTTTTTGCTACATTTTGATGAAAGGTTGTGATCCACTTCAAAAGTTGTCTACTGTATATGTTTTACTTTTGTGCTGTTTTAGTGTTTCACAAAAAAAAAAAAAAAAAAATATCTGATCGATTTAATGCAGTGCGTCTTCGCAAAAAAAACAAAAAAAAATTAAAAAATACAAAAATAAACATTTATTTCTAACAAGGAATCAATCTTAGAAGGCTTTGATGTCAGTAGGCTTACACCAACAAATAATGTGCAAGCAGTTATAAGAATATACATGTAAAAAATACGAATTTAAACACTCTTGATTCTTTTTCCCTCAGATTTTTATTACAAGTTTAACAAATTTGTTAAATAATGAGGAGTTAAAAGCTTAAGTGTACATTAACAACCTATCACATTGTAAATAAAGCTTGAACTAATAATAGAAAGAGTGGAAAAGGCAGGTTAAAAATCATGTCTAACTTTGAGTAATGAAGCGAATAAAGATTTTGAGTGCACAGTTGATTGAAAGTCTTACCGATGCTGTTATTCCCCCAGTTTTACAGGATACAATTAGCAGTGATTTACAATGCGGCCTTAATCTCCTTGATGGCAGACGCTATCATTTCCAACACAATCTGGGAGATTGCCTGTGCGTCTTTAAACGAGCAATCAAACTTAAAGATGAGATTCGCCCGTTACACTGGAAAAATGGCCTCTCTCACAAAGGCTATAATATGCCAAAGCTTTCATATGGAAAAACACCACCTGCCTAAGCAAACTGTTTTTACAAAGATTGAGCCAAGATCAGTAATCTCTCCATCATGCTGAAGCTGTAAATGTGAAGTGAGATGCATGTAGCAGCTCTGATGATGAATACACATTAAAAGCTGCATGAAGCGTAGTTTACTAAGAAACTGAGTCTCACCTGCATCCCGATGATGGCGTAAATGAAAAAAAGCATTGCGATAAGGAGACACACATATGGAAGAGCCTGAGGACAAAAAAAGACAACAACATTAAAATGATTAAACTTTAGATCCAAGAGCAGTGCTATCTATCATCCGTCCGTCCATCCTTCCATCCACCTATACATACATCCATCTATCCATTAATTCATTCATCCATCCTTTCATCCTTCCATCCAATCTTTCATCCATCCATTCAATCTTTCATCCATCCAACAATCCATCCATCCATCCATCCATCCATCCATCCATCTTTAATAAGAAAATTTTGTGTTCTGCAACATCCAACTTTATAAGAAATAATACAATGTAATACACTAACAAGTAATGAAATAATACATTTAATCTAGTATGTTTAATTAAGCACAAAAGCAAAAAAATATTTTACACTTAATTTTATAAATTAATTAATGGATTTAAAAATGTATAATAAAAAAACAAATAAAGTCTATATAGTTATCCTTCTATAGATCTGCAAGCATCTTAAAATTAAAGTACAAAAAAAACATAAACAAAACAAATGATTTTTTAAAATGTAATGTGTTAATATTACATTAATATTAGCAATTAATATTGCTCAAATTGTCCATATAGAAACAAAGGTATTGGTTTGACCTTAAAGGACTGAACAAAGGTCCAGAGAAGGATCCGAATGGTGTATCCTTGCCGAAGGAGTTTAATGAGACGAGCCGCCCGGAAGAGTCTCAGGAAACTCAGATTAATCCTCTTATCCTGGATAAAAGTAGGAAAAAAAGGATCAGGGATGCATCACTGCTGTGGTATATAAACCCAAAATGAGGACACATCCTCAGTCAGTCTTTAACAGGCTCGGCTGCAACTGTTTTTATTGATAAGCTGTTAAAACTAGTTAGTCTCATGCAGTGTTGTTGACAGTCTGGTAATGATGCATGAATAGTCTTGCATGAACATGCTTATAAATAGGAATAAATGTATCTATAAAGGATGGGTGGTATGCAAGTTAGAGTACATCACAGTTGATTAATTTTGTTAGCTAATTTTAAACCCATAAAAAACATGCTTCCACTTCTTTTAACAAACTAAAATAAACTAAACTGGCTAATACTAGGTAATACTAAAGCCATAGAAAACTTACTTTCACTTAATTTAACAAACTAAACTAAACTATACTAAACTGGCTAATACTAGGTAATGCCAAAGCCAAAAAAAACATGCTTCCACTTCATTTAACAAACTAAACTAAACTAAACTAAACTAACTGGCTAATACTAGCAAATACTAAAGCTATAGAAAACATGCTTCCACTTAATTTAACAAACTAAACTAAACTAAACTAACTGGCTAATACTAGCTAATACTAAAGCCATAGAAAACATGATTCCACTTATTTAACAAATTAAACTAAACTAAACTAGACTAAACTAAACTAAACTAAACTAAACTAAACTAACTGGCTAATACTAGCTAATACTAAAGCCATAGAAAACATGATTCCACTTATTTAACAAACTAAACTAAACTAAACTAAACTAGACTAGACTAAACTAAACTAAACTAAACTAAACTAAACTAAACTAAACTAAACTAAACTAAACTAAACTAACTGGCTAATACTAGCTAATACTAAAGCCATAGAAAACATGATTCCACTTATTTAACAAACTAAACTAAACTAAACTAAACTAAACTAAACTAAACTAAACTAAACTAAACTAAACTAAACTAAACTAAACTAGACTAAACTAAACTAAACTAAACTAAACTAAACTAAACTAAACTAAACTAACTGGCTAATACTAGCTAATACTAAAGCTATAGAAAACATGATTCCACTTAATTTAACAAACTAAACTAAACTAAACTAAACTAAACTAACTGGCTAATACTAGCTAATACTAAAGCCATAGAAAACATGCTTCCACTTAATTTAACAAACTAAACTAAACTAAACTAAACTAAACTAAACTAAACTAACTGGCTAATACTAGCTAATACTAAAGCTATAGAAAACATGATTCCACTTAATTTAACAAACTAAACTAAACTAAACTAAACTAACTGGATAATACTAGCTAATACTAAAGCCATAGAAAACATGCTTCCACTTAATTTAAAAAACTAAACTAAACTAAACTAAACTAAACTAAACTAAACTAAACTAAACTAACTGGCTAATACTAGCTAATACTAAAGCTATAGAAAACATGATTCCACTTAATTTAACAAACTAAACTAAACTAAACTAAACTAAACTAACTGGCTAATACTAGCTAATACTAAAGCCATAGAAAACATGCTTCCACTTAATTTAACAAACTAAACTAAACTAAACTAAACTAAACTAAACTAACTGGCTAATACTAGCTAATACTAAAGCTATAGAAAACATGATTCCACTTAATTTAACAAACTAAACTAAACTAAACTAAACTAACTGGATAATACTAGCTAATACTAAAGCCATAGAAAACATGCTTCCACTTAATTTAAAAAACTAAACTAAACTAAACTAAACTAAACTAAACTAAACTAAACTAAACTGGCTAATATTAGCTTATACCAAAGCCATGGAAAACGTATTTTCACTTCATTTTACAAGCTAAACTAAAACTTTTAAACTGAAACAATAACAGGAACATTTCCATCAAAATTTGAAGTTCTAAAAATGTTAAAATCAAAATGATAAATATTAAATGATGTGAATTAATTAACAAATAAAGTATTTGCTTTTGATGACCCAACATGTTTAATAAATCATCAAAATATGTGAAACGTTCTATTGGAAAGAGAACAAAATTAAGGTCAAGGTTACTGCTATTTGATCCAGTCATCCATTCTCCTCCATATTCCTCAATGAACATGTTCTTTTTTTATAGCACATAGCAAAAGTTTCACACGCTTCAATATGTTTTACCTTATCAAATCATCAATAAGACTAGATTCAATCAATATTCCTTGCCATTTTTCTCCAATACTGCACTGTACATACCACCCATCTCTATTTTTTTTTCAATACAGGGAAACAAAGGGAAGAAAATAGGGAAGATCTATTCGCCAATGTGAATAGAGCTTCACATCTCTGCCTGGAGCTGGACTGAACAAGTTCATCTGATCTCAGCAGGTTTAAAGGTGAGCATTCAAGATTAGCCTGAAGATGTTTGACAGGAGGAGAGGTTTGGACAGAGACAGGCAGTGCAGGAGCAATGAAGCCACTTACCGTCTGCGCAGTCCGATTGGGGAAAGGAAGGGGACAGGTGCCAACAGAGATTTAGCATGGAAATAAGAGTCACAGTGAAATTGTTAGGAGAAGCCCGAGTCTGTTCCTGACAAGCAGAGATGCGCCTGTCAACACTCATTAAGGGGAGATCTCCAGATCTTCATCTTCACTAGGTGATTTGGGTTATAATGGATTGTATGATTATAGGCTAATTCAGATTAATTTGATGTCATCTAGTGAAAAGTTTGCATTTTGTTTAAAAAGTGCCCATTTTTTTATTCACAGTGTTCTATTCAGTGGAGATCAAAATAAGAGAACTATTTGTAAACACTTACTTTTCAAAATAAAAATAAATATTAAACAATACATTTGAAGTAATTTTCAATATGGCTATTCTACAGTATAACCAAAACATTAACCAAAGCATTTCAACAAAAACAACATTATTTCGTGGAAACCTGTGTTTAAAATTAAAGAGCAGCAATCATTGTAGCTCAAAGAAAGATTACAGTTAAATGTTTGAAGTTTATAGCTGTCAAAAGGTATTAGTCCACATGACCTTGCATCGAATGACACTGCAAAAATGCTTGGTTCCACACAATAGATTTGTGTTAGGACAACATATAAAAGAATTAAGTAATTTGTATACTATATATAGTGATATAAAATACAGTGTTAGATAAGTTAGTTTAAAAAAGTAATCAGATTATTATTAATATAACTTTAAATTTGACATATATATATATACTGTAGCTTTAAAAATTAATATAGCTTTAAAAATAAAAAATAAACTGCAGCTTTTTCAGTTATTAAATCTTCAGTAAGAAACATTACAATAGGTTGATCACAGCAGCTTGACATATTCAAAAGACTTTAGTTTGCCAAAACTCTAATATACCCTCATCATTCACTTTATCCAAACCTTTTTTAATAGAAAAGTAAAAACTGGATGCCTTTTTGGGGGTTCTGTGTTTGTCTGAGGTCATTAGTCTTCCTAAATGTACATGTTCCAAAGTATGAAACAGATCAGTCAGTTCTTGTCATGTGACTAGCGGTTTTCAACTGAGTGCGCCTGGGAAATGCGAGCACGGCCAAAATGCACTTCCAATATTGTATATGGGCGAGCGCAAATGAAGCGATATGTGAATGGCCCCATAAGCAACTATGCTTTTCTTTACATTCAGAAGATACCTTCACTCCCGATCCTGCACATTTTTAAATATTTTTGCCTGTTTAGGTTGAGTGGGCCACCGTGTTTTTGGGTCCCGGTGTACTTCTTGGTGACGGGTGTTGTCATAGAATGCTTTCAGTTCTAGTGCTTGAACAATTTGCTGGTCGAGTTAAAAGCACTCAAAAGTATTGTTGTTTTTTTTTCGCTCAGTGGAAATCAAAGTAATATCTGTATTTCCATTTAAAGAAGCAAGCACTCTCGACAGCAGCTATTTCAGCTAGCGTTCTCCAGCAATTAAAAAAAGCGCATGCTTAGTAACTAACATTGCAACAGAAAACATGATTTAAAAGAAATGTTTTTTTCTTCCAAAATACTTGGAATATTTGTGACACAAGTAACACAATTACATTGACTTAGTAACTGTAATCAGATTATACAAATTTGAAATTTAATTCATTACAGTACTGTGTTCCTCAAAAATGTAATTAGAATACAACAATTCATTACTGTGGAATGTGTTACACCATACTCTGATCATATATAATATTATGTAATGTAATAGTAATACGGTATAACTCGTTAAAAATGTAAAATTGTGTTGTTTCAGCTCATTTTAAATCAGTAGTTTGAACAAACTGCAAATGCTTTTTTTTTTTTTTTTTACTTCAGCACATCTGCGGCCACAAGACATCACTAGTCTCACCCAGACAGACAGTCTCTAACAGAATATCGCCTGTGTCTTACCCCTGACCACACTAACACATTTTTTTTTTTTTTTTTTTGTGGTGATAAGAACCATTTTAATATTGTTTTCTATTGGGAGTAAGTATTTTGCACCCGGAGTGCCTCACGTCCTTACTGCCTGCTTTGCCTTAGTTCCAGAGTTCTCTGAGTGTCTGCAGATGAAAAAGTCAACCTGACAAACCAAGAACGTTGATAGCGTGGTTGCCTAGCAACTTAAAAAATGCAGCGCACTGCTCTTTTCTGAAGGTCAGCAAAAAGGCAGTGCTGTGCAACTTGTGTTTCCAGAACTGATCTGCCCCTTACACTACTCTGCTGTGATCTTGATCTGCTTATCTTTCAAGCCCTGTTTACACTAATTCGTTTTAATGCAGCATTTTAGAAGGAAAACTATCCACATCCACACTGGCGTTTTACCCAGCGTTTCTAAACAATTCTCCATCTGCATTACACAACTGAAAACGCACATCACGTGACCACACACACACTGTGGCATGCATTGCAGCATGCTTTGAACATGCCTACCGATGAGAGCTGAGCATGTCGAACTGTTCATCAAGGATCTACCGCTGAATCTAATCTCACTATATTTATTAAACGTGAGATTTAATTCATGTTGTTATCTCTATATCTAACAACATATTTCCTGACTTTTGTCTTTTGAATCTATCACTTGTTCTCAGGTCACATGTTTTGACTGAGCACAAAGATAAGTTAGGTTAATTTATTAACTTATGTAACCGCGGACACTGATTCTGCACATTTGACTGATTGCTTGCCTTTATTTCCCATATTGTATAATCTTATTGTGCATTTTTTTATAATGGCCATTATTGATTATTAAATTGACTTTCAATGAAAGAAACAGAGTATGTTTTATATTTTGCATCAAACTTGCAAAGTATGAACTTACTCGGAGTGGATGCAAGACTGAACTGTGTGTAGGCTACTTAATATTGAGGAAAAAGCCCCAATGAGATGCAGCCACACCTTCGTTTTACCCCATCCACACTGAGACTGAGCAGCAGCAGCGTTTTAGAATGAAAAAAAAGCTGTTTTTGGCGCTCGAAAACTCCAGCGTAGTGTGGACGGATGGTTTAACCGTAGCAAAGCGTATGCGTTTTAAAACAAAAACATATTAGTGTAAACGGGGCATCAGTTTATTCCACAGCTTAGCGACTTCAGTGGGTTTCTTATGCTGTAACTTTGTCAGCAAGGATTTTGCAGAGATTTTCAATTGGGTTTGGATCAGGACTCTGGGCAGCCATTTCAAAATATCAACTTGTTTGTGTCAAGTAACTGCATCACAGATTTTTCTGTTTTTCAATTATAAATAGGGTTTATTAGAGAATTTAGGAATTGATGCACGACCAAGTCATTGTTATGCAAGTTGAGACTCAAATCTTATTTAATCAAATTTAGCACTCAAGTCCAAGTCAAATCACAGACTCATAGACTCGAGTTTGCCAACAGATGTTAGCTTAACACCAGTAATTGAGAGCATTTGTATATTTGTATCTCATGAAATATGCTTAAAATACTCTTTTACTCTTGTTACTGTAGGATAACTGTAAACAAGACTAAGCAGTGACTTTTATTTCTGAAACTGCACAGTAGGCTGTTCTCTAATTTTGATCTCAACTTTATATATAACACACTGGGCAGGATGAGAAACATATATTCTCAATAAATGTCCTTGTTTTTTTCTTTTTTATTATTATTATTATATATTTTATTTAAACTATGACTTTTGACAGTATTAAAATGACCTACAATACTTCCGGGTTTTCAATGGAACTCTGTCCCCGTGATTTTAACCACAGACAAACTGAAAGCAGACTAAAAGTGCAACACAAATGTGACACAAATAATGCCGAAAGCTCACATAAAAGAGATATCAAGTTAGACGTATAGAGCCTGTCATCTGCAACATCCACTGAAGACAGACAGTTTTATTATTTATAGCATCTCTCATATACGTGTTGAGATTTAAAGCGATTAAAATATGAGATTCTCAAAAGCTTTGATGCGTCTCTTTGATGACTCACCTTGATCTCAGTAACCAGGATGTCTGTGATGCTTCCCAGAACAGTAACAAAGTCAAAAATGTTCCAAGCCTCTTTCAGGTAGTTCTGCAAAAATGGAGAAAAATATTAAAAGTACAGCAATTAAATCCTATTCCACCATTTTCTGAATACATAAAGTTTAATAACAGCGATGACTTTAGTTTATGGTTTTAATTTTCTTTAATTTAATAACCCAGTGTCAGACTTTTGAAATCAGCTGAGTCAAATCTATAAAGAGTGCTATTCATGTGCAAAGTTGATTTTCCTTCTATACATAAGTTCAAAATGAGTCACTTATGAAGTTTTATTACAGTTATTATGCTGTATTTGAATGCAGGTACATTAATAGATGGTAGGGCTCTAGAGTCAAGATTCTGAAAAAAAAGAACTTTTTGAATAAATTAATTAAGATTACCCCACTTAAATCCTGCACTTTTTCTTATATAACATTGTCTGTATGTATGTATATATATATATATATATATATATATATATATATATATATATATATATATATATATTTTTTTTTTTTTTTTTTTTACTTATGTTTGGAATAGAGATATTTAACTCACAAACAAGAACTATTTTAAATATTACAATTTTGTCCATAAAAGACAGATGAAGTGGGCTAATAACTAAAAGGGTATACTGTACACTACCTGACAATAGTCTTGTCGCCTATCCAAGTTTTAGGAACAACAAATAATAGCTTGACTTCTAGTTAATCATTTGGTATCAGAAGAATTTGATGATCATGCCTTGATTTTGAATTATTTATTTAGGACAGTAAGGTCTGACTTTGCTTAGACAAAAGTCTTGTCACTTAACAGAAATAATATACAGTACAGAATATAAAGTTGTGGTGCACTGGAAAAAGAATTAATATTGTGTATGACTACCATGAGCTTGGACTGCATCCATACATGTACATCTCTGAAATGACTCGAATATTATTAATAAAGTCCTCTGCAATGGCAAAGAAAGTGTTCTTGCAGGACTCCCAGAGTTCATCAAGATTATTTGGATTTCATCTTCAATGCTTTCTCCTTCATCTTACCCCAAACATGCTCAATAATGTTCATGTCTGGTGACTGGGCTGGTCAATCCTGCAGCATCTTAACCTTCTTTGCTTTCAGGAACTTTGATGTTGAGAATTTTCCCTGTCCTGTAATTTGTAATGTAATGGGCAGCACAAATGTCTTGATACCTCAGACTGTTGATGCCATCCACTCTGCAGATCTCTCGCACGCCCTTATACTGAATGTAACTCCAAATCATGGTTTTTCTTCACCAAACTTGACTGATTTTTGTGGGAATCTTGGTTCCATGTGGGCTTCAATAGGTCTTCTGCTGTATTTGTGATTATTGGGATGCAGTTCAACAGATGATTTATCTGAAAAAAATCAACCTTCTGCCACTATTGCAAATGATGAACTAGAAGTCAATTGCAAGTGCTCTTACAACTGGGATCGACAGACTTTTGTCAGGTAGTATATGCTTTTTACATACCATGGACATTCATGACTAAACTTTAGCCATTTTGGATTCTCCAGATTTTTCTTAAAGTGCACAAAATGCTTTGCATTTAAAAAATATCTGTTTACATAGAAGCATTCAGGTACCATTTGCCAGTTTATACACCTGAGAGAGGCTTTCTAAAACATTGCATATTAGTCACAACAGTTAATGATTAAATTAAATAACCAATCACTGAATTTCTTTTTATCTCACTAAACTTTTATTTACACTAAAACATTTTCATTCATTCATTTTCTTGAAGGCTTAGTCCCTTTATTAATCCTTGGTCGCCACAGCGGAATGAACCGCCAACTTAACCAGCAAGTTTTTACGCAGCAGATGCCCTTCCAGCCGCAACCCATCTCTGGGAAACATCCACACACACACACGCACACGCACACGCACGCACACACACACACACACACACACACACACACACACACACACACACACACACACACACACACACACACAATATGGACAATTTAGCCTACCCAATTCACCTGTACCACATGTCTTTGGACTGTGGGGTAAAACGGAGCACCCGGAGGCAGGGAGAACATGCAAACTCCACACAGAAATGCCAACTGAGCCGAGGTTCGACCCAGCGACCTTCTTGCTGTGAGGCGACAGCACTACCTACTGCGCCACTGCCTCGCCTAAAACATTTTCCTTTGCAATAATATTTGTATTTTGAGTGTTATTTGTACATCCTGTCATAGCATTGACAAGTCACAGAAGTACACGCGTTTTGCATTAGGATCAATGATTAATTCATTGATTGATAATTTGAACAACAATTGACCATGGGTATTTGCATTTTTACTAGTGAAGTCAGTTTTTGAAAAGGTTTTATTTTCTTCTAGTGAGGTCAAAGTGGCTCTCGCAATCTTTGAGAATTAAGTCTGCTCAAACCAAGGCATCCCGAAATGCAGACATCGCTGAGTCGTTTAATAGATCTTTCATGGCAGGACGGTCTGTCAGGTGTCGTAGCCTTGGGTCCTGAGTGCTGCAAAGATTAGTCGACTGCTGCTAGACACGGATCCCGGGCAGAAAAACGAGCGAGAGACATTCATCAAGCTTGAGCGCCAAACAGGTGGAGGTAAACGCAGGCGTCACGCACCAGAAAAGCTTCTTAATAAATGAGTCTCATAAATGGAAATGGAGCTTGAGATGAGACCTTCTGCTGCAGGTCAGACCAGCCGGCGCTGAGGAGAGATTTATGATGCGCTCTTACTGTACTCATACTTACACACTGGGCTCAGCCACGGGGCCGTCATTAAACCTCTGACTGGTTTCACAGCCCTCAATCAACCAACATGGATACGCTTTCTTGCTTACATCAGTCATTCATACTCTCAGTTTATTCTGCTCATCTCTATTGTGCATCAAAGTTTGAACAAGCAGAAAGTCTGCTCCATTCTATAGTTTATTCTGACCAATAACATCTCTGTTAGACTGACCTGTAAACTGACCAGCCACAGTTTAAGATTTAGACATATCCTAAAAAAATCAATCAATCAACCAATCAATCAATCAATCAATCAATCAATCAATCAATCAATCAATCAATCAATCAATCAATCAATCAATCAATCAATCAATCAATCAATCAATCAATCAATCAATCAATCAATCAATCAATCTATCTATCTATCTATCTATCTATCTATCTATCTATCTATCTATCTATCTATCTATCTATCTATCTATCCATCCATCCATAACCCCAACGGTTCAACATCCACCCGCCTGCTCTTTGTGGGGCTTGAACTATTGTTACCATCATTAGAGTAATCTTATAAGAAGGCAGAATCCATGCACTCTATCTTGTGTTGCTAAACCACCTCTTGAGATCAGAGGAGGAGGTTTCCAGCACAGCACTTACCCGCTGGCCATAATTACTCCTAATCCTTACTTTCATCCAGGTCACGGCACCAATGTAGCCTCTTTGGTCTGATACTCACTGACTCCTCCGGCAATTCAAGCATGAGAGGTGGCCACTCTAATTAGTGTAACCCCTGCCGGTCCTAAAGCACCCAACCCGCTCCAAGCTGGGATCGAACCGGTAACCCTCAGGGGTGTTGGTTGCTCTAACAAGGAGGCTAAAGAACACGGCAATATATATATATATATATATATATATATATATATATATATATATATATATATATATATATATGTATGTATGTATGTATGTATGTATGTATGTATGTATGTATGTATGTATGTATGTATGTATATATATATAAATTATATATGTATGTATGTATGTATGTATGTATGTATGTATGTATGTATGTATGTATGTATGTATGTATGTATATATATATAAATTATATATATATATATATATATATATATATATATATATATATATATATATATATATATATATATATATATATATAATTTCCGAATTTTTATATATATATATAACTGAATTTTAAATGTCTCTGGTCTAGCAAACCAAAGTTCATGATCAGTTCATGATGAAACATCTTCACTGCCTGTCAGGTTCAGTACCATTTTTGTAAACTGAAAGAACTTACATTTTTCAGCAGTTAGTTGTGCTACACATGGAGAGTAACTGTATCAAATGTTGACTATATTGATAAAGGTAATATGAGAGTGTGTCCAGTCTCACCAGAGGACCGAAGGCGATGACCTTGAGAACACACTCCAGTGTGAAGAGTGCAGTGAAGATGATGTTCAGCCACTTCAACATGTCCTCATAAGGTTTAGGAGCACCATGGAACTGCAGAAAGCACAAACACACAGTGATAGTGGCTCACTAAAATATTCAGAACACCAGTAAAATGAGAAATGACTTATTGATAGTGTCCACATCAGTTCACATACAGTAAGGAAGACTGCTGAAGCTCAATCAGAGCACTGCAGTCTCTCAATGTGTGTCTACAACCTTGGCAGTGTTTTATAACTGAAGAAATAAAAATAGAGGAGCTAAGGGAACTTCCTGTTGGCAATTTACCAGGCGAACCATTGACTGATGAACTCTAGGCTGCTCTAGACATTATGCCTGGATGTTTGAAAACACTCATTTAATTTCAAATGCCTCTTTTTGTTCGATTTCAAATGAATTAGAAAGTCCTCTGGATTACTGCCAGGCCATAGAGAGTTATGGGGGAAATAAAAGCATCCTAGATAAATGACTGAACATAAATTTCCATTTTTAACCTTTTTTTTTTTTAAATAACTGAAGCTGGTTTATATTAGGTGTTATTTGATACAATGCCCTTATAATGTAGATATGTGGTTTTACATTGATTGGATGAAACTAATTGTCTATTTTAATGAAAATGCAAGCACTGTATCCATTTAAAAGTGGACAAAAGATGTTCAATCTTCTGAATGTGTACAGAGAAGGAACTCATACTGACTTGTGTGTGTACAACAATCTTATTTTCCATTAATTTTCTATGTAAATGTGGTTGAGGGCCATACATAACCATTATACTCTCACGTCTTCTGCAACACCGTGTTTTTTAGACACCTTGTCAAGATAAAACAGTTTCAGCTTTTACATGCAGATGCGCTCATTAATGTCAGAGCAGTGGACCAATCAGAAGAATATATACAAAAGCATATATACACTCACCGGCCACTTTATTAGGTACAATTTCTAATCACCCAATCACATGGCAGCAACTCAATGCATTTAGGCATGTAGACATGGTCAAGACAGTCTGCTGCTGTTAAAATCGAGCATCGGTAGTATGTACAAATTGCACAGGCTCACTAAAATTGCACAATAGAAGATTGGAAAAATGTTGCCTGGTCTGATGAATCTCAATTTCTACTGTGACATTCGGATGGGAGGGTCAGATTTTGGCGTCAGCAACATGAAAGGATGGATACATTCTGCATTGTATCAATGGTTCAGGCTGGTGGTGGTGGTGTAATTGTGTGGGGGGTATTTTCTTGGCACACTTTGGGCCCATTAGTACTAACTGAGCATCGTATCAATGCCCCAGCCTACTTGAGTATTGTTGCTGACCATGTTCATCCCCTTATGACCACAGTGTACCCTTCCTCTGATGACTAATATCAGCAGGATAACGCGCCATAGTATAAGTTTGTGAATCATTTCAGACTGGTTTCTTGAACATGACAAAGAGATCACTGTACTCAAATGGCCTCCACAGTCACCAGATCTAAATCCAATAGAGTACCATTGGGATGTGGTGGAATGGGGGATTCGCATCACAGTGTGTACATGTGTAGCCGACAAATCTGCAGCAACTGTGTGATGTCATCATGTCAATATGGACCAAAATCTCTTTTTAAACCTTGTAGAATTTATACCACAAAGAATTAAGGCAAAAGAGGTCCAACCCAGTACTAGTAAGGTGTACCTAATAAAGTGGCCGGTGTGTGTGTGTGTGTATATATATATATATATATATATATATATATATATATATAATTTCAAATTTACTTTTTAAAGCAGCATAAGACTAGCTAGCTTGATAATAAATTCCACTTCTTTACCTGACTTTCTGAAGTTAGCAGATTTTACCTTCATCATGAGCACCACTGTATTGATGGCGATCATGGTCAGGATGGAGTACTCAAACGGAGTCGACACCACAAACTTCCACATCTTGTACTGGTAAGAGTTCTTGTCTTGCGGCATGTAGCGAGTCAGAGGTTTAGCATTGATGGCAAAGTCAATACAAGCTCGCTGTGGAAGAAATCAAAGCATAATGAGATGTTGAAGTGAATGTCTACAAGCGTACATCAACTCATCATCTTGATCCTTCTGTGTTTGATTATTAGAAGAGCACTGCTTTTCCCAGAGCTCCAAATCAAACGCATGAAAGGCTGTGAATGAATGAGCACTAGCAGACAAACATCAAACCAGCGGGACAAAACTGCACGATTTAATATTTAAACACAGCCTAATATGTCATTTGGGAGAGGATACAGATATTCAGATACTGAACAAGACGCATGTAAGGAAATCACTTTAGAGAGAGAAAGGAGAATATGCATGAAAAGAGCTAGATGATTAAAAGCTTACATAATCATTTTGACTTAAAATATATCTTTTTACTTTTTGTCCAGAATTCAAATGAACCCATTTAATGAGCTCAGGGAAACAAGAAAAAAAGTTACATATTTAATTTGTACAGTAGACTGATGCAGTGGTGCAGTAGGTAGTGCTGTCACCTCATAGCAAGAAAGTCGCTGGTTCAAACCACTGCTGGGTCAGTTGGCATTTCTGTGTGGAGTTTAGAGGTTCTCCCCCCCCCTTCGCGTGGGTTTCCTCTACCTGCTCAGGTTTCCCCCACAGTCCAAAGACATGCGGTACAGGTTAATTGGATAGGCTAAATTGCCCGTAGTGATTGAGTGTATATGGTTGCTTCCCAGAGATGCGTAAAACATGTGCTGGATAAGTTGGCGGTTCATTCCGCTGTGGTGACCCCGGTTTAATAAAGGGAGTAAGCCGAAAAGAAAATGAATGGATGAATAATTTGTACAGTACATTACGTTGATCAGATTTCTGAAATATAAACTGGAGATATTTTATAGTTTAGTGGTCAAAATATAATTGTAATATTTTAGTATTGAATTACTTAATTAATGAAATGAAACAGGTAACTAAGCGTTTTTGCACTGTACTTTAATAATCACATTTCAAGCTATCATTAATTATCATTGATAAATTATAAATTATGATGATGTTTTCAAGTCAATCTGGCTAGTCAAAATTTTTTATACATTCATTTATTTTCTTTTCTGCTTAGTCCTTTTATTAACCTGGGGTCGCCACAACGGAATGAACTGCCAACTTATCCAGCATATGTTTTAGGCAGCGGATGCCCTTCCAGCTGCAACCCATCTCTGGGAAACATCCATACACACTCATTTACACTCATACACTACGCACAATGTTTCCTACGCGTGTCTTTAGACTGTGGGGGAAACCGGAGCACCCGGAGTAAACCCATGCGAACGCCTAGAGAACATGCAAACTCCACACAAACATTTTAGTTTTTTTTTAAATAAAAATTAAACAACACAAAAGTCAAATTTAACCATTGAAAATAACAAACAGAACAAATATGATTATAACTGAGTTATGAGAAGGCCCACACGGAATCTTCGCGCTCAGAATTCCGCAGATTTCCACAGGTTTTTAGCCCATCATTAATTCTGTTTATTTACATGTGCAAATGTGTGTAGATTTATATTTATTCAAGTTTTACTATAAGTAATGACTAATATGAAAATGTTCATATGATTTATTTACAATACAGTTTGTATTATATGAGAGTCTTGCTTTGATTACCAAATAAATTGGATCTGCATTGTAGACATTAAATAAAAGTTACAAAGCTATTATTTTGTATGTAATATATTTAGTTTTTAGTTATTATACTTTTAAAATCATTCCATATAAATCAGCAGATTTTTAACAAAATTCTCGGCAGAAATAGCAAAAAAAAAATGTCTGCAGAATTTGTCTGGCCCTAGTTATGAGTTATTTACACTTTATTTAACATTGCATTGGTTTACTGATCTGCTTACTATGCCTATGTAATGCACTTCAAATCAAATATTAAGGAGGCTAAATAACTCCTATGTTACCCTGTTTCCACTCGGCATTATAGTGTGATCTAAGGCACATCATCATTTCCAAACTGTTATTAAGGCCCAATCCCAATTCTAATCCTTAGCCCTTCCCCAGACCCCTACCTCACATTTTGTGCATTTACGTGAAGGGTTGTCCCAATTCTCTATAGCTTGAAGGCGTAGGGATAAGGGGAAGGGCTAGATACCTCTCGAATGAGAGATTTTTCAGGACCACACTTGAAACCAAGGAGTATGAAAATTTCCCAGAATACACCAGCCACAACAGCAGAATAGCTGCACCCAGAAGTAAAGAGATCCACAAATTAGTATTTTTTGTCATAATTACGAATTTTTACAACAAACAAGCACATGTTTTAATATATTCATTACCGCGTTTGTGTTTTACCGTCATGCTTAAAAAAAAAAAACGCTAAAATAAAAAACGCTAAATTTCGCTATCCGTAATCCATAATAATACAGTAGCTCCTGTACAAATCAACATTCTGACACTCGATGACACTCGAATAGCCTGTCAGAAAAGTCTAGTGGCTGGGAATGGGCTTTTTACAGTGTCTGCTATAATGTTAATCTTGTTTTCTTGTGTTTAAATGAATATGGCCACGGTGTAAATGCACAGCACAGTTACACGATTATTGCCACATTATATCATTATGATATCATGATATTGTTGCCTTCAGTAATGTCCTGAAGATAAAAACCACAAAAATAAAGCAACTGGAATAACTACAGCAGTCGCGATCGTTGATATCATATAAAGCAAGAGATCATGATGACATATAATGAATTGTGCAGGTATTGTAGTGCTGTCCCATTTTTTTAGGGATAAATTTTGAAGCCCTTCCCCTTCATGCTCTGTATGAAGGGCCAAGAGGAAAGGGGTACAAAAAATAGAATTGAGATTGGGCCTAAAATGTGTTCAAAAGCACTTCATGACCAACCATGCACAAGATGACATTTGTAAACAGTATCATATGTGAATGCTACCTCTGAAATAGAGGTGGGAATCCATAGGGACTTTTTGATCCGATCCGATTTTTGGAGTCCCAATTCAATTCCAAAACGATTCTTTATTCACATGTTTTCCTATTTCTTCTGCTGTACATTTACAACTTAAAATTTTTGACCATAACTTGAGCTATTCTATGCTGTTTTTAATAACTGGAATCTTTATAAAATAGTAGTGCCATTTCAAAAATTATTTGATTAAAGTATATTCAGTTTATTCAGTATCATTAATATTAAAAAAGAAATATATAGACTGTCATAATCTAATTTTAATACAGAATAAATTCTGATCTTGTAAGAATTGGTCAGAAAAAAAATCCAATGCATTGATGAATACATTGTTTTTATCATATCTTTAAGGTTATTGCACACTGCCTCCAAAACTTTCATCCGTCAAAAAAATTGAATAGTGTTTTGCGGGACTGAGAAATACATCTTAAAGTCAATGTGAACCAAACGTTTCTGAGACGTTATTACAGTATGTTGATGCACTTCCAACTGAAACAGAGTACTGAGTAGGGGGCAGGGCTTTCTTTTGTGTATCATTCCCTCATAGCAAACTAACAGTAAGAAAAGGTATTAATATGCAGTTGCCACTGTAAAATGTGAAAGCAAAGGGTCAGACTTTAATTGAAGATGATCAAAACAAACAGTTTTTTTTTTTCCAGTGGATTAATTTGCACTAGATTAATTGATCACCTTAAAAATAAGAATGTAAGTTAGCAACAGTATCATTGTAAATTTTGATTTCACATGCACTTTAATACCGAGGACTTAGTAAGCATCAGATAACCGAGTCAGAGAGTTGAGAGAGTTCAGCATGACTGGTCTTATAGCTCCTCCTGGGCTTTACTTCTGTACATGTGTTTGTCAAAGCAGTTTAAAGTCAAGGTGATAGAGATACAGACAGACAGATGCATTGGATTCACAAAGGTGAGATGAATTCTCTTAAGAGCGCTCCTCTTCCAGGCACCTCACAACTGTCCATGCATGTATGAAACATGACTTTGACCTTGTATTTGCATGCACAATGAAAGTCCTTTTTAAGCAACACTGGATGGTGCCTACAGTTTGCCGTCATTTTCTCTACTTGTCTGCTTATGGTTGATTTTAACTGACTATTTACTGTAGGTCATACCTCGTTCTTTTCCAAGCTGCACTCGGACATGGCTTTATCCCCCTGCTCCTGGAATGTGATGATGATCAAAGCCACAAAGATGTTGACAAAGAAGAAGGGAAAGACGATGAAGTAGACCACATAGAAGATGGAGGTTTCCATGCGATATCCTGGACTGGGACCCTGGTCTTCATACGTGGCATCAACAGAGTGTTTCAGCACACTAGAGAACACAAACTTTTTTTAGCATTTTAAAATATTATTTTATCAAAATAATAAAACAAAATAAAATAAAATAAATATGAAATATAATTGTTTTATATAAAATTACAATAATGCAAAACTAAATTAAATAAAAAAAATAATTAAATTAATTAAAATAATAATAATAATAATAATAAAGCAAATATATATAAATAAATTCAATAAAATATAAAAATAACTATAAATATATATACATACACACACATATATATACGGATTGACTGACAGAGTAAAAACCATAGAAAATGAAGGGGAAAAGTGTATTTACACTGTACAGTGGTTTAGAACGCATGTCTTTGCCCATAAAACTTGAGTAGGAATGCAGAGATATCACAGAGAACCAGAGGCAGCTTTTGAATGTTAAAGAAGGATATGAATTAAATATGAAAAACTTTCTGGACTTTCTTGTTGCAGCGTCTGATTTTCTCTTTCGTAACCAAGTATGTTTTTCTATGAATAAAAGAGTTTTGAGTAAGAAAGAAACCAGTGGGTGGAATACTGATTTTACCAGAGAGAGCAGAGCAAGAAGATGATCTCATAAAGAAGAAAACCATCAGAGTAGGAAAAGCTACATTATACTTATGTCATCACAGTACACATGTGTGAGTGAGTGTGTGTTTGTGTGTGTGTGTGTGTGTGTGTGTGTGTGTGTGTGTGATAGATGAAGTGAACTTACAGTGGCCAGCCCTCTCCTGTAGACACAGTGAAGAGGGTCAGAAAGGCCCACAGGACGTTGTCATAATGGAAGTCGTACTTCTTCCACTCGCGCGGCTGCGTCATGGCCACTCCATCACTGCCGTACTCCAAGAACTGACCCCTGATGAACACACACCAATATTTTACCATTCTGCTTTGATTCATTCTCTTTTCTCTTAGTTTTCATTTTAAATCATTTATATTCTAAAGATGATAACGTTTCTTGGAGGAACAGTTCACCAAAAAAAAGAACTTACCCCAACTTTGAATAAAAGTGTCTGCTAATAAGGTATACAGTAGTCAACATTTGAAATGGTTCAAAACCTTTCATTAAAGCTGTCCTAAAACCTTTAAACAACACCTATTCTTGCCTTAGGACAATTCGGAAAAACGTTTTTGATCCACTTAAGATGTTGACTACTGTATTTAATTTAACTTTTAACATTTTTTTGTCTCAAAAACACACACACATTCACTTTGTAAGACATGCATTAAGACATGTATTTCCTATAGATGTCAATGTGTACCAGCTTCCAACATTCTCCAAAATATCTTCTATTTTACTTAACAGAAAAAAGACACTTAGCAGCAATTTGAGAGTAAAAGGTGAGTCAGTTTTTAATTCTGGGTAAACTATCCCTTTAAGAGTTTGAAATGAGTAAACCATGATACACTGAAAAAAAATGATGTCTGCAAATTTATATGTGTTGAATTTGAACCAACCCAGGATCATTCTAAAAAAAGTACCGCTATATACATTTCTGAAAAGTGCTAAATACGTCCAAGGAGCTTCGTTTTTTGCAGTTTTTGTTATCGCGAATCAACCTGCGGTCGCTGTGTGCGCTTTTTGAGATCTCAAATTTCTCTCTCTAGTGCAATTTGCGCCTGCATGCTATTCTTGTGTAAATCCACCAGAGGTCCCTGTCGACTGACTGACTGACTGAATGATTGACTGACTGACCGACTGATTGACCCACCCTCCTCCTTCTCTAAAACACAACCAATAGTGTTCTCAAAAGCATAGATTGACCTGCCCACCTACCTCCCTAAACCCAACTGACAGTTTTAAAAAGTAATCCAGAAAAAGAAAAGCCTTTAACTGATTTGTACCATGTTTTCAGATTTTTACCACATTCTCACACTGTTATTTACTTGTTTATTTTATTTTATGGCTTCTGTTTTTACCTGCTTTCTGGAACAGTTCTTCACCAGACTCGAACCCTGTCATCATGGTCAACTCTTTCTGCCTTTCAAATCTGCTGAAGTACATGGCGAGCTACTGAAGAAACTGGTAACAGCGGAACAGCCGACCATATGGAGGTAAGTGGTCAGCTGGTATGCGCGAAAAGGAACGGCGTCATACCGCCCCATAGCGTTCGCTTTAAAGACGAAATGCAGCCATAAGTATAGCTCTGGCTACATAATTTGAGATCTCCAGAAATGTATACAGGGCTACGTTTTCAGAAAGAGCCTATGTTGATTTGAATAAACAAATTAAACTTAGTAATGTTCAGTTTAATTTGTTTGTTTAAATTTAGCCCAAATAAATTGTTTACAATGACTTTTGAGATCAGACAGCTTTTTAAAAGTATAAATTCAAAAACCGGTAACATTATATAAATACAACTAAAACAACACTGCTTCACTCTTTCATATTTCATATTTCATCCTTTTCTACGTTCACCTTTGCTGTACCTTTCTGTCTCCATTCCCTCTTTCTCCTCCATCCACCATGCAAAATATACCCAGACAGTCCAGTCGTACCTGCAGTCCTTCTCCAGGGCTTTGGACTCATCGGTGCAGTGGAAAAACTTCCCCTTGAAAAGCTGCACGGCGATGACCGCGAAGATGAACATGAAGAGGATGTAGACGATGAGGATGTTGAGCACATTCTTCAGAGAGTTCACCACGCAGTCAAACACGGCCTGCGGACGCGTAAACAGTCCAAATCACATCTTCTGCCACTGACCGTAATGCGTACCTTCGTTAAATTCATCCGTGTCATTAATGTCACAACTTTGCTAATTATAGGCTGTGGCAGAGTCCTAATTGATTACTGCTCATCTTGCTCTACACTGCAACACCATTGCATATTCGCTGAGAATAAAACCGGAGTAGGGGGGAGGTATAAATCTTCTAATTTTTCTGTCATTTCTGCTCATTTAATGTCCTCAGGGTATCATTATTAGCTCTGAGTAGTGTATATTTTTCGGCATTAATGCTAATAAGATCTCTGTAGGCAGGATAAATGTCTGTGTGGCCCTTTGAGGCTTCGTGTGTGCATTACAGCTAAACTGCAGTCCTATTTGTTAGTCTATTATTTGCTCTAACGCCACCGGTGACGGATGAATCTTCAGCCGAATGAACAAACGATGGTGTGAAATGTAAGTTTAAATGTATAATATGGCCATGTAATGAGATAACAGTGAGTGTCTCGAAAACTATTTGTTTGTGTGGCTAAGTGTATGATTTGATTAGAGAGAAAGATGCAGCAAGGCTGTTAATGTCGAGGTTTACACAATGAGTATCCCTGCCTGCGATATACACACACATTTATACAGTAGCATATAAGAAGGTAAACAAGCTACTCGCATTTACATTAAACTTTTAATTGTTCTTTTCTTTACCCACTGTTTTTGAAAACAGGTTAACTTTACAAGTAATCTAGAGGTAAAGTTGTGTTTTACAATTTTTTTTTAAACCATTCAGCCAGTCTCCAGGTCTGGTGGGAGCATTTTTATCTTAGCTTAGCATAAATCATTGAATTAGAATAGACCATTAGCATCCCATTCCAAATTGTAAAAAAATCAATGTTATACTTTCATTTTAGCGACATGATCAAGGAACTTTGCACTGTTAGCTAGCTACATAGCTGAGTACTATTTTCAGGTGCTGCATAATATCATTGCGCCTGCTGCTGTCATGGTATGACATAAAAGTTCCTTGATTATTACGCTGGAATAAGAGTATAGTTCCTACCCATACTGACTAGAAATTAGCAACTTTCATTTTCTTTTGGTCTTAGTACACAATGTAACTACAAAATAGTCAATCGTAAATTTATCAAAACTTTTTTTTTTAATGTAATGCTAATGGTCTAATCCAATTCAATGATTTATGCTAAGCTAAGCTAAAAGTGCTCGTGCCAAAGAAAGAGACCAGCTGAAGGTATTAAAAAATGATCAAACTCAACAGTTTACCTCTAGGGTGTTGTACAAACAGCATATTTCCAAGAAAAACATTCATATAAATGCTGATATTGAGCAATACACCAAGCTATCTTCAGAACAGCATACTAAGGATGCATAGTGTAAGCATCAAGCTATCTTTAAAAAAAAAAATAAATAAATAAATAATAATAATAATAAAAATCTTAAATTTCACTTAAGATAGTCTCTTAAAATAACAACAGAATAGTCAATCGTTATATAGGAGATTTATCAAAACTCAAACGAGAAGCTAATGGTCTAATCCAACTCAATGATTTATGCTAAGCTAAACTAAAAGTGTTGCTGCAGACACAGAGATTGGCTGAATGGTAAAAAAAAATCTCAAAATTTTGGTATAGATAGTCCCTTAAAATATCAACAGAAGAGGTAATCTGATAGACAGAGATCAGCTGAATGAATTAAAAAATGATCAAACTCAACAGTTTAACTCTAGGGAAGTTGTAAAATGAGTGTATTTCCAAGAAAAAAGGGATGTGTTTCTTTAAATGCTTATATTGAGCAGTACACTAGGCTACTTTCATAACAGCATTACAAGGATGTATAATGTGTGTAATGTAAAAAAAAATAAAACTTACAATTTTGCTAAAAACTAACAACAGAATAGTTAATCGTAATATATAAAATTTATTTGAATTATTTTTTTGTTGAATGTTTTTTGAATGAGATGCTAATGGTCTAATCCAATTCAATGATTTATGCTAAGCTAAGTTTAAAGTGCTCCTGCCAGACAAAGAGATCAGCTGAATGGATAAAAAAATTATCAAACAGTTTAACTCAGAAAATGACTGTATTTCGAAGAAAAAAGAGATGTGTTCCTTTGAATTCCTTATATTGAGCAGTACACCAGGCTATTTTCAGAACATCCTACTAAGGATACATAGTGTGAGCATCAAGCTATTTTTCAGTATGCATGGCTTACCTGCCTGACCTAGTAAAACAGAATGAGTGATACACAAACAGACCACATACATGCATAACACTACAATTTAATGCGCTCGACTTGAATATCCATTCCTAATTTGATAAATCTCCTTACTGACTAATGATTTGAGCATTCTGCCAAGATTTTAATATGCTGCATTAAGATTAGCAAATTAAAATGCATATACAGTATAATCATGTGGTAATAATGTAGCATGTTACAATTTGTTTATGCATGCGTGTTTATTTTTGCTGAACACCTACACTGTAAAACAGTGAATATCACTAGATGAAATAAGCTAGTTTAACTAATATTTTTTTAAAAGTTACTTTGACTTAATGAAAAATATCTATGATAACCCGTAAACCGATTATATTAAGCAGAACTGATTAAGTTAGGAATGATTTAGTCATATTTTTTGTGTTAACTCTAATGCTAGAAGCAATACCAAATCATTTGAGTAGCTGTATAATTGTTTCAAGAGTTCACATTTAGCTAATGATTGATTATAAAGCTTGTTTGGCATGCTGTCCCGTGAGAGAGCCCTAAGCTCATGAGATCTTTGAGCCTGGGGCTCCCTCCCGTTGCAAGGCGGGAGGGGAGTTTGAGCTCAGGTAGATCTCGAGAGCTCCCCTGCTGTAGTAACCAATGAACATTAAGCGATTCCTCTTGGAGATAACTATATACTAGGAGCATGTCTATGGTGCTGATTTGGATTAGTCAATTAACCTAATTTGCATATTTTTGGACGGTGGGAGGAAACCCGGGGGAAACCCACGTGAGCACAGGGAGAAATTGCAAACTCCACACAGAAATGTCTGCTGGTTTCTGACCAGTGCTATGCACTGGGCCACCGTGTCACCCATCTAGGAAGGAGGAGTAGGGGTGGAAGGGGGGACTCTTCAAAACGAAGATAGCAGTGGAATGAAACCCAGGGTATTTATAGTAGTTTAGGAGTCATCTGATTGAAGCATTGTGTATTGGATAATGCAGATCCAGCCGCTAGCAATCATAAGCACGTGATCCTCTCGAAATTAGTTTATACATAAACTTCACTTAAACTTTATGCATTCTTTTAACTGATCTTATACTGATTTGAACTTAAAGGGCCCTATCATACACCCGGCGCAATAACGAGCAAGACAAGTTTGCCCCGAGGTGTTGCTATTTTCAGACCAACGCAACCTTAATTTTCACGTTTTCCGCTATGTTGTTTAAATAGCAAATCCATTTGCACTACTTTGTGGACTCATGGGCGTTTCCATCTAAACACCCATGTTGGTGCGTTGATGTTTTGAGGAACTAAAATAGACTGTGCAATAGACCAGATGAAAGCAGGCCTAAAGTCCTCACATGTTGCTTAAAACACGCATGATTTACAACAATGTGCAAATATATTTACGAATGAAACATTTTACAAATTATTACTATTTTCTACATAGATATAAAAAACACTGCCTCCATGCCTTTTTTATTTCGGAGGGCATTTTTTTCAGTTAATTCATGACAACTCCCATTTGTATAATGTCATTAATATTATTATTATTATTATTATTATTATTATTATTATTATTAGTAGTAGTAGTAGTAGTAGTAGTAGTAGTAGTAGTATTTATCATATGCATATTGATATTTGTTTTATTAAAAACAAGCTTAAATTTGTCCACCTGTCAGGTTTTGGACCATATTGGTCATAGCACATGTGTTTAAATATAACTCAGTTTTTTAAGTGAAAGTAAAGGTCAATTGGAGGAGGCTAATTCTTTATCCTCACGCTGCAGATGGTCTGTTTAACTGTTTTCTTGCTAGTGAAGCATTCAGTTCTTCCACTTACAAAGTCTGCCTTGTTAATAGCAAATGTGCCATGGCGCTACGCAACTGACTCTTGAAGGGAAAAGGAGATGAGACTTTGGTTGGTTTATTCTCAAAATACACCCATAACTTATTAAGAGAATAAGCACAACCCTGTTAGACTATGTGCCACGACGCAGAGCACATTTATCCGTCCTTAAAACAACTAAAGTGGATTATTTACAGTTTTTTAAAGTTTACAGTACTTAAACCATTTGGATTCATACAGTAACGTAAATGGTTTGCCTCCATCATTTTCCTCAAACAGTTTTAGTTAAGTTAATTTGTCAGTTATGGCAGTGTTTACTGGTTAAGTGTGTATTTTGTTGTATGTAGCACGGAAGCATGCTACTATTATTTTCTAAAAAGACACATAATGCGGTATATGCCGAGCTAATGTGTTTCCCATACTGATAAACTTCCGGAGACCTGTTATTGTGAATTTTTTTCCATTTTATACGGTTCCTTTTACAGCATCGATGTTGCAATGTAATTCAAATACAATCAGTTAAACAGAGTTGAACATTCATTTAGTTGCTCAAGCTTAAAACAAGAGAAAAAGCCGTTTGCTCGCACGTCCCCGTCAGAATCGGCAGGTTAGCGCTGAAGCTCCATTGAATATACTGGAGTTAAAAAAATGCTTATATTATAAAGACATGGCGAGGAAAAATTTTATTTAATGCAGTGCTTCTTGTACAATCTGAAACCCACTTTATATCACCAGTGGAGATTGCTGATTTTTAAAGAAAAAAGACCTTAAACGCGCCAATTTTACATTGGCATACAATTCACCGGAAACGATTAACCCAGGTTACTGGCAAATTAAAAGTCCTATTAGCATGCTTCAGCATATACATTATTTAGCATTTATTGCATGCATTTAGTAATTAGTAAAACAGTATTTAGTACTATTATATACAAAAGTATTTATATTAAAGTATTAATATTTTAAATTTACTTATATTTTGTAGTTTTAGTTATAAATTTAATTTCTGTCTATGTTTTAGTACTTTACTTAATTTACTTATATTTATTTTAGGAATTGTAGCTTAATTTAGTTTAACTTGAACATTTATTTTAATTAAGTGACATCATTTAATGTTTTAAAGTTATGTTTTGTTTTGTTTTTAATGTAAATGTTTAAGCATTTTCTTTCAAATGACCGAATTCACCTCAACTAACAGAACTGCAATGTTCTTCTTACAAATTACTTTTTTTGATGGACCTTATCTTGTAATTTTACTGTGCATGGTCACAGAGGAGTAAGATTAGTGGGCAAGGAACCAGACAGACAGGCATTACCTTGAGTTTGGGCAATCTTTTGATTGTCTTCAAGGGTCTCAAGACTCGAAGAACCCTCAGGGACTTGATGGTGTTTATGTCCTTTCCTTTAGTTCCTCTGTAAGGAAAAAGCAATCACTCAGAAACATTTCCAACACACTTGCATTTTAACGCACACTTGAAGCGTTTTGTTTGATGTCATCTGCCAGCACATGCACAAAGCCTGAACTCAATTCAATTACATTTTAATGAGCTAATCACTTCCTCCAGCCCATCATGTAATTCAGAATTACATTAGCTAGAGTTTATCTGGTTAGTAAAAAGCATGCCTTATAGGGGAGGTTATTCTACAGAAACAAACCTACCTCTGAAGCTGACAATACATGTCGTTTAACATTTCTGTAAAATAACTGCTCATTCACCAGAAAAAGACACAAAGAACCATTCTAAAACGATGGTTTCTTTGTAAAACCACAGTTGGCCAAGTTATATTATGATACTGAGAATTATTTGTTTCTGCCAATGAAAAACTCATGATGCTAGGATGTTGTGAGTGGTTGCCAAATTGGTACATTTAGGCCCAATCCCAATTTAACCCTTTAGTTCTTCTACTAAAGTATATGAATCACTAAATGGCCTAGAACCTCAATACATTACAGATATGTTCACTGAATTTAAACCTAACAGATCACTCAGATCAATAGGATCAAGTAAATTAGAAATTCCAAGAGTTAAAGCAGGGTGAATCCGCCTTCAACTACTACACCCCAGCAGCTGGAATTAGCTTCCAGAAATAATCAGATGTGATCCAACATTAGGCACATTCAAATCAAGACTGAAAACACATCTGTTTAGCTGTGCCTTTACTGAATGAGCACATGTGCTACGTCGGACAGATCACACTATTATGTCTTTCTTTTCTTCTTCATTTTTTTAAATCTGTATTTTTTATCTGTTTTTAATCATTTTTATACTCTGTTGTTTTTATTTTCTTGTTTCTTTTATTCTTTAAACTTTAAATTAGCATTGTGTATTAAATGTGCTATATAAATAAACTTGCCTTGCCTACTTTAACCTAAACTGAACATAAATATTAGGGAAAAGGGGTGTCCCAATTCTCTTTCAGCTGTAGGTGTCAGACAGCCCTTCAAACAAAGATTTTGCGGGATCAGACTATAAATGAAGGGGATGCCCAAGCGAGCAAAGAGACTAACAAATAATTTTATTAATTTTTTTGTCATTAATAAGGATTTTTACAACTAACAAGAATTAGTATTATTATTTTCATGACACCGTTCATGTTTTACAGTCAGGTTCTTCGAATAAACATTTTAAAAAAAAATGATAAAAATTGCTAAAAGGAAATTCGCTAAAGGCAATTTGTAACTTTTTTGATTTAGTAGCTAATTCGTATGAATTTGTACATTTGTACATGCAAATTATTACAATTTGCTCATCTTCCAATGACTTAAAATTGTTACGTTTCCTTGTGGAATCAGGCTGGATAGTCCCAAAGCATATTTTCAATTCAGATACTAGATGACTTGATGTTATTGCGGTTACATCCATGAATATAAGGACTGTGTAAATAGACAGTGCAATTTCAAGCTAGTGACAAAATGTGCAGGGAATTTTAGTGGTGTCCCATTTCTTAGTGGAATATTTAAGGAAAAGGGTATAAAACAGAATTGGGATTGAGCCTTTGTGTTTTTGTTTGTTTCTGCTTTTGATCTTTATGTTTATATATTTTATTTCCTTTTTTTATACTGTCAAAAGGCTAAAAGCCACTGACAAGCATTTTATGGAATCCCCAAGAACCAGAATTTCTGTAAAAAAAAAAATCTTCTAATCTTCTAAATAAAAAGTCATCTAGTTTTTAGATGTGTTGAGGGTAAGTAAATTAGCAGCATTATTATCATATTCAAATTATCATATTTGGGTGAATTATTGCCCATACAATTTATTGTTAAATTTCCTAACCATAAGTATTTGCCATCATAACAGTAATGCTTGTTAATGATGTTTGAGTTCCATAAAGTTTAACTTTGTTTTCAGGATTGACTTAAAGTTAGGCTAAGTCACATCAATGTGACAAAGCTGAAAGATTCAGTCTCTGAATGTTACAGATGTAGTAAGTAAGTTTGCAATGAATGACATATGAAATTACACAGTTCAACAGAATGGAACTCACCTGAAAAAGATAAGAAACTGTTATTTTAAAACTCTTTGACTCTAAACTTCAGCAGACATGTTTATGCACACGAATGACCTCTATTTCAACCTTGTTTAATCCAAAAAGCTGAGTCCTTTCTGACCGGTGGGATGTTTCCTTGACAGCTATAATGGGCTGTCGAGCTTCACTAAGATAAGTTTTTTTTTTAGTTTTTTTTTTGGGATGTCTAAGACTTTCATCTTTCTAAATACCAAACTTCAAATGCTTGACACTGCAATTAAACTGTACTGTATATACCTTCCCAATACAAAACAGAGAACCGGACTCAGAAAGTCATACAGCAGCTTAGCTCTGTGATTGGTCTGCTTACTTTTTCTCTCCCATAAGGAGTTGGGATTTTTTCACACTGGCATGCAATGTCCATGCAATGTCTGTCAGTCTCACAAACACACCCCATGGGCACACAGGGATCTCTGCCCAGTGAGGTGCTCAACTATACTCCTATAGTTTTCAGAGGACCATTTTCACCAACCACCAAGCACACAGGATGTACAATGATGAGTTGCTTTTGTGATACATTCATCCATCTATTATTCTGACCATCAATCAATGATTCTGTCCAACCATCCATCAGCCCATCCAACCTTCATCCATCTACCCATCCATCCATTCATCCATCTGTGCATCCATCTATCAATTCTTCCAACCAGCCTTTCAAACACCCACCTTTCAATCCATTCTGATCATCCATTCATCAGTTCATCCATCCATCCATCCATCCATCTCTCCATCCATACATCTGTCAGTCCATCCAACCATTTATTCATCTATCCATCCATCCATCCATCCAGCCAGCCATTCATCCAACTACTCATCCATCCCTCCATCCATTCTGACCATCCATTCATCAGTCTGTCAGTACATCCATCCATCCATCCATTTATTCATCCATCTGAGTCCATTCAACTTCCCATCCATCCATCCATCCATCCATCCATCCATCCATCCATCCATCTATCCATCCATCCATCCATCTATCCATAAATGCATAATCTATCCATCAGTTCAACCATCTATTCATTCATTTATCCATCCATCCATCTGTCCATGCAACCAACCAACCAACCAACCAACCAACCATCCATCCATCCATCCATCTATCCATAAATGCATCATCTATCCATCAGTTCAACCATCTATTCATTCATTTATCCATCCATCCATCAGTCCATCCAACCATCCATTCAACTATCTATCCATCCATGCATCTGTCCATCAGTACATCCATCCGTCAATGCATCCATCTATCAGTCATCCAACCAGCCATCCATGCATCCATCTATCAATATATCCAACCATCCATCAATCCATCTTTCTATCCATCAGTCCATCCAACCATCCATTTAACTACCCATCCATCAGTCCATCCACCTGTCCATTCAACTACCAATCCATTCAACTACTCATCCATCCATCCATCCATCCATGCAACCAACCAACCAATCAACCATCCATCCATCATTCCATCAGTCCATGCATCCATTTATCAGTCTATCCATCCATCCATCCATCCAACCAGGCAACCAACCAACCATCCATTTATTCATCCATCCATACATCCATCCACTCATAATTCCATCCAACCATCCATCAATCTTCCCTAACTTCCCGTTCATCGTTCCAACCATCCATCTACCCATCCATCTGTCCATCCTGTCATTAGTCCATCAGTACATCCATTCATTCATGCATTCGTCCATCCATTCACCCATTCTGACAATCCATTCATCAGTCCATTAGCACATCTATTCATCCATGCGTCCATCCACCAGACCATCCATCCATCCATCCATCCATCCATCCATCCATCCATCAGTTCATCCAACCCTCCATCCAACTACCAATCCATCCACCAATACTTTCTGCCCATCTTCTGTCATTCATCCATCTTTCCTCCTATGCATCATACAAATTAAGACTTTTTATTTATGTAATACATTTTTGTTTTATCTTGGTTTAATAATATCCAAACCTGTCTTCACAGCTTGCCTTTAAATGTTTAACATATCGTAATATATTGTAAGAAATATAACTGAATCTCGAGGTCTTTTTTCTTTATTTTTTAGCCATCCATGTGCATACACTGTAAAGTACATAGTAAAACTCAGCAAATTTTCCTGCTTAACAATGTTGATTACATTAGACAACAAGTTCCCACTTTTTGCTGTAACTACCGCCAATAATTAGTGATCAGAAGTATTTCAGCATCCATTGACTGATTTTGCATTCTGGGTGCCTGTCCTCTGAAAACAGTAGGAGTAGTAGTTTCTATTAGCTTTTAAAAAGGTCATGTCACTGGGTCAAAGCAGGTCCATCCCCTTCAACAAAGGCTGAATGAGAGGAAGAACTGGAGGGTTGTGAGCTTAGATTGATCCTCGGGGAGGTTGGAGGGTAAAGGGTATGTTTTTATAGATATATAGACTGTCCCCACCTGGTCACGCTTTGCTGCGATCTGATGAGGAAAACCGATGGAAAAACCATGCACATGTGCACAAACATAGAAACACACACATAATAAGCCGCATCACAGACAGAGAATAAGCAATAAATGCAGACCAGCATGAAGAGATTAAATGAGATCAGAAAAGAAGAGAGCTTTCACTGAGCCAAAACACTGTGGAAGGACCAACAGCAAAGAAAGATTATAAAGCAACTCTAGTGCACAAAAACATTACAATAATCAAAAACATGATGAGTTACTGTTGCTCTGTAACATCTCTGCAAGATAAATCACATTCGGCAATAAATATATAAACACTGAAAAAATGAAACTGTGATAAAAATCACAAACACGAAAAGGTCACAGATCTGCAAAAGTCACATACACACAACCACACACACTATAAGGAAATGCATGCATTGGAGAAAGTTTCATGCAACTACTGCTGATGGATGTTGATTGTGTAAAGCAACTAAAATACAATGGATCAATTGTGTGCACTTTGCATAAATCCAGTCCTATTTTTCATCACCAGTCTTTTTATACTGAGTTCACACTGCACAATTTTAGTCCTGATTTTCAATCGCCCACCTGTTTTTGTGAAATCACTTACAAACGCCTAAAATTGGAAGCATATTTGTGCTCCTTTTCATCCATGTGACAATCACACCAAATGAGTTATCAAATACACAATCTGATAGAATCGCAGACACGTCAGAAATATCTGAAAGGGCAAATCTCCAGCCCAGGCTCATTGGAAATCCGTCTACATTTTGTGACAAGAAAGATAATATCTTGTCCTAAGTACATTTAGTTGCACAAATACACATCGATTTACAGTAAATACAAATTTAAGAATTCACGCAAGTACTGCAGATAAAGTCAATGCAAACAAAATAGAATGCACAGCAAACTTGCTCCAAAAAGACATAATTTGCCTCAATCACGTCTTCTTTGTGAATACAAAACAGTTTTACAAAAAAGGTTAATTTGCATGAGGTGGAAAACATCCCACAAGTAATTTAGAGCAAGCTTATACACTCAGCCTCTGTATAGGACTAAAGCACTTTTTCTGTGAAAACAACCACCTGGATGTACATTATCTCACTTTTTAAATGTAGTTTATTCATAAACTAATTTCGAGAGGATTACGTGCTTTTGATTTATCACGGCCGGTCTCGCATTTGCTAATCAATATCTTCCAATCATACGAGCCCTAAGCTACTATAAATAACCACAGTTTTCAGTTCACTTTATCTTCGTTTGGAAGAAACCCCCCTCCCCCCCTTATCTCCTCCTTTACCTCTGACTGGGCGACACGGCGGCCCATTGCTTAGCACTGCGAGCCCCACAGCAAGAACACTGCCGGCCCTGGTCCCACAGGACCGGTGGGTGTTTCTGCGAGAAGTTTGTATGTTCTCCCCGTGTCCGCGTGGGTTTTCCCCGGGTTCTCCGGTTTCCTCCCACCATCCAAAGACATTCAACATACATAATAACCAAGCATTTATTTAACCCTCTTGTTTCCTTAGCTACCGCAGCAGGGGAGTTCTGAGATCCACCGAGCTCAGGCTCCTCTCTCGCTCTGCCAAACGGGAGGAAGCCCAGGACTCGAGGAGTCCTTGAGCTCGGGGCTCTCTCCGGGGACAACATGCCAAACAAGCTTTTATAAATCATCAGCTAAGTGTGAACTCTTGAAATGGGTACTTGCATCAAAAGTAAACATTGATCTGAGACGTAATAATTTACTAACTCTTTAATTAAACAAAGCTTGCAGAGAGAAAATGGGGTAACACTTTATTTTGATGGTTCATTTGAATATTAGTAGACTGTCTGCTTAAGATCTGTTGATACTGCTCCTTCAACAGACATTTAACTGTGTACAAAAACTTTAGAAGTACATGTAAACTTACACTAACCCTAACTCCAACCTAACAGTCTTCTTATAATCTGATGAAAATTAGTTGGCACGTAGATACAATGTATCTTAAATTCAACAAACGGACCATCAAAATAAAATGAATATACTCACTAATGGTCAATATAAATTGTAGTACCCGGAAGTGCCTGTGTTACTAGTTTCAGTAGTTGTTATCTGGGAATAACAAATCTTGGAATGTTGTGATTGACCAATCGGAATCAAGAGAGCTGTGTATAATTTAAGTTGTTTCATGGATTTTTTTTTTTTGGATAATATGGATAAGATGGATAATATCGAAAAATTCTGTCATAAGTGTGAAAAGGAAAAAAAAAATAGTCGTATTTTACTCTTTAAAAGAAACTGCAGACATATTCTTAAGTAGGGTTGGGTATTGTTTGTGGTTAAGTCAATACCGGTGCTAAATCGATACTTTTAAAATGATACCGGTGCCAAAACAGTGCCTGAACTGGTACTTTTGAGCCACAAAATTATGGTGGACGACTCTAGAAAATGTTTTATTTGACAAAAAAATTATTTTTATTTAACAATAATTAAAGTTTGAATTATACATCAATGTAATATGATTAAGACAATACTCTGATTAAGAGCGATTACTGATTACCTTAATCCGACTAAAGTCATAATTAATGTAAACAGAAGTTGAATGAATTAGGACGTGTAGTATGTCTAAGTCACATTATTAAAGTGCAGTAAAGAACATCTTAATTAAACTATTACCATCGTGTAGGACTTTTCACCACTTTTAGTGACAGGATATTCCATACACATACAGCTGTTGAACATTCTTCTCTTACCTACCGAGTCAGTAAAGAATCACAGACAACCACATAACAAAATACAAAAGCTTTTTTTTTATTCTATTTCTATTTCTTCCTAAACAACAAGAACAAACGCCTAACATCGACAACAATGTCAATATAACTCAAAGTTGTTTAGAAGTAAATGTTAAGAGATGGTGTCACAATGGGTAGCCTATCTATGTATGCCTTTGATGCACACCTTGATGCTTCTTACGTCCTTGTCGCAGCACCAGTGGCTCTGATATAAGGCACTGAAACTCATTTGCTAATTTGGTCCGGTGCATATTGCTTATGTAGCTAACGGTGCTAATATTGACACCCAACTCTATTCTTAAGTATATTTTTGTTTTTTCATGAAAAAGTAGGCTGAAGCATGTACTTCCAATGACCCCCGTATGGTAAATATCTGGACCTGTTGGAGATTAATAATACATGATAACCTACAGCCAATGAGAAAGCAAGATACAGGGCAGCAGGGAGTTTTTTTAACCACATTGAGTTTTTGTGGGCAATTTGCACTGGCACTGGGTAGCTTCCTGATGCTGAACTAAATTCTACCCCAGATAAAGAAGTATGAAACAGCCGATTTTCCGGCTTTATAGACAATTGTGCAGAGCAAACTCAGCTTAAGCCATTTTATTCTGTATGGTGATGACAAAATAAATAATTCATATATTAATTGTAGCTACCTATATATCAAACAACAAATAAATAACACACAAAAAACTGATGTCAAACAATACAAAATAAATAAATATAAAGATTTATAAGCTGTAAGAGATGTACATGGTTGGTATGCTCACTTACATCAGCGAGTGCCATTCTGTCTATGTTACATTTCGATGTAAAGACTATTTTACATCGGGCTTCCTTACAAAGCCGTTAAACAATTGGCGAGCAACTTGGTTTTATTTACTTGCTGATCTGTATTGAGTTAAAGAAAGTATTTCTGATCCTGTCTGTGATTCAGAGAGGCAGCTGAATGTCTTGGTGAATTTCTAGTGTTTCCTTATCCACACAAACACACACTCGCACTCACACTCACACTCACACTCAGGCAGATAAACTGGAAGCAGGTAATAACAAATGCGTACCCCATGAAGCTCCTGAAAGCACGGCGAGCGAGAGAACAGATAAAGAAAGCCAGAAAGAGACAGAAAGAGAAAGAAGGATGAATGGAGAAAGAAAGAACTAAATGAGAAACATTAAAGCCCACAGGACGCAAGCTTTCTATAAAGCACTGAAGAACAGCACAGGAGAGAAAAGAAGATTACAGCACAGTTAAAGAAAGACACGTACAGTATAAGAGATTCAGAAAGAGAAGAACACATTACGAGATACATTTATAATCAATATACAACAGTGCATTGAAAAAGAGATTTAAAGTAAAAGCACCCTTTCTTCTTTCTTCAAATACAGACACTTTTATTTCCTAGGGGTTGTTTTTTATTCAAACTACAGTAAAAAAAAAAAAAAAAAAAAAAAAAAAAAAAAAAAAATATATATATATATATAAATATATATAAATATATATATATATATATATATATATATATATATATATATATATATATATTTTTTTTTTTTTATATATATAATCATGTTTTAAAGTAAATCTTTTTTCATTAACTTACATGTAAAGAATTGATTGTTCTACAGTAGTTGCAGCATATTCCAATATATACTGTATTTAAATATATATATACTGTATTTAAATATATATATATATATATATATATATATATACATATATATATATATATATATATATATATATATATATATATATATATATATATATATATATATATATATATATTTGGTGTCATTTACACTATAATGAACCTGTATGGTCTTGTGAGTCATGCATTAAAGAGATTTTATTTATATATACAGCGATGTGGCTGTATATAGGTACTGGTGGCAGGCTGTCTGATATACAGCCATATCGCACTGCTACGAGAGTGATATTGCGTTTATACAACAGTTTGATGGCATAATAAAAAATGAAATCAAACATGGTGAGTCTCAAAGTCCTTTTGTATGAGGAACTACTTTCTTTCACCGTTCCTTCACATCTGCAGCTGACGTCAGAACAGCAGAAACCGTTGCTAATGTAATGTAATGTTATGCAAAGTAAATACAATTTTAGAGCTAGTATTAGAATGATTCTCTAGTGTTAAATCTAAAGTGATTTTGATGACATTTTATGATTATAAGGCGGATCGACATGAAATGCCATCAGTCTAGAGACATTTCCCAGTCTTTTTCTGTTGCAATTGGGAAATCAAAATAATAAAGTCTAAAAAGGCAAAAACAACACAAACACTACCAGATTACTGTTGTGTTTGCGATAAAGAAAAACGCTAAACACATGCGAGCATTTCTTTTTTCTTTCTGTTTACTGAACTAGTCTGTAGTAACGAAAAACTGGAGACTCATTAGAAACAAACAGATGACCAACAAGAAAGTAACTCAACACAAAATACATACAGGTGAAGTTAGAATTATATTTTACTAGATATTTTTCAAGACACTTCTATACAGCTTAAAGGGACATTTAAAGGCTTAACTAGGTTAATTAGGTTAACTAGGCAAGTAAGGGTAATTAGGCAAGGTATTGTATAATAATGGTTTGTTCTGTAGACTACCGAAAAAATATAGCTTAAAGGGGCTAATAATTTTGACATTAAAAATTATAATAGTTATGACTATAATCATGATAATTATAATAATTATGATTAATGATTAAAAATTGAAAGCTTTTAGGCTTTTATTCTAGCCGAAATAAAACAAATAAGACTTTCTCCAGAAGAAAAAATATGATCAGACATACCAGCCTGATCTCATGAGGAAACGTAAGTATTTTACGTTTTGTCAGTTTAGTGGCTAATTTGTACAAATTCGTACGAGTTCAGTCATACAAAAATGTACGATTTTAATTAGGAGGCGTGGTACCTAACCCCACCCCTAACCCCAACCGTCATTGGGTGATGAGCAAATTGTACGAATTAAATTGTACGAATTCATACGAATTAGCCACTAAATCAAAAAGTTACAATTTGTTGTAAGGTTGCGTTGGACATACTTTGAGAATTTCATTGCTCTGTTAAACATCATTTGGGCAATATTTGAAAGAGAAGAAAAAAAATCAAAGGGGGTTTGATAATTCTGACTTCAACTGCACATAAGTAAATAAATAGATTGAATTATGGGATTTTGCAAGTTTTTGTGCATGCATATTTTATGTGGGATCACATCTTAGTACCTAAGAAGTACTAAAAAAAAACAGTTGAAAGAATACGACCTCCTTTGGGATACTGTTGTACCTTTACCTTTGTACTACAAACAATACATACAGTAAATTGATATATTTTCAAAAATGCACTATGGATTAAATACTTATGAGTTACAGAACTAAAAAGCAATCCCATATGTACGAAAATCTACTGGAAATTGTTAGCACATCAATTAAATAAAAAAGTGTACCTACAGTAAAAAAAGCTAAGTGTGAGTAATTCAAAAGTGTCTGTATCAGAAGAAACACTTCAAAACACAAATACACCAGTGTCTTCATCAGAAGAACAGGTGCCCGACGGGGCTGGTGGAGAAATTCTGCTCTCCTGAATAATACAGCTGCAAACACACACACAGAGCGGCTGGTCTCAAAAGCAGAGCAGTTTTCTATCGCCTCTTTTTCAGCTATTTTAAAGCACCCCGGGGTCCTTCTGTCAACCGAAGAGGTGGAGAGGGACAGCTGAGCATCTGCACATGACGACTAAGAGGATTCAGCCACACTCAAAACTACACCTCGCATTTATTACACAAATCACACACCCGCGCTGTCAAAACCCAGCGTGTGTGCGTGCACTTATGTTTGCCTTGCGGAGAAATCTACAGCACAACTGACTTCACCAGATATCCATATATATGAGTGTGAAATTTGACATTGTGATGTAACAATGGTTGCCATGGTGATGCTATATGGTTGCTAAGTGTAATGAGTGGCTCATTGTTATGCAGTTGCTACGATGCCAAGTCTAATTCAGTGCTAATCTATGGCTATGTACACACTGCAGATACGTTTGTGTTTTAATCAGCAAATAACAGAAGTTGTAATGGATTCAGAAACCAAATTATGGGAACAACTAAATGTTAATGACATGTTTAAATGCATATCAGAGTTATGTCTCTCTTCTGTATGATTCTCTCTTCTGTATGTAAACTGAGCGTTGTCTTGACTCGTTTGTGTTGCCAAATTTTGGAAATAAAACACAATCTAAAATATTGCAATATTAGAAGTAATAGTAGTATATTTGAAATAAATTTATAAATGTAATCTAACACACACACACATATATATATATATATATATATATATATATATATATATATATATATATATATATATATATATATATATATATATATATGGCTTTAAATAAATGAATATTAATGAATAATAAATGAATTATTTTGCTTCTAATAAAGATTTTGCAAGTTTATTTGTTATTTTTGTTTATTTATTTCACTTTGCTGTTATTAGTACTGATTACTGTCTTTGGGTTACATTTTTGTGAATTGAAGTCATTTTTAAATTCACACTTATTTAAGACTAAATGACTTTAAAATTAAGTTTTAAAATTTTGTCATTTTAAATTTATTTTATTATTAAATTTTTTAATTATATTTGAAAATAGATATTGTGAATATACTTATTAAATCATTAAATGTAATTTAATGATAATGTAATATTTTTTAAACATTTTAAATAGAAATAATTTGATTTTATTGAAAAAAAGAATATATATATATATATATTTATATATATATATATATATATATAATATTTACACACACACACACTAAAATATGTATTATATACACACATATACATATGTTCTGTTGATCAGTAATGTCAATAATGAGTCTCTGTAATATCACTTTTTACTAGTAGAGTGTCGTATTACTGTACAGTACACACACACACGTAAGATTTTAGTGAATTAATGCATTTATCTAAATGCAGCTGTCAATCCTGAAACATTATAAGCAGAGATTATTATTTATATGTATTATTATTATAATATGTATTACGTATTATTATTATATGTAGAGATTTTACTGCTGCTTTATTGACCGTCAAATCGCAGATAAATGAAAACAGTTACAGCGCATTTAGCAAATGATAACTACCGTAATTATCACGGCTGTCTGCGGAACAACACAAATTAAAGACAAGCTCTTGGGAAATGTGCGAATGACTATCTCAGCTCCTTTGGGAAACACTAAATTCCCATCATTATCACAGGTGTACAAGCTGCACAGCATCTTAATATAAGCTAAAACAAAACAGATGTGCGTTAAAGCGATCAGTTCAGACCAAACCTCCCACAGATGCCACACTTGTCCTGCTCCAGATACTAAACAGCAGACAGTCACATCCTGTTTCCGTCATTTTCCACTGAATGCTCTCTTGCTGGATCTGAACTGACAGTCTGCTCGTCTCTGCTCCGCTCTGACAGATTTACAAAAAAATAAATAAATAAAGCCACTCACGAGCAGGCGAAAGCCACCAGAGCGCCGCTCACTACGATGAAGTCCAGGATGTTCCACAGGTCCCTGAAGTAAGAGCCGGGATGCAGCAGCAGTCCAAGATCAATCATCTACAATAGGGGAGATCAATACTAAATACATACATACATATATATATTTTTTTTTTCATTGCACTATGGAAATAAATATACAAGCATTAAATGTTTGAAAATAATTATGAATTAGATAAATTAATTTGATAAATGGTTATTGTTAAGACATTTGCATTATTTATTTGTTTTTTTTATTTTTTTTATTTCAAATGCTATTATGATCATACTTACAAAAAAATCAGGGTTTTAATTAAAAATTATAATTATAGTTTTAGTTTTAATAAATAAAGTTTTTAATTGTATAATAATAATAATAATAATAATATTAATAATAATAATAATAATAATAATGATAATAATAATAATGTTACTACTACCACTACTACTACTAATATTAATACAAATAATATTAATAACAACAATTATTATTATTATTATTATTATTATTTTTTTTATTAAAATTATAAAAAATAAAAAATAATAATATTGAGAATAATAAAATTAAATAAAATTTATAATAATAATAATAATAGTAATAATAATATTAATAATAATAATATTAACATTAAAAAGTAAAAGTAACAATAATAATAATAATAATAATAATAATAAAAGTTATAATAATAATAATAAAAATAATATTATTATTATTAATAATAATAATAATAATGATAATAATAATAAACATTTATTATTATTCATATTTTAAATTAAAAGTCTTTCTTTTGCAGCAAATCAAATGATTTTTGAAAGATCACATGACACTGAAGACTAATATATAGAATATATTATATAGAATATAATATATAATATATAGAATAATAATGCTGAAAATGTATCTTTATATCACAGAAGTATATTACATGTTTTTGTAATAATGTCTCACAACATTGTACTGTTTTTGCTGTCATTGTATCAAATAAATGTAGGATTTTGAACAAGAAAATAAAATCTAGAAAACAAAACAAAAGGATTGAAAATATTTAAAAATATATTTTTGTGTTAATCGCACACTAAAATATATATTACATATAAAAAGTAATAAATAAATAAATGAATAAATAAATAAACATACATACATACATACATAGATACATAGATACATACACACATACATACAAACATACACATACATACACTTTTACAATTATAATCAATCAATAAAAAATAAATTAAGTAAAAAATTTTTAACATTTATTTGAGATTATTTTCTCAAGTTTTAACAATCTTATTTTATTTAATTTTATTGACAGATTATAATTACATAATAGATCTATGATTTGATGAAAAAAGAGGGTTATTTTTACCTTTATAACCATCTCAAATGTGAACACACCAGTGAAGACGTAATCAAGGTATTTCAGCACCTGAGGGAACCACAAAAGGACAATGCAAGTGTTAAAAATAAAATTTTATCATACACAGTCATTTTCTTCCTATTTCTGCAGTCTCACAGACCGTCTCTACAAAAAAAGTGGATGATGCCACAAATAATCCAAAAGAATTCTGCGTAAACAACAGTGCTTAGCCCCACTACAGCTATCATTCAGCGGCTAATTCAATAATCTCCAAAACAGAGCAGGCATGTACATATACTTTCTAAGAGACAAAAATAGATGTTTTTTAATAAAGACTCAAGTTCCTCCCACATGAGCAGTTGAGGAATATTGGTTGAAAGTGGAGATGCATCATACAGCATGAGCTGAGTCCAATTCAATGTATCATCTGGAAGAAAAAGACAGTGGACAATAGGATTCTTGGACACGTGTTAATATGTAATTCTCAATATGTCCGAGAGCTATTTACATATAATTACATATAATGTTATGCTATGCCATAGCTTGGTATTTTATTTTCAATAAGGTAGGTAAATCTGCTAGTGCTTGGTATAATATCAATGCCATGGAAGATGATAACAACAAAACTCACAGTAGAAATACACAAAAACTGAAAGCATGTGCACTTTATAAAGCAATTAAGTGACTTTGTTAAAAAAAACTGTAAGTAAAATTAGCATAATTATTAAAATGTATTAATTCAATGCATCATCAGGAAGGAAAACTTGGCATTTATTCTTTGACACATGTTTATATGTATATCTCAGTATCTCTGAGAGCTATGCTTAATAAGCTGTGCTCATGGGCTAATGCAGGCACACTGCATGCTTAAGTCCGCTCATAGGCTGTTATGAAAAATAATAACATGGTACAAAAGCCAGTTAGTGGGGCTGGTGACAATCCTCAGCGTGACAGTTCAGACAACAGCTGTCACACCGCCCTACAGAACTGCTTTTCAGTTACGTAAACACTAGCAGTGGGAATCTTAAGGGACTTTTAATATCCAATTCTGATTCTGGGAGTCTTGATTCGATTCCAAAATTATTCTTAAGCTACATTTTTTTTCCACTGTGCAAATACATCTTTCAATTTCACATTTGAACCAGATTAGGAGTTTTCATGCTTTTGTTTATGATTGTAATCTATGTGTGACAGTACAGTTATCTTAAAAAACGAAGTTACATTCAGCATGAACCAGCTCTGAATGTAACATTGAATTGCCAGATTACAAAGAACAATTAAAAAAGAACAAACATTTCTTATTTCAAAATAGAAAGCAATACTTTTTTGAGTTTGTTTATAAGCTTTAACAAAGAAATCTTTATTTAAAGCTAATATTTTTTAGAAAAAAAGTGATATTTGGAAATTATATTACAATAAAGTTTGCAGAACACAAGCTGCGATTAGCATATGATGGTGCTGTTCTTCTCTACTGACATTTGTCCATCTTTGTCAAAATGAAGTGAAATTGGAAGCATACTGTACTTTAACCATTGGTTTGTGACCATGGTATAAGTGGAATAATCCAAGGTTAGTTAGTTGTTAAATGCACTTAGGCTGTGTGTCCACCAAAGTGGTCTTCAGCTGTGCATTTGATTTCTGTTGTTGTCAATGGTAGCACCGCGCTTTTGAGGGCCTGTAGCATAGCGAGGTAATGAGTGGGGACTTTATGGTCACCAATAAGTGCTTGGCGTTCCAAGTTAAAAAAAGGCAGTGTCACTTTTGAGCAAGCCATACAAAGTGGATGTGAAATGTTTCAATACTACACAACTGTCAACAAATAATCTACTAAAGATGTTTTACAGTTAGCGCTGAGTGCTTGCCGTTGCAAATTGAAAAACACAGCACCCATTTGTGTCACTTTTGAGCTAGCCGTCCAAACAAAAAGGTGGAGGGGTGGGTCAATACCACACAACTAAAAATACAAATAATCTGCTATGGATATATTACAGTTAACAATGAGTGCTTGCCGTTGCAAGTTGAAAAATGCAGCACCCATTGGTGTCACTTTTCAACTAGCGGACCAAACAAAATGGTGGAGGAGTGGTTCAATACCACGCACCTGTCAACAAATAATCTGCTAAAGACATTTTACAGTTTCTGTGCCCGATGACCTGGTTGTTGTGGTCCTAACCTTCGACCACCACCCGTTCCCCAATGCACAGGCCCCTTACAAATACCCCAGTAGGTGGTGGGCCTACAGGAGGATGGTCCCACATCTGTCCGTCGGGCTAAGCCCAGCTGGGTTCCGTGGGAAAAAACCCAACCACCAGGCGCTCACATACAAGCCCCAACCCCCGGCCTGGCTCCAGGCTGGGGCCCCTGCTGCGCCATACATCATCGTGGTCCTCAATGTAAATAAGTTCATAAGGGGTTTTTGAACCGCACTTAGTCTGACCTGTCACCTAAGACCTTTTTGCCTTCGGAGATCCAACCAGGGGCACTAGTCCCCGACAAGACAGCTCTTAGGATCACTCAGGCACTCAAACCCCTCTACCATGATAAAGTTGCGGTTCATGGAGATTCACCCTGTGTATCTTAGGTCACTGGATATTGTGAGGCTGTCTTGGCTGACACGTCTCTACAATGTCGCATGGAGGTCGGGGAAAAGTACCTCTTGACTGGGCAACTGGGGTGGTGGTTCCTATTTTGAAGAAAGGGGACCAGAGGGTGTGCTCTAACTATGGGGGATCACACTCTTCAACCTCACTGGGAAAGTCTTTGCCAAAGAACTAGAGAGGAGGATCTGGTCGATGACTGAACCTAGGATCCAGGATGAACAATGCGGTTTTCGTCCAGGCCATGGCACACTGGACCAGCTCTATACCCTCACCTGGGTGCTTGAGGGTTCATGGGAGTATGCCCAACCAGTCCACATGTGTTTTGTGAACTCAGAGAAGGCATTTGACCGTGTCCCTTATGGCATTCTCTGGAGGATGCTGTGGGAGTATGGGGTCAGAGGCGCTTTGTTAAGGGCTGTATTCGCCCAGTATGAACAGAGTAGAAGTTTGGTTCGCATTGGCGGATATAAGTCAGACTTGTTTCTAGTGCATGTTGGCCTCCGGCAGGGCTGCCATTTGTCACCAATTCTGTTCATAACTTTTATGGACCGAATTTCAAAGCACAGCCTTGGGCTTGAGGGGGTCCGGTTCAGGTACCGTTGTGGTAAAGAGGCCGAGCCGAAAGGCAGAGCTCTCAATTTACCGGTCAATCTTTGTTCTTACTTTCACCTATGGTTATGAGCTTTGGGTCATAACTGAAAGGACAAAATCTCGAATACAAGCGGCCGAAATGAGTTTCCTTCGCAGGGTGACAGGTTGCACCCTTATAGACAGGATGAGGAGCTCTGTCACCCAGGAGGAGCTAGGAGTAGAGCCGCTGCTCCTTCACATTGAGAAAAGTCAGCTTAGGTCGCTCGGGCATCTGTTTCGAATGCCTCCAGGACGCCTACCTAAAGAGGTGTTCCAGGCATGTCCCACCAGAAGGACGCTTCAGGAAAGACCCAGGACATGCCGAAGGGACTATGTCTCTCAGCTGGCCTGGGAATGCCTCGGGATCCCCCTAGAGAAGCTGGAGTAAGTATCTTAACCCGGCCCCGGATAAGGGGATGAAAATGACATGACATGACATTTTACAGTTTTGCTCACCATTGCAAATAAAAAAAAAACAGAGCACCCATCAGTCTCACTTTTGTGCTAGCCATTCAATCACAATGGTGGAGGGGTGGTTTAATACCACGCAACTGAAACCAAAAAATCTGCTAAAGACTTTTTACTTTACCAATGAGTGCTCGCTGTTGCAAATTGAAAAATGCAGAGCCCATCAGTGTCACTTTTCAGCTAGCCGTCCAAACAAAATGGTGGAGGGGTGGTTCAATACCACGCAACTGAAAACGAAAAGTCATGCTAAATACGTTTTTATGTTTCCAATAAGTGCTCGCCATTGCGGGTGTTTTTAGAACAGTACTCGAGTTTCTGCAGTGTAAAAACGCATTGATGGAAATGCAACCTAAGTGAAGAGAACTTTGACATTGCATTTAAATAATTTATAGTATGTACAGTAAGAAGTTTCTTACATCATTGCGAGGGGCATGAGCCTGCACGGGGTCTTCGGCAGCGAGAGCGATACTGCTCATGGTGATGACTGTGAGGATGCACATCTCAAAATACCGCAGATTCACCACATAATGACACAGTCGTCGCACTCTACAGAAAAAACATGACAATAATAGTCACAGTACGCAGAGGTTATTTAAGTTAAATGCTAATTCAGAACAATCTGAGAATAGTAATGTGATATACTGTATATATAATGGAACATAATCTTTGTGATTTAACTCACGGGTTGGTTGGGCCAAACACAAACATGGAGCTGTATGGCAAAATGTGTTTAGGCGCATTCTGATTTAGCTCATCAAGATCCTTCTTTTCCTCATTCAGCAGCAGACTGTCACCATCAATGTTGTTCACTGTCAAATAGATGATCATTAGAGCAAAGATGAGGAGAGCATGTCATACATGGTAAATAAGCATTCAATGTTGCTGCCTTTTTAGCAGGGCTGCTTTTTTTGGAAATTATTCTGTAATTAGTAAATTACTTAAAAGGATTCATTTAAACTAAAAAATGAATGTTCTGTCAGTATCAGTTTACCCGCACGACTTTTTAAACAGTTTTACAATGATGGTTTGAAAATTTAATTTGATTTATCATAATGACTAGAATGATGTTGATCTTGAACTTCATTTTATGATTGCATGGAATCCTTTCATTTTGTGGCATTATATGGTAATTAACTTTTAAAATAAAAAAAATGTAAAAATAAAACAACATACAAATAAAATAAATTATATTTATATTATATTATATTATATTATATTATATTATATTATATTATATTATATTATATTATATTATATTATGTTATATTATATTATATATTATATAATTATATTTATATATATAAAATAAAATTATGACAAAATAAAATATTATTATATTTAAAATAACTAAAATTAAATAAATATAATAACAAAAACTAAATAAAAAATGTTATTTATGTTTTAAATAAAATAAAACAAATGACAAAAGAAAAAACTAAATAAAATAAAAGTACAATAAAAAACAAATCAATGCAAAAATGTAAAAACTAAAATAAAAACAAATAAAATATGCTAAATAACATAACATAACAAAAATGCTAAATAAAACATTTTTAATGCTAAATAAAACTGCTTTTTAAAACATTTTCCTCCCTCCTTTATCCTCCTTCTCCACCCGCATCCTCCACAATTACTACTGATGACTTTGCTACATTCTTTTGCACCAAAACTGCAAAAATCAGTGCTCAATTTGCTGCACCTACAACTCTGAGTCTGAGGTGTCCAAACTCGTGCTATCTAGCCATCCAACCACCTGTCCACTCGATCCCATTCCCTCTCATCTCTTGCAAGCCATCTCTCCTGCAGTCATACCAACACTGACTCACATAATTAACACATCTCTTGACTCTGGTTTATTCCCCACTTCATTTAAGCAGGCTAGGGTAACCTTACTGCTAAAGAAACCCAACCTGGACTATATGCTACTTGAAAACTACAGACCAGTATCCCTGCTTCCATTCATGGCCAAGATTCTGGAGAAAGTAGTGTTCAATCAAGTCCTCGACTTTCTTACTCAAAACAATCTCATGGACAACAAGCAATCCGGCTTTAAGAAAGGCCACTCAACTGAGACTGCCCTGCTCTCGGTCATGGAGGATCTCAGACTGGCTTAAGCATACTCGAAATCATCAGTCCTCATTTTGCTGGACTTGTCAGCTGCTTTTGAAACTGTCAACCACCAGATCCTGCTATCTACGCTCGAGTCACTGGGCGTTGCGGGCACTGTTATATAATGGTTCAGATCTTACCTCTCTGACAGGTCATTCAGGGTGTCTTGGAGGGGAGAGGTGTCCAACCTACAGCATCTAAACACTGGGGTACCTCAAGGCTCTGTTCTTGGGCCACTTCTCTTCTCCATCTACACATCATCTCTAGGTCCAGTCATCCAGAGACATGGATTCTCCTACCACTGCTATGCTGATGATACCCAGCTATACCTCTCTTTTCATCCTGATGATCCCTCGGTTCCAGCTCGCATCTCAGCCTGCCTGTTGGATATTTCACACTGGATGAAAGATCATCATCTTCAGCTGAACCTCGCAAAAACGGAAATGCTTGTAGTTTCTGCCAACTCGACTCTACACCATAACTTTTCAATCCAGACGGATGGGGCAACCATTACTGCATCCAAAATGGTGAAAAGCCTTGGAGTAACGATTGATGACCAACTAAACTTCTCTGACCACATTTCTAGAACTGCTCGATCGTGCAGATTCGCACTCTATAACATCAGAAAGATCCGACCCTTCTTATCTGAACATGCAGCTCAACTCCTTGTTCAAGCTCTTGTTCTCTCCAAACTGGATTACTGCAACTCTCTACTAGCTGGGCTTCCTGCTAACTCTATCAAGCCTCTTCAATTGCTCCAGAATGCAGCAGCACGAGTGGTCTTCAACGAACCTAAACGAGCACATGTCACTCCGCTGCTAGTCCGTTTGCACTGGCTGCCAGTTGCTGCTCGCATCAAATTCAAAGCTATGATGCTTGCCTACAAAGTGACTTCTGGCCTTGCTTCTTCTTATCTGCTCTCACTTCTGCAGATCTATGTGCCCTCCAGAAACTTGCGTTCTGTGAATGAACGTCGCCTCGTGGTTCCATCCCAAAGAGGCAAGAAATCACTTTCGCTAACGCTCACACTCAATCTGCCCAGTTGGTGGAATGAACTCCCTAACTGCATCAGAACAGCAGAGTCACTCGCTATTTTCAAGAAACGACTAAAAACTCAACTATTTAGTCTCCACTTCACTTCCTAATCTGCAATTGCCTCTCTGAATATCACACTAACTGTACCCAAAAAAAAAAAAAAAAAAAAATATATATATATATATATATATATATAAAAATAAAATAAAAAACACTAATACTACTAATACTTCCCTTCTTAGACTTTACAGACCTGAAACTTGCCTATAGCACTTATTCATTGTTGCTCTTAGTTGTGTAAATTGCTTCCTTATCCTCATTTGTAAGTCGCTTTGGATAAAAGCGTCTGCTAAATGACTAAATGTAAATGTAAATATATATATATATATATATATATATATATATATATATATATATATATATATATATATATATATATATATATATATAAAATGACAATAAAAAATCTAATTAAAAAATACAAAAAAAATAATAAAATAAAAATATAAAAACAAGATTAAAAAATACAATAAAAACAAAACAAAAAAAATATAAAAAAAATTCTAATAAAACAATAAAATCTCACTTGGAATGACAGTGGTCTCTCCTGGTGGCGCAGTTATGGTGACAGGGATGTTGACTCCGCTTGGACCCACTCGAGTGCTGTTTTTTAGATTATCTTTGTCTTCTGGCTTCTCTTCAGAAGGAGACTGGAGAGGGCTGGTTGTGAGGCTGTCTGTTTCTGTTGGTCTGCTCCTGTAATGACCAAAAGCTCAAATGTCTGAAACAACACAGTATATATCCATATAGATGCACAATATATCTCAAAGTGTACCTCAATTGCTTTGCTAAGTGCATATACATCAAAGTCAAAAAGAAATTGTAGCAACAAATGCCATGTCCAATCATGCACATGTAAATCAATTGAGCATCAAAATGTCTAACACAAAATGACATTGCATTATAACCCAATATCAAAGTAATGTCATTTGTTTAAAGGAAAAACAGCATTGTTTAAAAGGTTGAAAAAAAACTACAGAAACCATCAAAGAAGTTCTAATGGTTTTCTAAGGGAAATTATATTAGGTTTTATTGGAAACTGGATTGGTCTTGTGGGTATCCATAAGGGTGGGTAATTATATGTCTTCTATTGGTGGCATGTTAAAACTAATAGATTCAAATAGAATATGTGTAAAAACTGAACAATATATTTGATATTTGAGCATTGATATCACATGTCTGTATCTGCAATAGTCTCAAAGCAGGATTAGATTATTTATTAGCGATTAAAATACAAAAAAGTATTAAAAATTACTACTTGTTAACAATTTATATAACAATGACCATATTATTTTACATTCTATTGTTCAATTTCTGTGCTTGAATACTGTTTGACTTCTCAAAAAACCATAAAGCAATGTTTATTTATTTATTTATTTGTTTCTTTATTCATTTTTGCTTGTAATATATTACTTTTTGTGAAAAGGCACTGCGTGGAACAAAACTTGATCATCCCAGTCGATCTAAATTAATGATTTCTTTTTTTTTTCAAATAGAGTTATTCAAACCATCTGGTAAAATGTTATTCATATCAATATATATATTGTGGCAAAACAAAATATCGCCATGTCATATTTTTCCAATATTGTGCAGCCCCAGCAGAAACCAACACAAATGGATTGATTTTAATAGCTAAGATTTTGATGATTTATAATCGTTTTAGTGCTGTTTATCTATAAACTAATTTTGAGAGGATCACGTGCTTATGATTGATCACAGCGTGTCCCGCATCAGCTCTGAATTTTGCGCCAATCTGATGAATACTGACTCAGTGTAAATAATCTGAGTTTTCCACTTGAGTTATTTTTGTCTTGAAGAATCCCCCTTCCACCCCTTTTCCTCACCTTCTTCTGATAGGGTGGCATGGCTGCCCAGTGTTTAGCACTGTTGCCTCACAGCAAGAATGCCTCTGGTTTGACTCCTCACCGGACCAATCTGCGTTTCTGTGCAGAGGTTGCATGTTCTCCCCGTGCTCTTGTGGGTTTTTCCTAGGGTTTGACGATTTCCTCCCACCATTCAAAGACATGCAGTTGAATTCAGAATTATTAGCCCCCCGAATTTAGCTTAAAGGGGATAATAATTTGACCTTAAAATGTTTTTTAAAAAAGATTACAAACTGCTTTTATTCTAGCCGAAATATAACAAAAAAGCTTTCTCCACAGGAAAAAAATATTATCAGACATACTGTGAAAATGTTCTTGCACTGTTAAACATCATTTGGCAAATATATTAAAAATAGACAAAAAATTCAAAGGGGGGCTGATAATTCTGACTTCAACTGTACATCATAAGTAATTTAACTACTCTAAAGTAGCAAACTTAAAGATAAACTTTTAGCTTTCTATATCTCAGCTATTCCTTCAACTTAATAAGCAGGGGAGTTCCCGAGACCTACCTGAGCTCAAACTCACCTCTCTCACCCTTCAAATGGAAGGGAACACCAGGCTCGAGGATATTCGGTGCTCAGTGCTCTCTCTCCTGGGACAGCATGCCAAACATGCTTTATTATCAATCATCAGCTAAGTGAGCAGCTAAGTAAGACCTCTTGAAAAGGTATTTGTAGTGGAAACCATTAGAATATTGTCTGATGGTTTCTATTGTGTTTCTCCATCCGATTGGTCAGACTTGTAAAAACAACCTATGCAGCACACAAATGCTTGGCACATAAAACTAATTTAATTTATCGTGATAATGATTCTTCGTAAATATATTGTGCATCTCTAGTGTGTGTGTGCGTGTGTGCTCTGTAAAAAGTCCAGGGTTTCACACAACTAATTCATGTTGTCCCAACACAAATTGATCAATTTAACTTAATTGTTTTTACAATTTTAAGTGGACTAAACATAAAACAACTAAGTTTTTAGCTGAGAATTAAGAATTATGTTGATTTAGCTAATTTTAAATGCACAGTTAGAACAAGCAGCAAAAAAATAATAATTTGAGCATATGTGCATCCAGAAAAGGTCAGTGGGAACCAAAACTGTTTGGTTACCAGCATTCTTCAAAACATCTGCGTTTGCATTTGGGCACTTATTGGATGCATATTTTAGATTCACTTTATTTGGAAACACTTTATTTTGATGGTCCACTTGAGTATTAGTAGACTGTCTGCTTAACATCTGTTAATACTGCTGCTTCAACAGACATTTAACTGACTATAAGAAACTTTGCAAGTAAATGTCAACTTACACCAACCCTAACCCTAACAGTCTACTTATAATCAAATGGGTATTAGCTGGCATGTAGATACAGTGTAACTTAAATTAAACAAACAAACCATCAAAATAAAGTGTGTCCCTTTATTTTCATAATATAATGACAGTCTGACATATGTCAGGATCAATAGTGCTGTTGATCAAAAATCATGACATCATAACATATCGCGATATGTTAATTATTCTTGAAAACATACAAGTCACTATATACTAACTCTGGTGGCTATAACTCAAAACCTGTAGGATTTTCTGTTAAGTGGAACATAAATATAAAAAGGATTATTTGAAGGATTTTAGAAACCAAACTGATCTGGTTCCTATTGACTTCAAATTATATGGACAAAAGATACAATAGAACACAATAGAAATGCAAAGTAAGTGTTTCAGAGAAGACACGAAAAAACTGCACACAGGTTTAGAATGACGATTTTGGTTAATTTAGTCTCTATTGATAGTTTTTACATGACATGACACCATTAGGGGTTTGCATGCTATAATGCATATGCAGTAACTATTTTAATTTGCCGATTAAGTCTAATTAAAGTATAAATTGAAACGCAAAACAAACCGACATCAATTATAAAAGTAACATAAAAGCACTTTCACGCTATAACGACATCGCCAATGTCTAAATCATATCCAAAAGATGTACACATTGCCAAACCGGAGCTCTGACAGGGACATCAGGGATTTCAATGACTGAAAAATAGGATCACAAGTGCCTAAAATTGACAGTTTATGATCATAACTCTGTTTTTTTCTATAGGTTTGTGATCCAAATATGCATAGCTTAAAACAGATGGAAATACGAGTGGTTTGTGGTTTAGCTGCCATTATGGTCCACTGTTTTTTTACCTGTCAGGTCTCCAAATCTGACAGAAAGCTTTCAATGAGCATTAAAATACTTTCTGGGTGCCACTGTACACTATAAAAACCTACCTGCGTTTACCACCATTCTCTCTACATTCGTCTCCATCCAATGTGGACTGGGCTTTAACCCGTGGCCGGTGTCTCCTTCTCTCTCCATTCCCTCCTTCACCCTCTCTGTGACCTCGTATCCTCTCGCCCCTGCCTCCATTACCAATCACACCATTCCCGTTCCCGTTGACTTCTCTGGGTCTTCTAGAATGATGATGTCTATGTTCTCTCTCCTCAATCCCAATGCCCTCCTCTGGAGATCCAGAAGATCTGTGGTGGTTCCTCTGTCCTCCATCTTGACTGTTGCTGCGCTCTAGGCCACCCTGGTTCTCTCGATTTTGGCTGTGGTGTCTGTGAAGCCGTCCCTCGCCGGTGTCTCCGTTCTCCCCTCGACATTTATGATATTTTCTCTGGTGGTTAGATGCTGGCTGACCCTCTGAAGTGTCTCCGTCTTTGTCAGATCTGAGATTGTCCACAGAATCTCGGTGCTCCACAACCAGCGGCCGATCGTGGTGGGTCTTCATGTCAGGCCGCAGATGCAGGGCAGAGGAGACACGCAGACGCTCTTCTGGCTCCAATTCGTTGTAAAGTGCCTCGCTGCTGCTACGCAGGTTGTGTCTGCGCAGTTGGTTAGTGCGCTGCTCCCATATGGACAACTTCTGCAGTGACCTCTGCTGCTCTTTACTGAGGGACGGAAAAACATTCATCGCCTGAATAACACGCATCACTGTCGGCTCACTGCAGTAAAACCCTCATCCGGATGCAAACCACTGTCAATTATCGAAAATCATAATAGGATTAAAGGTTAGTCATCCTTTACTCACATAACTTTCCCTCTTCTGCAGAACATACATGACGGTATTTATGATATGATTTATGGTAAAAAAAAAATAAAAAAAAACCTTGGTGAGTTTTCCCCACTTAGCTCAGTTCATTTAGACTTGTGCTCTGATCCATGCCAAAAACAATCGGTCCAAGACTGAATGAGGTGTTATCGGCCCTCTCGAAACGAACTCTAGAGTGGTTCAGTTGTAGTGAGAAAGCAATACGATCTAACGAACTAACAAACCAGGCTATATCACAGCATCTTATGGATATGCAATAGGCATATATATGGCTATAAAAAGAGAGAATGATGAGTAGAGATATCATTCCTATTGGTAAAAGTGTGTTTTATGTCGAACATCAAAAAAATAATATCACTGACTTTTTGGTTAACTTATGATATAGAATCAATATATATTTTACAACCCATGAAAACTGAATTGAGGCTATGTGAAATTCTATACCTCAGATTTATATTTGGTGATGCTATGTTTGTGCGCGTCACCATTCAAAATGAAAGCTCACCTTTTCACTTATACTGTTGTCTTACGATTTCTCATCATCTTAAATTAAAAAAAGCGATCTATGACATTTGTGCAGAATCCCGGAAAATAAACCAAACTTTGACCAACGTGACAGTTTACTGGCATGTGAGTTGTCTTGAATTTGGTCCGTTTCGAAACATTGTCATGTGAAAGTGAATTGCACCATTGTAACAATTTTAATAATATTTCAGAACAAAACAATCAATCTATAGGTGTGATAGCACCCTTAAGTTTATGAAATGAATCATGAATGTGAATGAAATTTTTCGCATGCTTAATACAAAATACAAAGGTGGCATTGTTTGAAATGTCATGACAACTTGGCATACCAAGACAAAATACAGTAGCGTGTCATAAATCTGTCATAAACATAAGGCCATTATTGTAATTGTGTCATGAATATTTTTGATTACTTTTTCAGTAGAACAAAATTAGTTTGTCATTAAAATGAGTGTCAATACTCAATTTAATGACAGGTAAACATTTTGAGTTTACTCACTTCATTCAAGTTAGTCAAATCCGCTTCATTTGCATGTCAAATTCATTTCACAAAAAAAAGTAGATTCACGTCATTAACGAAGCTAGAGTTGAAGCTAAAGCCCAGCTGGCTTCTGTCTGCCTGGTGACTCTAGCTTTTTTGCTAAATGGCTAAAATGGATTTTATTGAGAGAATAGCTGTGTTTATGTGCTTTATGAAGGCTGAAAAACAGTGTTGATTTATTTCAAGCCATTTCAAGTCCACTAGATCCATTTAGAGGTGCACCCAGCTCTGTAAATTCCTCAACTCCTCCAAAAACTGTACCTGGATGGTGGAAGCTTTCAGTGGTACTTCCGACTGAGCTATGGCCAGTTTGATGAACTGCTGTCCGTTGTCAGCAGAAGGATTTTTGCCTGGGGCACCAACAACAGGCGATACGTCATAATCACACCCCCACAAGAGCAAGCTCCTGGTTGGTTAACGTGGCGCAAATGTCCGCTTAAGTTCCGATTTTTGACGAATCACGTCATTTACGTGCCTCATTTGTACGTATCGAGCCACAGGATGTCTATTCGCAACTTTGCATGGACTTAACATGTAAATTACTCACGCTTGATGCTTCGTCCTCGTCTGGTGTGAATGGAGCAGAACAGTGTCATAATTATTTACTGACATTTAATGACATTTTATTGTAGTTGAGGTCAAGAAAAGTATTAATGATAACTTATGAAACTCATGACACATTTATAATGGCCTTGTGACAATCATGTTTATGACTATTTTATGACATTTCTTGATATGTCAATTTGTTAAAAAAGATACAAGAACAGGTTATTATACATCTGCTTATGTCAAGACATATATCATTCATAAACATGATTGTCATGAGGTCATTATAAATGTGTCATAGACAAAGACATCTCAAACAATGTTATCTTTGCATTTCATTTGCAAATGACAAAACTGACGTGTGTCATATCATGAATATAAATGATAGTCTTCTGAACACCCCCTTCAAGTAAAGTGTTACCTTAGTCCCTTCCTACTCCATACTTAATAAATGCAATAGGAATCCAACCTGGTTGGTTCCCAACATTTTTTAAAATATCTTTGTTTGTGTTCAACAGAAAAAGGAAAGAACATGAGGATGTGTAAAAGATGACAGACTTTTGAGAGGACTATCCTATTACTTTCATGATCCCATGATGTCATGATCAACAGTGATCCTTTTTTTTTTTTTTTTTTTTTTGATGATTGTATAAACGATTACAAGCACAGGTCGTTTTTATAAAAGAATGTAATTGAAGGATTATTAAAATGTCATGAAGTAAAGCTATGTAATTAAATATTAAGATTAATTAAAACAATGAATAAATAAATAAATAAATAAATAAATAAATAAATAAATAAATAAATAAATAAATAAATAAATAAATAAATAATTCAATTAATTCAATTAATTCAAATAAATATTAATTAATTAACTAATTGACTAAAATGTTTTTGAATTAAAATGAAAAATTCACTTTCATAGTAGAAAACAAATATGGTAGTCAATGGGTGCCAGCTACCAGCATTCTTCGAAATATCTTCTTTTGTGTTCAACAGGAGAAAGAAAGTAGTGAAGAATGAATAAATGATGACAAACATTTCATTTTTGGATGAACTATCCTTTTAAATTTAAAATAGTTTCTTTGGCTATTGAATTAAATAAGAAGAAAATCACAGAAAAACAAAATTAAAGCTGTAACTCAAATGTGGTCCCCAAACTTGGTTCTGGAGGGCCAGTGTCCTGCAGATTTTTGCTTCAACCACAATTAAACACGCCTGAACCAGTTAATCGAGCTCTAACTTGGTGTACTAAAAACATCCAGGCAGGTGTGTTGAGGCAATTTGGGGCTAAACTATGCAGGACACTGGTACTCCAAGACTGAGCTTGGGCACTTCTGCTCAAACGGATTTACACAGGCTCTCAAGCATCTGCGTGAAACAGTGGTTGGCTTGGATGTTTTTCTAACTACAGTTTTCAGTGTAATCTGTTCGTCATGCTCTTTGAGTCATGCATTTCACTTACGTCCAAATGCTTTTCCATTGTTAAAAGGAGACAGAGAGCATCATGGGACAACAGGGATTCAGAATCCCTAATGATGCACTAATAGCATGAGCTAATTATATAAAAACGCCAAAGTCGCACAAAAATAACAATAGCATCCTAAATCGTTGCACTATACCTCACAAAGTGACGACATGGAGTGTAGACATAACTCCTTTGAGACACATTCAGGGTCGCACAACACAAAAACGAGATGTGTTAAAGACAAACACAAATATTAGATGAAAAGAGGTCAAGAGAGAAGGAAAATAGAACTAAGGAGGAAGAAAACACACAAAGACAGACAGATACAACAATAAACGAAAACATTTTGACACACAATTATAAATAATTTGCATGCACAACCATACATCCTAAAGCCCAAACTCACACACTACAGAGCTGGTTGACCCAAACAGTCAATGAAGCTTGCAGACCGCACACTCACACTGCTCTGTTTAGCTTGGCCTTCATTCATATTGGAAAAGTTATGCACTTTCAAAAGCATAAAATCAAAGTGCTGGCAGCCTCTCAGAGCCTTCACATACATAACACATCTAACCAAGGCCAACAAGAGACCATGCAAATGAGGAATAACACACTCTCTGTTGGACAAGATATATCTATGAAGAACAACAATCTGTCTGTCTGTCTGTCATCCAAGCATCTATTTGTCTGTCTATCTGTTTTTCTCTCAATCCATCCGCCCGCCCGCCCGCCTGTGCGTCCATCCATCCATCCATCCATCCATCCATCCATCCATCCATCCATCCATCCATCCATCTAAGAATAACAATCTGTCTGTCCATCGATCCATCTGTCAATCTTTATCTATGATCCATCCATCTATCAGTCTGTCTGTGTTTATCTGTTTATCTATCCACCCGTCTGCCCATCCATCTGTATTTCTATCTCTCAGTTTGTCTATCCATCCATCTGTCTGTATGTTTATCTATCTTATTGTCTCTCTATTTTTGTTTATCTCCCTGTCCATCAATCTGTCTGTCCATCGAACTGTATGTCCATCCATCTGTATGTCTATCTATCTCTTTGTCTCTCATTCAATGTTTACATCCATCCATCCATCCATCACCCACCTGCCTGCTCTGTGCAGGGCTTCAACTATTTATTCATTAATTAAGAAAAACTATCTGTCTGTCTGTCTATCTATCTGTCTATCTATATCTACCACCCATTCATCTGTCAGTCTGTCGGTCTTTCTGTCGGTCTGTCTGTCTGTCTGTCTGTCTGTCTGTCTGTCTGTCTGTCTGTCTGTCTGTCTGTCTGTCTGTCTATCTATCTATCTATCTATCTATCTATCTATCAAGAATAACAATATGTCTGTCAGCCTGTCTATCTTTCTATCTATATCTATCTTCATCTGTCTGTCTGTCTGTCTATCTATCCATCCATCCATCTGTCTATCTGTTCGTCTATCCATCTGTCTGTTTGTACCTCCATCCATCAATCTGTCCGTCCATCTGTCTGTCTGTCTATCTATCTTTTTGTCTGTCTTTCTGTCTGTCTGTCTCTCTTTCCATCCATACGTCTGTCTGTCCGTCTGTCTGTGTTTGTTTCTGTCCATCCATCCATCCATCCCTCCTTACATCTATCTATCTATCTATCTATCTATCTATCTATCTATCTATCTATCTATCTATCTATCTATCTATCTATCTATCTATCTATCTATCTATCTATCTATCTATCTATCTATCTATCTATCTATCTATCTATCTCTGTTTGTCTCTCTGTTCAACCCATAATCCAACCCTCCATCCATTCATCTATCCATCCATCCATCCATCCATCCATCCATCCATCCATCCATCCATACACTAATCCATTCAAAGGAAATCAAGGCGCAGCTTAGCACCTATCCAAAATAACTGTTTAGTAACAATCTTATTCAGCTTTGTTGAGCACTAAAAATCAGCAAATCAATCACTAACATTATTAGAACCAGCCATGTAGTCATGCATGACTATAAATTAATATAGGCGGCTGGCATGAACATTGTTGATTCTGTTGGAAAACATTTCTTTAAGCCTAAACCTTGATACTGCTGTATAATCAACCCCAAACTCAATCAGATCAACTACAACAAGAAAGACAGAGAGGGAAAACAAAATGAAAGCTTAGAGGAGAAAGGAACAGGAGTGAGGAGCGGAGAGAAGAGGAAAGGAGAAGAGAGGAGAGGAGGAGTATTGTAAGTGAGAGCAGAACTCACGGTGAATGAACGCTGCAGACTGAAGACCTGCGAGAGATTGCATCTCGATTTTGCTTTACAAAACTGCACATGCGAAACAAAACAAAACAAAAACAAAACAAAAAAATGAGACACAAACGCTAAATAAAAAAAAGTGTAGAGGGGCAGATTGCAGTCAGGGGGTGCATCTCAATCAGCTCCCTAGCTCTCAAGGTAGTGGATCAGTAGGTCATGTGAACGAAGAAGGTTGATTCACTAAGCAAGTCCTCATTGTAAAAGTTTAAAACTTGAATTAATAAACAAAAGCAGAATTCATATTTTTTACATATTAATTTTATGAAGTTAATATAGTTTTATTAATAATGATTTTAATTATTAATGAAGCAATTAATTTGATTATTTTATATACTGGCAACTTTTGAACCATTAAACAATTATAAACGTTTGATACTGTATATTGTTCTTAACCTACACTGTAAAACCCAATAAGTAAAGTTTACTCAAACTGTTTGAAGAAACCGATTGTGGCAAACCTTTTGAAACAAGTTTTGAAACAAAACGGTTTGAGTACTGTAAATAAAATACTATGGTTATATATACAGTTTATATACACATATATTACTTGTGACGATAATTTGTGTTGTCAAACATGTTAAAGAGCCCCTATTATGGGTTTTTAAAAATGACCTTTTATGCAGTGTAACACAGCTCGAAGTGAAGTGAAATATCCAGGCTTAAATCTGAAAAATGAATCAATAGTTTAAAACTATTGATTCATCTATAAGAGAGTCAACTCATAGTGCTTTAAATAAATCATCTTGATAATCGTCTTTAGCCTTGTCGGCGTGACGTTGATACTGAACCTATGCCTGGCCCATTTGCCATTTGTTGCGTGCACAAACCCGGGAAAATTGAAACCCCCAGCTAGCAGATCCCGGTTAAATCATGTCGCAAAGACGCTGAACTCAGTTGGATATTATTGGAAGCGTGAGGGAAAATTTGTGTTATTTTCCCTACCCAAAGATGAAACTGTGAATAGTCAGTGGTTAATGTTTATTTTTGCAAAAAATACCTCAGCATTATAGCCCCAGCCTTGTGCTGCATTCCTGTTATTTTTCTGATGAGTGCTTCTGTATTCTACACGCTTACAACGGGAGATTCGTCGGCCGTTTGATTCAAAATAGTTCAGCTTTTGGGGTAGGGGTAGGGAGTCTGAATAACACTGTTGACTGCTGAGAACCAGATGTTAGTAACTGTACTATGAAGCATGTTTCGGGTGGCTGCTGCAGTTGGATCCTATACCAATGTTGGCGACCTGGGGGTTTCAAAGACTGTACCAAAATGCTGAGAACCGGGGTGAGGGAATGGGTAAAATTACAAGAGTTTTAAAGAAGAAATAACAAAACAGGAGGGTGGCGGGAGATGGGTCTGAAATGTGGGAGACTCCAGGGAAAAACAGGAGTGTTGGCTGGTATGCTCACACATACACTCTGCACTTTGACTACTTCAATATTGTTGATAAGCCGTGGTGGTCGTCTCACGCTGAATGTTGTCGACCAATCACAACAGACTGTCATCAGTCCAATCAGCGCAGATTGTCATGCAAAGGAGGGTTTTGGGAACAAATGAATAACTAAACGAATCATATGAAGTGGCTAGGATAATTAGGTAAAAATAAATGCATATTATAAGACAATGAAAGTGTTTTTTGACTTTGCATGCATATCAGACTGTTGTCGGAGACCAACTAAATCAAAATATGACCATTTTTAATGATTAATAGGGGCTCTTTAAGTTCAGTTATCAAATCGCCGAGTTCAACAAATTAAGTCCAAACAAATATCCTCTAGTATTACTTGTAGTAATAGAGTTAACACAAAAAATATAATTAATTAATTCATAACTCATTCGTTTTGAGTTGTGCTTAATATATTTCTTTCACTAATTTTTTCATTGAGTCAAAGTAACCTTTTAAAAACGTATAAGTTTACCTAACTTATTTTATTTAGTGATTTTGACTGTTAGGTTTTACAGTGTTTGTATATAGCTATGTTTGTTCACGTTAAATATGAATAAATAACTAAATACAAATACATAATGACTCGTTTGCTGTCATTGTTTGACTATTTGGTTTACGTGATCCGAACTTTCATCATATCCAAACTATCATGATCCCTAATTTTTATGGTGCATTGTGGGATTTTTTATGCGCTGAAAGAATGTTGTGATTGAGACAGCACTTAAAATGGCTGACTCCATGATCAGTGCCCTGACTAGTAAACAAGGAAGCTGATTGAGACACACCCAGGGTGGTTTCTGCCCACCTGACACCTGTATGTTTCAAATACAAGACACAAAAACACTGGCAACACTTCAGTAAAGGACACGCTAAACACTCTACAGACAAAGAGAATGTTTGAAGACTTGAAAAAATGCATTAAACAAACATGAATTTATGTTAAAGCAATTTTTTTGTTTTTAATTGTGGCCCTCTACTTTAGTGTCACCAAAAAACAAAAACAAAAAAAAAAACAGTAAATCAGCAGATTAAATTACAGTTTGCAGTTTTGTAAACAATACATTGTGATTGTATGTGATAAAATGAAAATGTAACTTATAAGTTGTTTCATTAAAAATACTGAGGTGACAACTGTAAAAAATGTAAACATCATGTGCTCTGTGAATAGACAGAAAAGAAAGAGTTACACATATGAATACAAACAACAAATGTAAGTGAAAGTACTCTAGCACAACCTGAAAACAGACACGCATACTGGTATACTCTTTAACTAGTGTTTCTTCAATTAAAGGCAGTTCTATATTAAATTATTTGACTGTTTTGGCAATATTTTGAATCAAATAAGTGAGCTGAAGAGACTTATTTACTTCATTTCCAAATGTTTTCCAAATAATTCTATGCACAATTATACATTTAAAACGAGAACTGTTCATGATGTTCCAATCAAATCATTTGATATATAATCTAGGTTGATTGTAAACTAACAAATTTGGAGTCTTTTTCACCAAATTATGAAATATCAGTGTACCTATTTACCAAGACGACAAAAAGTAGTGCGTAGAAAATAAATAGATTTAATTCCAACAGAAAATAACATACAGTTATAATTTCATTATGTATGATTTGAATACAGAATTGTTATTTATGTGTTAATATTTTTTTATTTGTGACCCTGGACCACAAAACCAGTCTCATGTTGCACAGATGTATTTTAGCCAAATAAATATTGTATTTGTTATACTCACCACCAGCAATCTAGCTACTGTGAATCGCTAGAGAACTATGCACATGCCACATTTACGAACTACAAGTCCTTTCATGTACCTCACACACATGTGTGTGTGTTTTAAATTGATTACACACACACACAGGATCATGATTAACTGATCACATGGACTTTACATACAGCACTTACGCATACTTCAGTGCTAAGCCTTGTTTTACTGTACTGTGACATTACCACACTTTTTCCCTTGTCTTGTCTAGCCTTGTTTTAACCCGTGCTTTGTTTGTTCACATAGTATGCCGCCTATACCGAGCGCTCGCCTGTTAATATACCTCAACTGGGGATTATCTGTAAGTACCTGTTTGCAGCTGTTTTGACCGTTGCCAAATTTCATGCCAAAAATCATTTAAATATCAAGTAAAGATCATGTTCCATAAATATAGTTTCCAAATTTCCTACCGTAAAAATAAAAAGAAAATAACATTTAACAAAATTTGATTAGTAATGTGCATAGCTAAAAACGTACTTTGTTCAACTTTAAAGGGTCACGAAACACCAAAACACTTTTTTTTTTTTAAATGTTGACAGTCATTTATGTGTCCGATGTTGTTAAAAACACTATTAGGACACATATATTCCACAAAAAATGTGAAAATTGGTTGTTATTTCGAGCAAATTTGTTCTTCCGGTTTGACAAAAAAATTGAAGCAACGTCACAGCGATTAGATCCTTGTGAAAATTCCAGCATGGAGACTGGATGCCTGTCCCTTTAAATACAAATTTCTCAGTAAATTTTTTTTTTTGGAACCCTCAGATCTTAGATATTCAAACAATTTTATCTAAAAAATACAGAATGTTGTTATATGCGAACAAACCATACATCAATGGAAAGTTTATTTATTCAAGTTTCAGATAATGCATTCGGGTGCTTTCAAACCTACACTTTTGTTTCGGAACTTGTCTCGTTTGCCCAGTTAGCGCGGTTCGTTTGGCATATGTGAATCCACCAATTGCGCTAGGATCAGCGCTAAAACAATCTCTTCGAGATCGCTTGAATGAGGTAGTCTCGGATCGATTAAAACGAACTCTGGAGCAAATCAATTGTAGTGAGAAAGCGATAAGATCCGAGCCCAGTTATATCACAGTGTTTTATGGACATGTAATAAGCATATAGCAATGTGAAGAGCGAATTATGAGTAGGGTGGGAGGTCATTACAGACATCCCAAGTCACCCGGAAGTTTAAGGAGTCTCCCGCAAAACACAGAGACTCCCGAATTCCCAACAAACGAGTGATAATCACCCGGGTATCGCGTGTCTCCCCCCGGTCCGTTAATACGTCGCGCACCCTTCTCACCCCTCCCCACCACATCCCTCCTCGCTCTTCAGACACGTCGTGTGCACCTTGTCAAACACCACCAAACCATTACCTCCCCTGAAAGCTGAGCGGGATTCTGCTAAATAAACCATAAAACTCTGACCAATGTGAGGAGAGTTTACTCACATGTGACTTGTTTTAGCTCTTTTGGTCCGATTAGAAACTTTGCAGTGTGAAAGCGAACCGCACCAAGAGCAAAAAGCAACAATGTAACAATAGTAAGCTCTGTTTTGAAACAACTGAATCGATTCACAGGTGTGAAAGCACCCTTAGGTTCCACAAACTTACACTTAAAACTGGTTTTGTGAATCATGGTTATATTTTTAATAATGATTGTACAGTAAAAAAAAGTGCTCTTCATAGGTGAATTCCCGTGAATAAACCAATGGGTATGAAAAATGTCCATATAGTTGAAGAAACACCCCAATTACACTTCAGAAAACATTTATTTACCTTGAAAAAGCTTTCAGGCATTTATAAAAAGATAAATAGTAACGATCTCGGCAGATTACATATAATTAAACTGTAATAACATAGCTTTGGTGTAACATACGGCATCACCCTAAAGCAAAACAATAATGAAGAACAGACTACACAGAGCAGGTATAAGGGGAGGACGGGGTTACAATATCACAGACTATACAAACAATCAAGCAATTGGAAAACAACTTCAAACCAAAAAGAGGGAAAAGTTCCATATAGCACAACATGACACATGAACAAGGGAAAGACAGACACTTACGCTGCGATGGAGATGTTGGCAGCAGACATGGGGCTGACCTCTTTCACCTCCATGGCCTTCTGAAGAGCCAGACTTTTCTTCGCTGCCTCCTCCTGCTGCTCTTCATCCTGCAGAAATGGAAGATCAGGAGAAAAGAAAGCTACTACCTGTTTCAAGTGTTTTGTGCCAGTATTAAATTATTGTCATAAATCAGGTGACATGATTACCTTTGTCAGCTCCTGCGCATTGGCAAGGTTATCCACAGCGATGGCCAAGAATACATTGAGAAGTGTGTCTGGTTATTATTAGTTTAGGAAAGTGCCTTTATTTTATATTCAACATACATCAAATTTGTCTTAAAAACTGATTCAATTTTCACATTTTATTTTATTCAGTTTTATCTACTTTGATTTATTTATTTACCTTCGGCTAGTCTCTATTTCGGAGGTCGCCACAGCGGAATGAACCGCCAACTATTCCAGCATATGTTTTATGCAGTGGATGGCCTTCCAGCTGCAACCCAGTACTGGGAAACACTAAACGCATTCACACCCACACACACACATACGGGGCTCAATTTGTGCGGAAGGAGGCCGGAAGGAGGAAATCTGATCTTGCACCTACGCATCCTCTCCCCTCACCCTCTGTACTTTTGCAACGATACCGATTGCCGCCTCATACCCTCCCCGCTCTTAACTTCTGCGACACCCACAAACACCCAAAACCCCACCCAGATTTTGTTTACCCAATTTTTTACCCAATTCACCTGTAGTAGTCCATGTCTTTGGACTGTATAGGGGAAACCGGAGCACCCGGAGGAAACACAGGGAGAACATGTAAACTTCACACAGAAATGCCAACTGACCAATTTTCTCTAAGGTGAACTCTTTAATTTAGAACAAATATGATTTTTTGTCCTAATTGATTATTATAGTCCACTTAAACTAAAATTATACATTTTTGATGTAAAATAAAAGTGAATGAAATTAACAAAAACGTAACAAAAATGACAAAAATAACTGCATTTTTAAAAAATATAACTAAAACTAAATTGAATGTGTAAATAGGTTTTAAAAAGAGTATTCTGTGCTGATAGCCTCGTGTTCAGTGCAGTGACGTATTCTATTTGGAGTCATTGCACTTCAGGTGTCTGGAGTTCGAGTCCCAGTTCACGGACCTTTCCTGACACTCCACAACCCTCTCTCTCCAACAATCCCAATAAAGAAAAAAATGCACCTGAAAGAAAAGTATAAAATTTAAATTAAATAATAAATTAAAAATGAAAATAACAAACCCGTTTTATTCTGAAAACGTCTTTCCATGGACGTTTCTGGAGACTGCGAAATCCGTCCTAGGAGATTTATTTTTGCAGTTTTTGCGAATCCACGAGAGGCCACTGTGCGTGTTTTTTTTTTGCATCTCAAATGGCTCTCGCGAGTGCCGTTTGCGCCCGCGCTGTTCTCGCATGAACCCACCAGAGGTCGCTGTCGACCAACTGAATGACTGAATGTAATTCGTGGTCTCCAGAAAACGTCCGCGGGACTACATTTTCAGAAGTAGCCTGTGTTGAAAATAACAATAATAATAGGTTTACAACTATCCTTGGTATAAAAGGTGCCCTTAAGATACCTTTTGGATGATGGGATCATAAGACGCTGTGTTTTATCCCTTCACTTTTTCTTCACTATCTACCACTTCCATGATTTCTTTGATGGAAAGGCCTATAGGGGGATATGGGGGTATGTTATTATAATAATATTGTGACAACCTATGGAAGAGACGGAAAGTGGACAAGCTCAACCCTGTTTACAACTGTGTCTATTTTTTTTTTATTGTCCATTGATAATCAGATAATTAGGGGGCGCGTGGTGGCGCAGAGGGTATCGATGTCACCTCACAGCAAGAAGGTCGCTGGTTCGAGCCTCAGCTGGGTCAGTTGGCATTTCTGTGTGGAGTTTACATGTTCTCTTTGTGTTTGCATGGGTTTTCTACGGGTGCTCCGGTTTCCCCCACAAGTCCAAAGACATGCTCTATAGGTGAATTGGGTAACCAAAATTGTCCGTAGTGTATGTGTGTGAATTTGAGTGTATGGATGTTTCCCAGTGATTGGTTGCAGCTGGAAGGGCATCCGCTGTGTAAAACAGGTGCTGGATAAGTTGGCTGTTCATTCCACTGTGACGACCCATGATTAATAAAGGGTCTAAGCCGAAAAGAAAATGAATAAATGTAATCAGGTAATCAGGTAAACTAAATTCCTTCTTAAAGGCAAAGTTCACTCACAAATGATGTTTTACTCAACCTTAACTTGTACAAAATTAATTTGAGGGATTTTTTGTTTGTTTTTGTTTGGTTAAACACAAAATAGTATATTCAGAAAAATGTTAGAAACCCCAAACCATTGACTTCCATAGTACATTTTTTTTTCTACTTTGAAAGTAAATGGTTTCCAACATTCTTCAAAATATCTTCTTTTGTGTTCACTAGTTCAAACTACTTTGAAACCAGTCAAGAGTGAGTATCTTCAATTTTGGGCGAATGATCCCTTTAATACCAGATGCAAATGTAACACTGGAATGTTCAACCATCTGAACAGCTGTTGCACAGGATACAGTTTCCGAAGAGAGTAAGAACAATGAAGTAAACCGAGGAGAACATCCCACCCCGGACGCCACCCTGCGACTCGATGCCATGATACATCACTGCGTTCCAATCCTCGCCTGTCAAAATCTGCAAGTATAAACAGTCCAAGCACAGCAAACATTCAGAGTCTAATACATGAAATACACATATTAAACATTTATTAGGCCAAATTAAAATAAAACATACCTGGAAGACTGTCATTATGGCTGCAGGGAAGCTGTCAAAATTTGTAGTGGGTGTTTCATCTTCAAAATTAAACCTGGTCGGGAATAGAAAAAAACTTCAGGGTGCTTGGTTTAAAGAGGTACACTTGAAGATTTGGATGTCAGTTGTGCTTGGCTTTAATTTAGTTTAGAGAAGCAGGGCTGTCACAACAAAGATACTGAGTTACTGGGATCAAACCACTACTTGGTTTTATCATAATTTGTATCCTTAAGCAAAGTATTGAACTTGAATGTTATATAAATAATCAGACTATAAGTGCAATATTCACACTCAGACAAGATATGGCTTTTTTTTAGCTTTATTTTCATTTTGTATTCACCCTCTGAATTAAAACATTAGAGAGACCCCACAGTGCTGTCCACTATTATTCCCAATTCATTAGTCCCTATAAGCATTAAAAACTAAACATTTTTGTTCAAATGCTATTAATCATAAACCAAACCAACAAGATAGAAGGTGAGTCACTGTCATTCACCATATTTAATGGAAGTGGGCAGAGCTAAAGTTCTCTTTTGAAGTGCTTTGCTTACTGAAACTCTCTGATTGGTGAATTGGTGGTTATCAGTGGTTATCAGCTGATAGATATGGGCCAGTAGGGACCTTCTGCACCTTCTAGTAGGCTTAGAAGGTTGTTATCATCCATCAACATGGTTAATGAGCTATACTAATAGAGACGACTGCGGATCTGTTTTTACATTACTGTGACGGCTGGGTTTAGGGTTGGGGTAGACGTTAAGAAAATACAATGAATGGGAAATTTTATAAATAATATAAATAATTCTCGTGGTTAATCAGAGAAGACTCCACATCCAGATCTCATTCATTCATTCATTTTCTTGTCGGCTTAGTCCCTTTATTAAAAAAAGGGGTCGCCACAGCGGAATGAACCGCCAACTTATACAGCAAGTTTTTACGCAGCGGATGCACTTTCAGCCGCAGCCCATCTCTGGGAAACATCCACACACATTCACTCACATACACATTCACCCACACACACATACACTACGGACAATTTAGCTTACCCAATTCACCTGCATGTCTTTGGACTGTGGGGGAAACCGGAGCACCTGGAGGAAACCCACACGAAGGCAGGGAGAACATGCAAACTCCACACAGAAACGCCAACTGAGCCGAGGTGCGAACCAGCGACCCAGCGACCTTCTTGCTGTGAGGCGACAGCACTACCTACTGCGCCACTGCCTCGCCCACACATCCAGATCTGTTTTTACAGTACTGTGAAGGCTGAGTTTAGGGTTGGGGTAGGGGTAGACGTTAATAAAATACAATTAATGGGAAATGTAATAAATAAAATAAATGAATTTCGTTAATCTTTTTGTTTTTCGTTTTTTTCGTTAATAGAGCACCGATAGACATTGTGTTCACATGACTTTGTTTTCTCGTAAAATAGTTGATTGTATCTACATTTAGCCTGAAAGTAAAGTCAAATTAGATGCATAATAGCATTTGTAGTTTGACCTACAGTAACATCTGAAACAATACAAATGAAACAAAACATTGAAAACTTAAATACGTTTTATTAATAAACTAGATGCAATTAATAATAAATGCATAAATGACTGAAGCATGTGTTACACACATTTACCGAAAAAAGTTGATATCCTGATCATCAGTGTATAAGTCGCACACTGCTGATAACCACTGATAACGCTCATTTAATCGAGTGATAACATTCTAAGGCAGGGGTAGGGAACCTATGGCTCGTAAGCCATATGTGGCTCTTTGATCAAAAATAAGTAGCTCTCCAGCTGTCTCCCTTAAATAATATTTTACAGTTAAAAAATTATAACTGTCACTAAAAAATCAGTTTTCTGTGGAAAATACAATTACAGTTCCTTTTATTGTATTTTGTTTTACAGCAAAATGAATAAGAACTCAGTTTACAATAAAAGGACATTGTACAATACGCGTGTGCAGAGCTGTGGATAAACTTGAATCATGACATTAATAAAGGGCAAACAACTTAAGTTTTTATGGTAACCTCACACACGTAAATTCAAACAACATTCATCAGTGGGGATGGCGAAAACAAAATAATCATAAATAAACTTGTATTACAGTTGAAGTCAGAATTATTATTATTATCTTTGTCATGATGACAGTAAATAATATTTGACTAGATATTTTTCAAGACACTTCTATACAGCTTAAAGTGACATTTAAAGGCTTAACTAGGTTAATTAGATTAACTAGGCAGGTTAGGGTAATAAGACAAGTTACTGTATAAGGATGGTTTGTTCTTTTGAGTATAAAAAATATATATAGCTTAAAGGTGCTAATAATTTTCACCTTAAAATGGTTATTACAAAATAAAAACTGCTTTTATTCTAGCCGAAATAAAACAAAAAAGACTTTCTCCGGAAGAAAAAAATATTATCAGAAATACTGTGAAAATGTCCTTGCTCTAACATAACATAATTTGGGAAACATTTAAAAATGAAAAAAATTCAAAGGGGGTTTAATAATTCTGACTTTAACGTGTATATAACATATACACAACCCAATGGCTCTTTAAAAAAAAATGTGTTTACCAAAATAATCAGAAATGGTTCTTTGCTGAAATCCATATCATTTAAATATGATTTTTTTTTCTCCTTTGGGTACTCAGTGCTTATTTCAATTCATGGTCTCCATATCTACCCCTTGAAACATTAATAATAATTAAAAACAGATACTCTCACATCCACCATTCCACTAGCATAAATAATATCTGTCCTACAGAAATAGATGTCAGAATTTCAGATGAAGGCAAAAATTATAACCCTACTCCCCAACCTTCTCTGAAATTTTAATTATTTAAAAAAATATATTTCCCAAGTGCTGTTTAATGAACAGAAGATTTTGCAACACATTTGTAAATATAATAGTTTTAATAACTAATTTCTAATAATACAAAATGGTCTTTGCCATGATGACAGTGCCAAGTTTTCAAGATGCTGGATTTCAGCAATTTAAACGCTTAACTTTGCTAATTAGGCAAACTAGGCAACTTAGGTTAGTAAAGTCACTGGACAACAGGGTTTTTTTTCTGTGGCCAATCGAGAAAAAACAAAACAAAAACTTGCTATTTATACTGACCTTAAAATAATTTTTAAATTAAACAAAATGCTTTAATTCCAGCCTAACTAAAAGAAATAAGACTTTCTGTAGAATACAAAAATATAATAGTAAATACTGTGACAAGTTCCTTATTCTATTAAACATCACTTCGGAAATATTTGAAAAAGAATAACAATTACACAGGAGGGCTAATATGTTGTCTCAAAATATACTGTAAAATATGCTACGACAAAAAGTCATGGCTACAAATGAGGTACTTTACTTGACTAATTTAACTTTATTTAATGAGTTAATCAGGGTTTAACTATACTTTTTAAGTTTTGCACAGATTTACTTAACATTTTTATTTAGTTTGCTTGATATAAGTTGACATGACTCGAAAAGTCGAAAAGTTAAATTGATTCAACAAAAACAAAAAAAGTAAGCCTCAAGCATTATTTACAGGGTGTATTACACAACTGTAAGTCAAACAAGACTCAGAAGGATCAGTTTTCCTCTTTTTTTCTGATCCAGCCTTTACAAGAATTTTCTTCCTCTTTTTAGATTAGTTCTCTTTTAGTCATGCCATCTTCAACTCCAAATCACCTTTTAGAGTTTGGCCTTCAAGAGAGACACAAGAAGAGAATGACTCATCCATTCATAAAGGAGATTCAGAGCACGCCTGCGTTCACCAGACTGAATTATTGTATAAAGCTGGTGTCATTCAGTGCTGGCTGTGCGTGGGACTCGTATATTTGCTTTACATCGTAAACATAAAGAGGTTTCCAACAAAAGCTGCAGCAGAAGTATTACTGCATAAAAGACAAAATGCTGTTCGCGCACATAAGCTTAGAATATATAGGCTCCTATGATATAAGCAATGTGAAAAACAAAATAGCAGAACTCGATCATATAAATGGAATTTACAGTATAACACATCATGAAATTTAACAAATGTTTTAATGAATACGTCAAAAGTAGTGATGTACGAATGATATGCTTTATCATTCAAATGGAACAAATGCATCTTAAAAAAAGTCTGAAGCCACATGGGGTCTTGAGACTCTTGAGAATCGAACATTTTGTTTGTAAATCCACTTTTATTTCATATATATGTATTTGCGTCATTGGCTTTGTAAAGCAAGTGTGAGTTTTGTAATTTTTTTGTTTTTATGTTTAATATTTATGATGCATATGCTTAATATATTGGTTTAAAGAGATGATTCTTCACTTTTATTTCACTTTTTTTCTGAACGGAAGGGCAAAGTTAAATAAAATAGTATTTTTAGAAGTAGTGATGTACATCTAATCAAATTATAACATAGACTAGTGTGTAACACAGACTTGTCTTGTAATCAATTTTTAAGTTTTTTATTTTTTTATTTTTTTTGCACAAAGTTAGATTTCAATTTAATGTTGGGAAATGTTGTCAATTTGCATTTTAGGGATAACAAATCCAGTGTAGATAAGTAATCTGTAGTTTTAACTTTCAGGTTAATAAAATCGTTATAATATAATGGTTATTTTGGGGGTCAAAGGGGATCAATGTTATTAGCCCCCATTTATTTTTTCTGCCAATTTCAACATTTTTCAACACATTTCTAAACATAATAGTTTTAATAACTCATTTCTAATAACTGATTATTTTATCTTTGCTGTAATGACAGTACATAATATTTGACTAGATCTTTTTCAAGACATTTCTCAACAAAAGAGATATTTCAAGGCTTAACTGGGTTAACCAGGTTAACTAGGCAGAACAGGGTAATTAGGCAAGTTATTGTATAAAAATGGTTTGCTCTGTAGACAATTAAAAAAATAATTTTGACCTTAAAATGGCTGTTAAAAAATAAAGACTGCCTTTATTATTGCTGAAATAAAACAAATGAGACTTTTTCCAGAAGAAAAAATATTATTAGACATACTATGAAAATTTCCTTGCACTCTTAAACATCATTTGGGAAATATTTAAAAAAGAAAAAGAAATTCAAAGGGAGGCTAATAATTCTGACTTCAACTGTATATAATTATTTTTAGCATAAGAAAATAAACAGTATAATTAACTTGAACAGAAAGAGTAAAAAAGATAATGTCTCCAAAAAAACATAAGAAAAAAATTGAATAAATAAAATAAATAATTTACAGAGAAGTGTGTAGGCTCCACAACTCAACATTCGCCAAACCAGTCCAGCCCACAAAGAGTTACAAGTCAGCATCACTAATATAAAGTCTTATTAGATTCCAGATTTTGAAAAATATGCCTGTTTGCCAACAAATATGTCAATTCTTCCATGACCACCAATTTGCATTTTTAGAATACACATTTTTCATGTTTTAATTTTAACAGAGAAATAAATAGAGATTTGGGGGGCGGAATAAAACACTTCATGGGGTAAATTTGTAAATATATTTAGTTTGATCTGTTAATAAATATTTCTTCATTTCAGTTAATATTAACCACTGAAATACTAATTTATGATTTTTATTTTTATTTTTTTAAATTAAAACAGAGCAATCAATCAATTAATTAATCAGTCAAATGAAATACAGAGCCCTAGAAAATATATGAAAAAACAGTAAAACCAAAAAGTGAAAGGATAAAGGAATCAACGGGGACATGTAAGCTTTCTGTAAAATATATTTCATGCCTACACATTCAAACACCTGCCATCTTCAGCGAACACACCCGAGTAAGCTTGTGTCTTCGGGGCCCTCAGGAGCCTCAAAACTATGATAAAAACACTGACAGAGGCTCATTTGACAGAATGTTCTGCTGGAGAAACGATCTCAAATTCTTCATCTCGGTCTGATTTGCATAAGCAACAGAAAACTAAAGAAATCTTTCAGCAACCCGGCAAGTCAATTATATCCTCAGAGATATCTCCCTGAAACACTAGGAATCAAACAAGCACTTCACTCCAAGTGGTTCACAGGCACGCAGGGGGTCAGCAAACTCAATAAGCCAGAACTAAATTAGAAAGTCTTCAAATCACACAAATGTTACATTTGCAAATCTACAGTATTTTTACTTCAAGAACTCAAATGCCAGAGCAGTTAATACAATCCATCCCTGATTGCATCACAGCCAATGAGAGATGCGCATGTATAATGATGTCACAACACGGACAAGACAACGGCCTGAATCAGAACACACATCATCATGAATGAAGATCATTAACGCTGCATGTGTCAAATTAAAAATAGTTCTACTAGGGCATGTGAGCTTTATTTGGAAAGGCAGAGTGACTCACGGGCATGATTTCACATCTGACTCTTGAATATGCATTTCTTCCTTTAGACACACAGTCTGGCTGAGATGACTAACGGGCATTCACACTGAGCGGAATCATGTGGTGAATAATTCAAGAAAGAACGCGATGAAATTTAAAGAAGAAATATGAAATAGAATATGTTTAAGGTGCATGAAAAAAAAAATCACAAAATTACACTGCAAGCAAATGTTACACTATAGAGATGCTCAGATTTATCTGATTGGACCATTGTTGAAAAACTGTTGATTATGCTAATGTGCACAATGTCTGAAGTTAAATATAAACAAACAAACAAACAAACAAATAAATAAATAAATAAATAAATAAATAAATAAATAAATATAAAATTTAGGTATTCAGTTGTTAAAAAACTACTACTGCTGCTACTACTACTACTACTACTAATAATAATAATAATAATAATAATAATAATAATATTAAAAATTCATTCATTCATTTTCTTGTTGGCTCAGTCCCTTTATTAATCCAGGGTCGCCACAGCGGAATGAACCGCCAACTCATCCAGCATATTTTTAGGCAGCGGATGCCCTTCCAGCCGCAACCCATCTATGGGAAACATCCACACATACATTTACACACACACACACACACATAAACTACGGACAATTTAGCCTCCCCAATTCACCGGAGCACCTGGAGGAAACCCAAGCGAACGCAGGGAGAACATGCAAACTTTACACAGAAACGGCAACTGAGCTGAGAATCGAACCAGCGACCCAGTGACCTTCTTGCTGTGAGGCGACACCACTACCTACTGCGCCAGTGCGTCGCCAACCGCCAACTTATCCAGCATATGTTTTACGCAGCGGATGTCCACATTATTATTATTATTAGTAGTAGTAGTAGTAGTAGTAGTAGTAATAATATCATCATTGTCATCATCATCATCATCATCATTATTATTATTATTATTATTATTATTATTATTATTATTATTATTATTATTATTAGTTGTAGTAGTATTTTTATTATTATCATTATTATTTATTTATTTATTTATTTATTTATTTATTTATTTATTTATTTATTTATTTATTTATTCATTTATTTATATTTTTTACAACAAATGAACTCAAATGAAAATGAATTTATAGCATTATTATTAACTATCAATCAGACAAACTCTATTTATATTCCTCTCGGTCAAATAATTGTTTTATTTTATTTTATTTTATCCATGCAAATGCTAGACATTTAAGTTTATTATTGCTATTATTATTGCTTTATTACAGTCTGTTATGCAAATATTTACTGTAAACACGAGAAAGATTACTCAAAAAGAAGAGAAAAGAAGAAGTGAATGATGGATGGATGGATAGATGGATGGATAGGTAGTTGAAGGTTTGGATGGATGGATTATTATTAGATTATTATTGTTATTGTTATTATTATTATTATATTTATTTTATTATTAATATTATTGTTGTTATTGTTGTTGTTGTTACAAATAAACTCAAATGCATAGCATTTGCTTGAATATTTTTTTATTTTTAAATTTTATAAATAATTAAATAATAATAATAAAGTAGCTGTGTAAATAATAATAATAATTATTATTATTATTATTATTGTTATTGTTATTATTATTGTTAATAGTTTTGTTGTTACAAATAAAATCGAATAGCATTTGCTAGATAAATTAAATTAAATTAGTTCCTGTATGACATAAATTGTATTTCCAATATTGATAAAACAGTAGGCAAAAAGGACCCATCTGACCTACTTCAAACTTTGCAGCGACTTTTAAAGAGTGTCACCAAAAGTGCCTTTGACAGCAGGACATGTTTCTACAAGACTACTATATTAATGAGACTGCACAATTAACCACATGTTGTATCCGGTTTAGTTCATGGATACAGTAAGGCATTCAGAAGACGGAGCCTGAGGCTGATCTCAGTCCAACAGAAGACATATCAAACATACTACCAGGCTTAAAATTGGCTCCAGAAAACTTATCTGATACAGATGCCACAGGAATGTAATAGAAACTTCTATCAGAGCTTCACTGCAGTCCTGCTGTGGTCAGAAATTGCTAATTTGCATTTCGATTTAAAATTCCAGCAATGTGCTCCAGCTCGACACTTATTAGCAAATGTATTAATGTGAGAGTTTTGTAAGTCACAGATTCAGTTTTACTTGTATTTGTGCCCATGGGTAGACTAGGTTTACAATGTTATAGGCTAAGTTGTCACCTCTTACATTTTACAAACATCACAGACATTAAATGACAGGACAAAAGTGCACCAAAGTCTGAAAATAAAAAGAATAAAATAATAATGCTCCTATAAGACTACTCCCTATTCAACTAGAGGTCATCAAAAAAGTGAGCCAAGTCACTTTTTTATGTGCGTATTGTTTTGTGGTTAACATTGGACAAGATGTGCCATAAAAATGTAGAAGATACATTTTATTTAAAAAAATGCCTTTGCCAGATTCAATAAAAGAGAAGAATGGGACAGAAATAGCTGAACCAATGGAGGGTTATTTAAGAAACACTCACTGGCCCCCGAAGAGCTGCATGCCAAGCAGAGCAAACACCACGATGAAGAGGAAGAGGAGGAAGAGCAAGCTGATGATGGACTTCATGGAGTTTAACAGAGAAACCACGAGATTCCGCAAAGAGTTCCAGTATCTACACGAAGAGAGAGAGAGAGAATTAGGATTACACTCTGAAATGCTCATTGGTTGTAAGGGTGCTCCAAATGGTTGCTAGGGTATGACTACACAGTAGCTATAGTGATAACAGATTGGTTTACTGTCTAAACCAAAAAGAAATATGTGATGTGGTTACGTGGTGTTTGTTTATCAAAAGTTCCCGATTAGATTTGTTGTTTAAGCAATGGTATTCCCAGCACATACAGTATAATTAACTATCGATCTCCACTTGAAAAATGAAATCATAACTGAAGAAAAAACACTGACAGTCATGATCTGGCTATAACAGAGTCAAGACTGGATTAATATAAACACTGTATCACCTTGGACAAAAAAAAAAAAAAAGAGATGATAAGTTTGTAAAAACAAACTTAAGGAAAAAACTTCAGAAAAAAATCAAGAAAGTGCTTAGTGCCACTAACATTTTGTGGAACTAAGTAACCTACTTTAGTATGTGAAAAAAAGTATGTGAGCCAAGCTGTAGAGCCAAAATCATAGTATTCGCAATGCATGAGATAAGAAGTACTCAAATGGCCTACTAACTACCAAAGAATTGTGAAGTACACATCCAATGGACACTGTACTATTTCATGAGGGCACACTAGATAATTTACGAATGGAAGTGCCGGGACACTATATGCTGTTGGAGGAAAATGTTTCCTGACTCTCCTCCAAAACACCCCAAAATTGCTCAATAAAATTTAGGTCTGATGACTGTGCTGGCCATGGGAGATGTTCAACTTCACTTTGATGTTCAACAAATCACTCTTTTCACCAGTCTTGCTGTAAGTGTGCATTTACATCCTGTTACATGCCTGATACATGTCTGTTATGTCACCAATATGTGATATGACATGTGTCAGTAACACTTTATTTTGATCGTCCATTTGAGTATTAGTAGACTGTCTGCTTAATATTTGTTGATACTGCTGCTAAACAGGCAATTAACTGACTATAAGAAACTTTGCAAGTACATGTCAACTTACACTAACCCCAATCCTAGCCCTAACCCCAACATTACTAATAATCTAATGAGAATTTGTTGGTGTGTAAATTCAATGTAACTTAAATTCAACAAACGGACCTTCAAAATAAAGTGTTACTCATTTATGCTTTAGAATCTGTTTGGGTCACGCTAGACTTCAAAACCATGACATTTATATGGACATTGGAACAGTCATTACATAAAGACACACATTGCGGCATCTTTAAAAAAAATGCAATTTAAGATATAACACAACAACTGTCAATCCATCTGAAATTGTATACTTCCCAAATTTAGTACGTGAGGCAAGTATGTCCAAATTTATAGTTTTTGAAATGCAGTAGATGAGAATTACTCTATGGCCTACTAAGCATCACAAAATTGTCATGTGTGCATCAAATGGACACTGTTCTATCCCATGAGGCCACACAAAAGAATTTATGAATGGAAGTGTTGGGCATGTGATAATGCTAATGCTAATTGTATCTTAATGATAATCATATTGCATAGAGGTTTTTAACTGGCATGAATTCAATTCAAATTCAAATTTAGTACCTACTTAAGCAGTATGCGAATTCAGATGCAGCTCATATTATTATACATTCTACTACACTGCTCAAATACTACAAATTTAAAGTTTGTGTTCCTTTAATTCATTAAAAGGCATTACTCAACAGTCTTCTACAGGTCACACACCTTTACCCAAAGCAAACTCACGCGTAAGTGTTCACCAAATGAGAATCTTTAAATGCAGCAACAAGCAAAGTAGCTTGAATGCAAGTCATCAGAGAAAAAAGTGTAGTGTGACCAGACTTGTACTACCTGACAAAAGTCTTGTCACCTACGTTTTAGCGACAACAAATAATACTTGACTTCAACAATAAACTTGACTTCTAGTTGATCATTTGGTATCAGTCTTGGCTAAAATGAAAGGAAAAGACCTCTGGATTACGCTTATTTTACCAAAGCAAAATATGATCATGCCTTGATTTTTAATGATTTTAATGACTTTGTTTAAACAAAAGTCTTGTCACTTAGAATATAAAGTCATGGTGCAATGGAAAAATAATGAATATTGTGTATGACTCCTATGAGCTTAAGGGACTGCATACATACATCTTTGCAATGACTTAAATAACATATTAATAAAGTCAACTGGAATGGCAAAGAAAGTGTTCTTACAGGACTCCCAGAGTTTATCAAGATTCTTTGAATTCATCTTCCATGCCTCCTCCTCCATCTTACCCCAGACATGCTCAATAATGCTCATATTTGGTGATTGGGCTGGCCAACCCTGGAGCACCTTGACCTTCTTTGCTTTCAGGAACTTTGATGTGGAGCCTGAAGTATAAGAAGGAGCGCTATCCTGATGAAGAATTTGCCATCTCCTGTGATTTGTAATGTAATGGGCAGCACAAATGTATTAATACCTCAGGTTGTTGAGGTTGTTCACTCTGCAGATTTCTTGCACGCCCCCAATCTGAATGTAACCCCAAACCATGTTTATTCCTTCACCAAGCTTGACTGATATCTGTAAGAATCTTGGGTCCATGCAGGTTCCAATGGGTCTTCTGCATCATTTGTGATGATTAGGATGCAGTTCAACAGATGATTCATTGGGAAAAAAATCTACCTTCTGCCACTTGTGAAGTCAACTAGAATTCAAGTCATTATCTGTTGCTCTTACAACTGGGATTGACGACAAGACTACTGTCAGGTAGTGTACATACAGTATACTGTAAAATCAATTAGGTTTAGGTTTAGGTTTAACTTTATTTGTCCCCGAGAGGAAATTTGTCTTGGGCATAAAAGGTGCTACAACATTGTCTAAACAGACAGTAAAAATAAATAAAACAAAACAATTAAGAACAAACAGTTAAGAACATACATTGTTTACAGAGTAAGACCGTATATAAATATAAATATATAAATGAAACTGATTGTTAATCAGAAATCAGACTTGTTCATGTATGTACACAGGCAGATGTGCATTGATCTACTTACTTGGTTACTTTGAAGATACGGAGCAGACGCAGGGCTCTCAAAACACTGATTCCAAAAGACGCACCAGGCTGAATCGCTGCCCAGATCACCTCAAATATACTCCCCACAATTACCTTTAAATATGAACAAAGTCTCTTAGTTACATAAGTTCCTTATTTACCCCTTCAGATCTGAATTATTTTCAGTATCCAAAAAAGTCTTCGCTTAAGGCTTCCATAAATGAGACCAAATAAAAATAATACAAATATCAACATTATTTATTTCAATGGACAAACTTGAATAATATAACTTTAGTTTTTTTTTTTTTCTCTCTTTTATAGACTATACATAATTAGAACATTATTAAAAAGACCCATGCATTTAATGTCCAAACCCAGTACATTATAATGGAGAGGCTTTATTTTTAATCCTGATTTAAAGCTTTCAATACTTTCAATACATTTTAAACTTTACTAATTAACAAATGCAACCCTTCTTATGTATATACAATCTATGAAATATTGGCAAACATATCAACACATGTGAATACAACCATTGAAAATGTAGCCTACTTCTGTTTTTGGAATATAGTGTTGCCATGATTCTCTTCAATGTAGTGAATCTTTTAAAAATAACAACAAGAGGAGCTTTACTGCCATTTGATTGGTTGAAAAATATCCAATATGATGGATAGCAGGTTTTAAATTTGGTAAAATGCACCAGAAGCAAAACAATTAAAAATAAATTAATTAAAACATGACTTGACATGCCATGTTCATTGTAATTGGCACATGGTCAGAAAGGGGTAAAATACTCTGACTAGGAAACTCATGACATATCTAGAAAGCGACAGCTGGAGCGAATGTGAATAAACTAGCTGAGCCAAAAATCTTTAACATCCCTGTGGCATTGTAGTGTAGACACAAGTATCACAGCGGCTGAGGATGACCGACTGAATGCTAAAGCACAGGCTGGTCTGAATCATGTGTGCTGTGACTCACCCCAAAGTCAAAACAGTTGAACGAGGAGTGAAAGTAGTTTCTGGGCCCCAGGCCGTACATCTTCAGAGTCATCTCTGTCAGAAACAGACCCAGGAATACAAACTCTGCCAGGTCTAACAGCCCACAGAAATGAAAGGAGAGATTAGGTTATCCGTCAACACCCAGCTTTCCCCACACAAACCTTCAAAAGTAATGCACTTACAAGATAGCGCTGGGCAACACAGCTAAAAGAAGTAATATATCAGTCTTCAATACATTTTACACAAATGTACAAAAATATAGTTTATGTAAATGTATTATTTACAAGCAATTTTTTTATATAAATATATTTAATATTGTATAATATTGTTCATCTTATATTAATTTTTCATTTATAACATGGGTCTCAAACTCAATTCCTGGAGAGCCGCAGCTATTGAGCAGGTGTGAGTTGGAGGTGGTGGGAGCTAAAATCTGCAGAGTTGTGGCCATCCCGGAATTGAGTTTAAGACCACTGATTTATAATATATAATCATTTATTTTCCAATGTGTATATATCTACAGTGATTGGACAATAAGGCTCAAACACTATTATTATTTAATAACTGAAATGTTGAATTATTATTTAATAATAATTCATTAACTCAATAATGAATTATTTAGACCACAATAATGCAATAATATGGTGGAGGGCCTCCTTTTGCGGCCAATATGGCATCAATTGGTCTTGGGAATGACAAATACAAGTCCTGCACAGTGGCCAGAGGGATTTTGAGCCATTCTTCTTGCAGAATAGTGGCCAAGTCATTACGTGATGCTGGTGGAGGAAAACGTTACTTACTCCTAAAAAACACCACTAAAATACTCAATAACATTTAGATCTGGTGACTGTGCAGGTCATAGGAGATGTTCAACTTCACTTTCATGTTCATCAAACCACTCTGTCTCTATTCTTGGTGTGTGCCTCTTTTGATTAGTCCTCGAGCCGGGATTTGAACTCAAGACACCCTGACATGCTACTGCACCATATGTAGGCGCACTAACCAATTGGCTATTGTGCCAACAATACACTTTTTTTATTATTTAAAACTATTAGATCAAAACATGTCTTCATTTTTCTGTATTCACAATTTATGAGGCAATATGAGATTTTGCCATTATCAGTATCTGAATAGCTAGTATTTGTTTGGCTTACACAGGGCCTTGGTGAGCCACTCCGGCTGGTCATAATGGACAATAGCCACACACATCGTGTTCAATCCCACCAAACACAAAACGATCCAGTAGAAACTCTGTGCCTTCACCATCCGCCGGATGAAAAAGCGAATCCTTTTTTCCTTTCGACGGAAATATGAGGAGCTGTCGTTCTTACTGCTCTTCAGGCTAGCTCTGGCAAAAGGAGATCCAGGTGGTGCTGCAGAGAGGAGAAAATACAGTCATTCATTCATTCATTCATTTTCCTTCGGCTTAGTCCCTTATTTATCAGGGGTTACGACAGGAGAATGAACCGCCAACTGTTCCAGAATATGTTTTACGCAGCGGATGCCCTTCCAGTACTGGGAAACACCCATACACACTCACATTCACAAACATATTCATATACTATGGCCAATTTAGTTAAAGGTGCAGTAGGTGATCTTCCACAATCCTAACAGCTTAGCATAAATCTCTAAATCACAGTCCCTCCCCTGTCGTCTAGAGCCACGCCTCCTGAAACACGAGCACAGCAAAAGAACCCTCTCTCATGTGTTAAAAGCGACTAGTGCTTGTCCGGCAGCGTGCAAGCAAAACTGACATGCTACTTCATAGTGAATATTTAGAGTTGCATGGTAAACAATGTAGGGAGAGACTAGGCGGAATAGGGGTATTGTGTTTTGTTGTTAAACTAATTAAAATCTACATCATCGATGCTGTAAAAGGTCCCTTATAAAACTGAAAGTAGTCTTATCAATCTTTCATCGAAAGATTTTAGTAGCTGAATATAGTAAAGTTCGTTGTTGTTGAGGGAAGAAGAAGACAGGGTCGGCGATTCAGGTAAACAAACTGTTTTATTAATTTTAGATGCCACCACACATGTAGCAGTGTGTGTGTGTGTGTGTGTGTGTGTGTGTGTGTGTGTGTGTGTGTGTGTGTGTGTGTGTGCTCTCTCTTCTCTCGACTGCACCTCTCGTTCCCCTTAAGAAGGGAGTCTCTCCGGCCCAATCACTAGAAAGACAGGTGTTATTTATCATTTCTGATTGACCTGCTGATTAGCCGCCGGGCTCCTAGCATGCTCTCCCCCCTTATTGGGTGTTCGATCACGCTTACTTCTCCACACTAAACAACACTTCTGTGAAGATATAACCCATTTGTAACAACAAAATCTAACGCTACATCAGCTTTGCATGAAGCTAAAAGAGTTTTAAAACAGAACATTACCTGTGTAAGAGAAATCATTCAGACATGTTGTCATCCTTTCTCCAGCGTGCAAAGGTAGTTCCAATATTGATTCAGGTTTTTAAAAGGTTTTGTTTCAGCATGTTTTTACCGATCGCGCGAGCGCGTGCGTGCTCTCTATCGTGAACACGCGGCGGTCGGTGGAGATGTTTACAAACGGCTGCGCAGTTGTTCAAATCTGCATTTGCTGACAGACAGATTGGGCTACTTATCGGAATTATGAGAGATGTCGGTCCGACTCTATTTAATTGGATGAATATTTTTTGGTTTTATGCCTTACCCAAAATATAAAATACATATAAATACATTTAGATCATTTACTGTAATCATTACTATTAGACTGTAAAGAGACTTTCAACCAGCACAACAAAAAATTCTATTGAAGAAAATCACCTACTGCACCTTTAATCCAATTCACCTATAGAGCATGTCTTTGGACTGTGGGGGAAGCTGGAGCACCCGGAGGAAACCCACGCCAACACGGGAAGAACTTGCAAACTCCACCGGGACTCAAACCAGAGACCTTCCTGCTTCGAGGTGACATTGCTAACCACTGAGTCACCGTGCTACCCAAAAATACAATTAAAATACCTTAATAGAAGATACTTTTTTATTTATTCATTAGACACATCAAAGGTGTGGTTATAAATTGGTTATAAATTAGTCTATCACCCCTTTGAAAAAAGAACACCTTGAATACTGAAGCAGTACTAATATACAGTCATCATGCTCCCTGATCATTAAGATTCTATGCTTATATTTGTCTTAACAGGATATTTCTGTGCATTACAGTAAAAAGGCCAAAAGCTTCTCAAGGCAAAAGGTCAAGCTTACCGACAGAGGAGATGTCTGTGAAATGTTCGTCTCCCTCTTCAGCACTGATGAGGTCATTTCTACCCTTTCTGGACTTTGTTCTTTTTAGAACTGAATGCAGAAATGCATAAAAATGCACACAAATACATTCAATTATCATTTGAGAACTGAAATATGAGACATTTCACAATATAATTAGTACATTTGTCATTGTTTGCTGAAAAAAGAATAAAAGAAAAAGAAAAAAAAACAATATATGAATAAATCTTAAGGGTTGCAGTGTCACAAGATAAACTTGATATATGTCATCGTGAAAACATTAAAGTGGTCCGTTCTAAATAACGATCACATTAAAGACAGCTTGAATGGAATTTGCAGAGACTTTAATATCAGTATGTTAATGTACTTCCAACTGAAAATAAATACATCGACTGGGAGGTGGGGCTATCTTTTTGCGCAGCATTCTCTCATAGCAAACTAATGGTAAAATAGGCAGGGTTAAGAATATTGTGGCTGTCCGCAACTCCAAACGCAGAAGCAAAGGGTCAGACTTTTTTTTCCAGTGGATTAACTTTTATTGGATTTTATTGTTCTTCAAAAGAACATGTTTGCTAGCAAAATTAACTCTGTAGATTTTGATTTCACATGGACTTGGAGGGTCAGTGAGAGTATTTAAAATGTATATTTGAAAGGGTTAATAAATTATTTTTACATAAACAAAAGTATACTAACAAATACTAGTTCAGTCATGAAACTCTAACGTTCGCAGGAGTGCTTGTATCTCTTTCGATAACCAATCAGCTATATACCCAGTAGAAGTAGCTCCAGTCTCCAGACTGCACGCTCGTATCTACTCTCTGCCACCCCCTGCTAGATCTGCTACAGGGATTCATTTGCAGCTCATGTTTACTGCATATGTAGTGCTAACCGTTTTGCTAATAGTTCTGCAGGTCTCTATTTATTGTGGTAAGATTGAGTGAAGTACTCGCTTCCAGCAGCAGCACCGCAGCAGATCTAGACCGCCAAGGTAAACATATGCACTTGCATTCTTTAAATAATTCATTCATTCATTCATTCATTCATTCATTCATTATCATCAATAAAAATATTGTCATCTTACTCCAAGAGTTGTCATGATGACTAAACTAAAATAATTCAATTATTTATTTAAATAAGCTTCATATGAGTGTCTGGCAACAGTGAGGAATGTGTGTACAGGCTTGAATTGACACTAGAAACACAATCCTGTATTCCAAACACTTTCACACTTTTACTTTCTCAAATCCATAAATCCCCTCTACCCCATACATTAAAAAGGAATATTTGGTAACCCTGATTGTTTAATCGCCTGATCATTAAGATTAAGAAACATTTTATCCCTAACTTTTTACATTACTACTAATTTCCATGTATTTTGAGAACTAATTTAATGTCCTGCTGTATAGGACACAGTTACTGTAGGTTAGGGATGTCACTACAGTCAGCTAGTTAGTACCAAAGCCTGTGTGGCATGCATGAATCTATACGTGCATCTAATCCAATTATTCCAGTCATCTTAATCTGTGTAATTAGCCCTGCCTTCCAGAACAGCATAAAACTGACAGAGATTATGAGCATTGATAAAAATGAAGAGTCTCTGAACAAGTGCAATAGCTCACAATGGAAACGTATGCAAGAGAGTTAACATGGGGCTAATGCCACAACCCATTTCTTTAACACAACATGAGTCCAATTCTTAACTATAAACCACGCCCAGGTGAAAAGATCTGATTTATGAAATGCACAAAAACTCAATTTTCGAGCAAAATCATAATCACATATGAGGGTTGATGGAGAAAAAGGTCATACTTTCCACTGGCCTGGTTTATCATAGGATTCTATGGTACACCAGCCCATGGACCCTTGCCCTCTTTTCACCTGGGTTGTTCTGTTTCCGCCTGTACCACGCACCATCCAGAGGGGATTTCTCCTCAGCGTTCTGGTCTTCCTCCGCCAGCAGCACCTCCTCTGTAATCCAAAAATAACAGTAAGGGTGCTGAATATTTAAAACCATAATAGGACACATGCAATGTAAAGAATTTAGACCTGTTCAAGTGAGTACAAACAAAGAAAATATCTGCATAAAAAGTACTATAATTAAGTTTTTTTTGTTTGTTTGTTTTTAAGTGATGAAACTGTACAATATATGAGTAAGTAAGTGAGCCACCTGTACTTTAAAGTCATTTATTACCATTTATTCCCAATTTGTTTACCCAAAAATTCTAATAACCTCATCATTTACACTTCATTGAGTGATTTTAAAGCTTCTTCCATTGAACAAAAAATGTATTTTAATTAATGCTGCTTGCTGGGACCCACCGTTTTAGCATAGTAGAAAAAAACAAATTACTATGGAAGTCAATGGGTTCCAGCATTCTATAAAATATTTATCGTGTTCAACAGAAGAAACATAGGTTCAACACTTTGATGTATTTTAAAAATGTTTTGTTGTGTGTGTAATTTCCCTGCAGGCACAGAACTTCAATATGACATCATACTGTTGTTGTACCCCAACGTACCCACAACGTCGTGGGGATGTTGGGTTTCGTTTTGAAATGAAAATCGGGTTGATATCAGAACCCAACTTCAGGCTGACATCAATGTTTGATGTCCAACCTAAAATTAACCAAATATCTGTCTAATCATGTTACACCTTGACGTTGTGTGGACGTTACCACTATGACTTCTATCAGAAACTTTTGGTCACTTTCCAACACAACCTAAAATCAACCAAATATCAACATAATTTGACATTGTAATTGGACATCAAAATAAAATTGTCCTTAGACGATGGCTAGACATTGAATTTTGGTCACCTGACGATATGAAATAAATCTAACCTAATATAACGTCTTATGATGTTGTGTGCCTGCTGGGTTTCTCTATGCCTTCCAGCTTTGCACAATTCAGGCCTCTTATGAATAAGCTTCTTTCTATAGTTTCACATTTAATAAATACTCTCAACCCTGTGTGTATATAAAGCTGATTCTAACTGTACACCAGAGAAATGTCACTTTTACACTAACCTGCTTTGCAGATCCATTCCAAGTAGCCGGTGAGCTCCCTCTCAATCTGCTGCTGTCTGCGAAGCTTTAAGAACTCCTGCCTCTTCTCCACTCGCTCCCTCTCTTTGGCAAACTCTCTAAGAGCAAACACACACATTTGCAAAATAATTTGTAAAAATGTTTAAAAAGTAATTTTTGAGCATTCTATAGTAAAAAGCTTTCATGAGTGCATCATGTTGGAAAATGTAATTTAAATGATTGGAAAATAAAATATTTTTGCATTATTTTTCAGGCATATATTTCCTGAACATACTTAAATTGCCTTGAAACATTCATTCCTTCATTCCTTTTTTCATTCAGACACCCCCAAATATGTCTGTAAAGCATGGCTATAACAATGTGATCTGCATTTCAGTTCAATAAATTTTTTTTTAAATTCAGATCAAAAGATGTTTGTCTGTCAAAGATTATGAACCATGTTTAGTTGAAGTCAGAATTATTAGCCCCCTCATGTATTAGCCTCCCTGATTTATTAGCCACCCTGTTTATTAGCCCTCGTTTATTTTTCCCCATTTCTGTTCAACGGAGAGAAGACTTTTTAAACACATTTCTAAACATAATAGTTTTAATAACTTATTTCTAATTTATTTTATCTTTGCAATGATGACAATAAATAATATTACAATAGATATTTTTCAAGACACTTCTATACAGCTTAAAATGACATTTAAAGGCTTAACTAGTTTTATTAGGTTAACTGGGCAAGTTAGGGTAATTAGGCAATTTATTGTATAACAGTTGTTTGTTCTGTAGACTGTTGAAAAAAATATATATAGCTTAAAGAGGCTTATAATTTTGACCTTAAAATGGTGTTTAAAAAATTAAAAACTACTTTTATTTTAGCCAAAATAAAACAAATAAGACTTTCTCCAGAAGAAAAAATATTATCAAATATAATGCGAAAATTTCCTTGCTCTGTTAAAATCATTTGGGAAGTAAAATAATAATAATAATAATAAATAAATAAATCAAAGGGGGGCTAATAATTCTGACTTCAACTGTATATCAATAAGATGACACATTCAATAAGACCCAAAGACAATACACCACCTAAGGTGAATTATTATAAATAATAGGAGTGTAGGTAGTTTAACTTGCATGCTCACTTAAAAAGTTGTTGAAATATAGATCAGATGCTCTAATAAGACCAGTTTAAAAACTGGAGTTGACATTAATAAGATATTATTTAGAAATAAACAACCATTTTTAGTTATTATTTTAGTATTAGGGAAAGGGTTACTGTTATTAACCTCCTCTTGCACCTACCCATAACTGAGACTGACTCAGTTAAGTAACCCCAATATTGAGAATCTATGCCAAACTAGTGTAGTTGTTAGTTACCTCAGTTCAGTAACCCCAATGTTAAGAATCTATGTCAAACTAGTGTAGTTAGTTGTTAGTTATCTCAGTTGAGTAACCCCAAGGTTGAGAATCTATGCCAAACTAGTGTAGTTAGTTGTAGTGTTCTGTTCTGAAAAATCTGAGAGCTAACCTATATAGATGAAATTAAAGCTTGTTTTATATTATTTATATTATCCAAAATAATTTGTTATTGTATAAAACAAAAATAAAAACATATAAACAGTTGTGTCACATTATACATTTTTGTATAGCATACCATAGCAAATGTTTGTAGTGCTTTAACTTTCCAGAAATACAGCATACACTGAACCTACTGTACATTCACAGTAAACATTAGCAGATACATGTTCTGCATTATGGGAACTGTGCTTTATATACTGTATAACAGAAGATTTTATAGCAATCATTGTGACAAAAAAAAAAAAGAGTTTTCTGTCAAGTTGTTTATTTTACATGGACACGCTGCCAAAAAGAAAGCAATGGTTGTTTTTGATTAAATATGTTTTATGTATAGTATTTTATAAAAATAAAGGACTATAAATAAGCAGTATTGAAGCAAAAGTGTTTGAAAAACTGCCAACCTGTAGATTATAGAAATATGGAGTAAAACAGGTTTGTACATTTCACTTTCATTTTAAATTGCTGCGCATTACACAAAGCAGGTAAGACTTTGTATTTTATTCAAAACAAAATTTGTATAAAAAGTCTCTCTCAGAGACAATTTAAATCTAAAGATAATCTATAAATTATCTATATCTTTATCTTTATTTATAGATAAATCAGCCAACACATTCCCTTTAGTAAGTTATCATATGAAAGAAAACCAATGTCGTTGTTTATCAAACAGGAAACTAGAAGGTGTCAGAACAAAAGACAATGAAAACTCTCTCAACAGCTGATTCAAGTAAGTTTTGAATGTTGTGCTAACCTTATCTATGTCATGCATATTTTGACAGTGAACAAACTCCAAAACCTAATAATTTTTATAACTTTAAACAGGCAAAACAACTGAGATTAGAATTATTCTTATTGGGGGTCGAGATCTGAGAGGAATAAAAGCAAGTGGAAAAAGTTCAACAGGAAACATAATTCTGGGCAGAGATGCTTTTGAAGTTGGAAAAAGAACTGCCCGGTGTGTTAAAGCAGAGGGAGAGATACATGGGAGACATGTGACTGTGGTTGACACTCCAGGGTGGTGGTGGCATTACTGTGTGGGAAATACTCCAAAATTTGACATGATGGAAATCATGAAAAGCCCAACACTGTGTGCGCCTGGACCTCACGCTTTTCTTTTGGTCATTCCTCTAGATAATGTGTTTCCACAAGTCTATAGAATGGCTCTGAATGAACACCTGGAGTTTTTGTCAGAAAACGTTTGGAAACACATTATAGTGCTTTTCAGCTGCATATCTCCACATGATGATACATCTTTGAAAAACAACTGGAGAAACTGGCCAGACCTCCAACTGGTTCTGGAAAAGTGTCAAAACCGGTATCATGTTCTCAATATTAAAGACAGGGAAGAACGCTCTGGAGTGATCACTCTGCTGAAAAAAATTGAGGAAATGGTAGCACAAAACAATCACAATTACTTCGAAATGAGCAAATGTGTCTCTGTAGAGGATGAGCAAGAGAAAATTAGAAAGGTAAAAGTCAAACAGAGAATCCTTGCTGTCAAAAAAAAGAGTACTGAACTACAAGTACGCAATAAAGGTAAGAAATTATTGAATTTTAAAAATAGACCCATAACTGATTTTGGTATTTGAGAAAATTAACCTAAAATATATATTTAAATCCAACCAGCTGTGACACACTTATCTGCATTAATATTAGACTCTATAAGACTCTATTTTAATGATCTAAGCGCAAAGTCTAAAATGCATGGTCTAAAAGCATTAAGAGCATCTAAATCCACTTTTACTATTTTAAGGATGAAAAAATGCGGTTTGTGCCGCAGCGCATGGTCTAACAGGGTTGTGCTTATTCTCTTAATAAGTTATGGGTGTTTTGAGCATAATGTCGGCATCTAATATACATTTTTTGTAACAGTTTAATCCTTTATTTTTTTTCATATGACGATATTTGTGTATTGCTGTACATCCTATGCATGTTAAGCGTTTAAACCTGCACATAACTAGACTTTAGTCCAGCTTTTACTTGGTCAGTGGCGCAGTCGATTTCAGTTTCTCAAAATAGCAACTAAACACACCTTCTTTATAGACCAGCAAACCCATGAGCTCACAAAGTGGTGCAAATGGATTTGCTATTTAAACAATGTGGTGCAAAACGTGACAATTAGGGTTGAGCTGGTCTGAAAATAGTAACAAATTGTGCCAAACACGTCTTGTGTCTTATCATACACTCGGTATGATAGGGCCCTACAGTAAGTTAGCAGCAAATATAAATTCAGCTGCCAATAAATCATAGCTAGTGGTGGAAAAAGGCTATATATGCAAATTTCTTGTATTATTTTTCACATTATTTCATGGCACCAAGTATCAAAATCTTCCAATTCAAAAAGACACACCAACACGATACAGTTCATCAAGCTTTTAGCAGACAAAATTGTATGTAAAGGATGAAGTACATTCAGTTGTTTTTGCAGAAAAAAATCCTGACAGGTTTATTGGGAGCCCGAAGCAAAGAGGAGGACTGTTGTATAACGCTGCGTTCACACCAGACGCGGAACGGGCGTCAAGCACGAGTGATTTACATGTTAAGTCAATACAAACGCGCGAATAGACATCCTGTGGCGCGATACGCGTGAATGGCGCGGCGCGAATGACGCAAATTGCGCGAATGACGCAGGCGAATTGAGCGTTTTCGCGCGTTTGACGCACTTAATGAGCGTTTGACGCGAATCTCTCAAATTTGAAAATCTGAACTTCAGCATACATTCGCGCCGCGTTAACCAATCAGAAGCTTGCTCTTGTGGGGGCGTGATTGTGACGTAGAACCTGTTCAGTTCATCAAACTCGGCTTGGCTCAGTCAGAAGCACCGCTGAAAGCATCCGTCATCCAGGTTAAGTTTCTGGAGGAGTTTATGAGCTCACAGAGCTGGATGCACGTCTGAAAGGATGTAGTGGACTCAGAAACGACCCTAAACATATCGACGCTGTTTTTCAGTCTTCATAAAGCACATAAACACTGTTATTTTCTTCATAAAATCCATGTTAGCCATTTAGCTATGAAGCTAGAGTCTTCGGGCAGACAGAAGCCCTGCCCATCACGCGAATCCGCGTCTGTTCTGAAGTGAATTTGACACGCGAATGAAGCGGGGTTTGACGTGCAAATGAAGCGAGTAAAATCAAATGTTCATGCGGCTATTTACGCGCGAATACACAGCAAAAGACTGCGGAACACAGCAAAAGACTGAAGGGTTTTATCTTGTAAAAACAACAGCCTGGATGTACTTTATCCTGTTTTTTCCTGGCTACTTTCCACGAAATGTAAAAGATTAGACAAAAGAATTTCTGAGCAGTAAATAAAGGGCCATGAAAGCACCCTCTTTCGGTTCAAGTCTACCTCAGAATCTTTTTTAAAAATGCTCGAGATGGGTGTGGAGCATTGCAAGCAGAGAGGGGGGTGGTCGTGGCCGGCAGAGCAGGATAGAAAGAGGGGAGCCAACAACTGTTGTCAAAATGAGACTCAAACCGTAAGGTGACCCATGATTTTATAGTTTACAAAGTTAATATGCAAAGAAATTAACAGTAAGTAATTTAATGCCCTGCTACATTTGCTATTCGTATTTTCATTTACACATAACCACAATTAGTCATATCATTATAAAGATAATTGTGTTTATATAAACACTATAAATAAGGAGGACTTCTCTCCTCCTCAATCCAGACACAGTGGATAGCAGTGCAGCAGGTCTCTTGCCCTGTCTATTCCAACCATTAGCCCTGCCGGTAATCTAAAGGATTTTAAACATAGGCGAACACAGCAGAATGGATATAGGCGATGTGTCTGAATTGTAAAGAACTAAGTTTGCCATTCTCCAATTCTTATACAGCTCTCTCGACAAAAATGCTTGCTGTAAACCAATAGCTTGCTGTATCGACATTGGCAGTATCGCATGGAAAAACATGCAACAAACCTTGTGGATCATGGAAACAAACACATATGACGCGGTATTACCCAGTCATTGGGTATCACACAGCTTTGCAGGTCTGCATTGCCTTCAGAAAGCACGTGCTCTCATGAATAATTAAGAAGCAGGGTCTTCTAAGAAAACTTCACTATAAATAATAATGAGAAATTATTAGCACCCAGATGAGCCTGTGTTATTCAGTGGCTGATATCTCGGAATAGCATACATTGGACCAGTTAGAATCAAGTATTCCAAACAGCAAACAATGACCAAACAATTTTAATCACTGGCTTCTAATCTAACAAAGGGCTTGAGTTTTTCTCTTTGTCTTTTCAAAGTGCAGTATACATACTGTTTATATCAACAGAAGTGCAGCGAATATAACTTTCACTTAACTTTTGTTGAGTCTGTCCCAACATGTAAAGAGAGAAAACCAGATATTCCGGTATTTAAATTCAAAAGCCAGCGCTCATGTATTAAAGTCTGCATTTTAATTTCAGTAACTGTTCAAACTTCTCTTTTATTGGATTTTTGCACAGCATAAAAGAGGATACTTCCAAAACAAACTAACTCTCTTATCAGAAATACATACATTGCCAGGAAACCCACAACACATAAATAATCTGCAAAACCAAATTATCAATATGCAGTTATTAATTCAAATGTGATTACTTTCAGGTAAGGACCAACAACTCACTGATATACAGATTGTAATGCTTGGAGCATCATGGGCTGCAAAGAGCTCTGCAGGGAACCTCATTCTGGGCAAAGAAGCTTTTAAAGTTGATGAATCAAGAACAACGACATGCTGTGAGGTTGGACATGCTGAAGTGCATGGAAAAAAGTTGACTGTAGTTGATACTCCGGGCTGGATCTGTGATCATCCTCTCGAAAAAACACCAGCAATTGACAAACTGGAAATTAAACATAGTCTGCATCTATGTGCTCCTGGTCCACATGCTATTCTGCTAACTGTTCCAGCTGCCACAGCCTTTAAAAAACCATATCAAACATCTGTGGCAGAACACATGAGTCTTTTAGGGAAGGATGTGTGGAGCCACACAATAGTACTATTCACTAGAGGAGACTGGCTTGGGGATACAACCATCGAGGAACGTATTGAAGAAGAAGGAGAGCATCTTGAATGGCTAATGGAACGGTGTGGGTACAGATACCATGTTTTCAACTGTAAAAAGCACACTGACAGCATACAAGTCAAAGGGCTCCTTGATAAGATTGAGGAAATGGTGATGGAAAACAATGGGCGACGTTATGTGCCAGATGAAAAAAGCAATCCATCCACTGAGCTTCAGGCGAAGATTAAGAGAGCCAAAAAAGACACAGAGAAAAAGCACAGACAAGACCATATTCTTCAAAATCTGCTTAAAGGTACAAGTGTGTGTGTGTATACTACAGGTAAAGGAAAAATTATTGGCTCTCCTGTGTATTTACTTTCGTTTTTAAATATTTCCCTAAAGATGTTTAACAGAGCAAAGGATTTTTCACTGTATTTCCGATAATGCATTTTTTTTCTTCTGGAGAAAGTCTTTTTTTATTTTTTTATTTTGGCTAGATTAAAAGCAGTTTTACATAAAAAAAAAAAAAACATTTTAAGGTCAATGTTATATAATTATTATATAACAGTTCTGTCTGGTTCTTGAATCTGAGTGGCTGATAGCCGTGCGATATTCTGCAAATAACAGCACTCATCTAGGTTCACTTGTGTATTCCTCTGCCTACATACAGCGACAAGCAGAGGACAATCTACAGTTTGACAAATATTGCAGCTGTTGGGCAACATAATACACTTTTGATGCTTTTTTAGTCAAGAATGTAGTTGTTCAGATTGCAATTAAGTCAGTTTATTTATAAAGATAGTGCTTATATTTAAATATTTATAACTTCTGAGATACAGTGCCATCAATGACCATTTTGGTCATTGAGCGGACCAAAAATGCTTGACGTTGTCCATCTACAAAATGGCAACAGAGACCGCATAATAAGCCTTGGCTTTATTGCATTGGCTTTTTCAGGGTTAGTTATTGTGATCTCCCGATTGCAACAGAATATATACTGGGAAATTTTGGTAGACTGATGGCATTTCATGCCGTTCAGCCTTATAATCTTAAAATGTGAGCAAAATCACCTGTTTTGTCATCACTTTAGACATTACGCAAGAGAATCATTCAAATACTAGCTCTAAAGTGACATATGTGAAGTAGCAACGATTCTGCTGTTCTGACGTCAGCTGCTGATATGAAGGAATGGTGGATGAAAGTAGTTCCTCCTACAAAAGGATGTTTAGACTCTCTGTGTTTGATTTTCTTTTTATATACATGGTTATGCCAGTGAACTGTTGAATAGATGCAATATCACACTCGTAGTTGTTTCCTTCTCAACAACAGAAAGGGAAGAACAACTATCGGAAATTAGGATTGTGCTTCTTGGACGAGAAGGAGTTGGGAAAAGCACATCAGGAAACATGATTATGCAAGGAGATTTTTTTGAGACTACTCTAGAAGAGGTATTTAATATATTTTTGATATCTTTAAAACCACATTTTTGTGTAATTCATTTATGCCTGATGATTTTGGGATTGATATTGTGTCTAGGGATTTAAAGACCAGAGAAGAACAAGTCGATGTGTGATGAAACAGGGGAAAGTTGAAGAATATCACATCTCTGTGGTAGACACACCAGGCTGGTCAACATCCCATTTAAACCACGCAAAGGAAATTTTTTGCAGCGTGAAAGTTTGCTCACCAGGACCACATGCATTCCTGCTTGTGTTGCCTCTGAATCAGTCTTTTAGAAAAAAATCTGAACAAACAGTGAAAGAACTCATGAATCTTTTTGGAGAGCATCTCTGGAAACATACTCTGATTATATTCTCCGGATCTTGGCTGAAGGACAGACCAGTTGAACGGTATATTGCGTGTGAAGGAGAAGCCCTGCAGAGCTTGATAAGAAAATGTGGAAACAGATATTATAAACTAGACCATAAGAGTCAAAGCAAAAATCTGCTTAAGATGATTGGTGTGATGGTAGCAAAAAACCGAGGGGAATATTTCACAACAGAAAAGAAAGAAAAAACATCAACATCACTCTTCCAGAGGCTTATTGGGAAAGTGCTCACTGAGGAGGAGTGGAACAAACGTGAGGATGAACTAATTGACAAGATGCTGGAGGCTGCAGTTGTGGATCTAGATGAAGAATCCAATCAGCCATCTGCCAGACGAAAGGCAAGCTATGAATATGGAATCCCCAGTAGTAAGTTTCTGTTTATCTGTATTGTAACAAACATGAGTTAACTAATAACACGGTAAATAACTGCTGTTTTCTGCAATCCTATCTTCCAATTTGGCTGTCATTTGTAATCAAATCATATATGTACCACAAATTTTTGTTGTACTTTCAGTGAGTGGAGATTCCTTGTCTGATACCGTCAATTCAATTGGAGTTAAAAAGTGGGAGTTCTTCGATGAGTGAGACTATTCCAATGTATGAGGGATCTAATACCATGTCTGATACTGAAAGTTCAACTGAAGTTGATACTCTTAGTTCTGAAGTCAAAGTATCTCAATGGCTCAAGCACCTAAGAAATAGACCATCATCATCTGGATATGACTCCATGGGCAATGCATAAAGTTCTCGAATATCAATAATGGAAATATCAAAGACAACATCCCCCTGAAGGATACCGATACTGTTCACAAGAACATTTCAATATACACAAGAAGCCCAATAACAAAACGCAAAATCAGCATCGATATAGAATTAGTGTTCTCTAAAATCCAAGCTATGCACATGTACAATATGAGGACTGGGTAAAATATCTCAATATGATCAGCTTCACTCTAGTAGTTTTGACATTGCTCTGTTGATTTTGCTGTGTCCTGCAGAATTGGCTGTTGGTCAACAGGTTATATAAATATGTTTTTGAACCATGTCTGTACAGTATGTACGTATTAATTAATTTTAATGTGTAAAACTTTACAAAAATGGTATGTGACACATTTTTTGTGTTTAAAAAGTGTTTAAAAGGGCAGACTGTAAGATTTTTATAAAATTACTAAAGAATTTGAATATGCAAAAGTACAATTTAAATATGTATTTATATCAATAAACCTTGAATTTTAAAACCTACTTTTAACCCTTGATGTGTCTTTGAGAACACACACATATACATGTATTGTATATATGTATAATAAATAAATGTATAATAAGAATAATAAATAGAAACATTTTAGTTATTACATATACATATAATCACTGTGGTCTCAAAAAGTATGTATGTATATATATATATATATATATATATATATATATATATATATATATATATATATATATATATATATATATATATATATATATATATTAGGGGTGTCACAATTTAGATTTTTAATCGAAAACGACCAAAATTTATGCTCAATTTCGATTATCGAATCAAAAAATAGAATCGTCGATGCTGCCACGCCCCCATGTCACGTCAGATTAGCTTGCCAAGCGGGGAAAAAACAGGCTTGTTGAAGTGCTTGTTGAACTGCAGATACAGGAGACCCGTCGACAGAACTTAAACCCTCTCCTCTTTCAATGAAGTCGCCGGTGTGTAAGCATTTTGGATTTCCAGTGAGTTATGTTGACAACACAAATATTCGTGTTGTCGACAAAAAAAAACCACAGTTTTGCAAGCTCTGCTATGTACGTATTAGGGATCGTCCGATAGACAACACCGGCATCGCGATCCTCCGTCCGCCCCCGTTACAAATCCGCTCGCGAAAAGTACACACTCAGGCCCTGTTTACACTGTCTTTGTTTTTAAATGGCATTTTAGAACGACAATGATTTGACATCCACAGTGGCGTGTAGCATTTCTGAGCAGCCCTCCTTCCTCTCTACCTCTGAAAATGCACATCATGTGACCACACACACACACACACACACACACACACACACACACACACACACACACACAGCCATGGGCTCGAGACTGCTTCGATCTTTCACTCACTTGTACTTAGTCATTTTAGCGAACACCTCAGATACTGTTGGCTGGTTCCTGTTGGTTGTGTGTCTTTTTTACCGACGCCATTATAACGACACAGATCACTGCCTATTCACGAGTCCCGCAGAAAAAGTGATTGACAGGTGGTAATGTGTGTGTATCTTGCCTTTATTCATTTACTGTATGATTTGTTTATGGGTAAAACAAAGACCATGCAGGTCAGGTAGTTTAAATGGGAGGCTACAAATAATTAATTGGTCATTAATTAATTAATTATTCATAATCGAAAATCTAATTGAATCGTGCCTTTAGAATCGAAAATGTAATCGAATCGAGGATTTGGAGGATTGCGACACCCTTAATATATATATATATATATATATATATATATATATATATATATATATATATATATATATATATATATATATATATATATATATATATATATATATACTTTTTTGAGACCACAGTGATCTATGATGTCTGTAAGAACAACATGGACTAAATGTTTCTATTTATTATTCTTATTATTACTATTATTGCTTTATTTTAACAGTGGAACAGTGGATAAAGATCTTCATTATAGTAATGCTACACATATGACTCTATTAAAAATCCATTTTCTCAAATTTATCAAAATGCACTTGCATATTGTGGAAGTAATAACATGCTGATGAAGCTCTCGATTCTCACCGGTGGTCCTTATTCATTTTTAATCATATTCACAACAGAACCCTTTCCAATAATTTACTAAATGATTGTGTATCTTAATAAACAAGCCTCATAGGTTAAGTGAGATATTCATGTTGAATAAACACCAAAGTAAAGAAGATAAATCAACAAGGAACATAAATGATTAAGACAGCGCATACTGCTCAGAATGTGACGTATAAGTAAATGTACAGTAAGTCATATAAAGTAACATTAATGTGCACAAAATAATAGAAATTAATAACATTTTAGCCTAACTAGTCTCTATTTTCAGCTGGACTAGGAAGGGAACTTTGTAAGTGAAATAGTATGACACCAAGGGAGACAGACAGATTTACAACTTACCCTGATAAGACACCCAGGACGAGGTTAAGCATGAAAAAAGAGCCGATGATGATGAGAGGGATGAAGTACAGCCAATTCCAGGTGTTTCCCGCGGCATCATTGGTCTGTGCACAAACAAATACAATACTGTAAGTGATGTTACAGTAAAACCCTTACATTTACATTCTCAAACAATTTCATTCACACAGAAAGTTAAGAAATGTTCATGTTATTTAACAATTTAACATTATTTTACATCAACTGAATCATTTTATTTAAATCATTAAATAAAATTAATAGTAATAATAATAAAAAATGACCCTAAACTTATATACAGTCAAGTCTGAAATGATTTATACCCCTGACAAATTATGTTACTTTTATTCAACCAGCAAGTTTTTATTATTATTTTGATCAAAAAGAAAGACAGGCTTTTCCAAAAAGATGTACAAGTGGCATCATTGTGGGAAAGAAAGATCTGTTTCTTAGCCTTTATTTACATTTGAGCAAAAAACTTTTAGAACTAATATATATATAAAAGGAATTACATTTACAACAAACATATATTTTGTTACAACTATCTTGTGTTTATTAATTTATTAAACTTGTCACAATGCATTCTAATGTGTTTGATGCTACCTAGAAGGGATCATAAATATGCAGCTTATCTTTTGTAACAGTTTAAATTCACATCTAAAATTCTCATCAGGATTTTGTAAAAGAGTAAGGCCCAATCCCAATTCTATTTTTGTTCCTATTCCCCTTCCTCTTGGCCCTTGAAACAGAGTGTGAAGGGGAAGGGCTTCAAAATTTACCCCTAAGAAATGAGAAACCACTACAACACCTGCACACATCATCACATGTCATCGCGAGCACTTGCAAAAACAACATTAACATTATAGCAGACACTTTAAAAAACAAATTTTAGCCACTAGACGTTTCTGACAGGGTATTTGAGTATTAATGAGTGTCAGAATGTTGCAGAACTACTGTAAGAGTAATTATTAGGGATTAAAGATAAAAAATTTAGCGGTTTTTATTTTAGCTTTTTTTATTTATTTATTTATTTTTTTTAAGCATGACGGTAAAACAACAATGCAGTTATGAACAATTAAAACATACGTATGCTTGTTTGTTGTAAAAAATTCATAATAATTACAAACATATACTAATTTGTGCATCTCTTTACTTTTGTGTGCAGCCATTCTGCCGTTGTAGGTGGTGTTTTCTGGGAAATTTTCCTACCCCTTGGTTTCAAGTGTGGTCCTGAAAAATCTTTGTTTCGATGGCTATCTGGGCCTTCCCATTGGCCATACGGCTTCAAGTAAAGAGAATTGGGACACACCTACTCCTTCACGCGCAAAAACAAGGGGTAGAGGGAAGGGCTAAGCGGGACAATAACTGTATGTATTCAATATCTCCAATCAGATTTTTTTACTTCCACACATCTTGCTTCCAAAACTACAATTGTGTCCTACTAAAAATAAATCCAACAATATCTACAAAAAATAAAACTTGAGGTGAAAACTTGCATTGGCATCCAGATTTGAAATAAGTCTGCTTTTAAAAAAGCAATGAAGAAAGCAATAAAGAAAAAGCACAACCACACTGAACGTGTCTTTTGTTGTCTACAGTATAGATCCTACTGTATGTCTCAGTATCCCTGCAGGCTGCTGGTTTGCAAGTGTTTCTGAGACCTACATGCAGTCATTTCACTCCTAATCAAGCAAGAGTGAGAGTAGCAGGAGGTATAAACTCTCATGAGAGATGATGGAAATCTGTGTGAAACAGTTCCTATGTCTAAACTCAGTATACCCACAGCAGCCCCTCAACACTCATTTATGCTGACCAAGGAGAAGCTTAGAGAATTACAATTCTCTGGAATGTCAAAGCAATTCATCATTACAGAGTGTCATGAGACAAAACGTAACTGTCTCAATATGCAAACAAAAACTGAGACATGATGTACCAAAACAAACCACATTGTGTTGCAGGACATTTGCAAGGAGCTATGTATTGTGTACTTAAAACTAAAGCTGATGGTTTGGATTCAAATACGCATGCAATCAGTCTAAATTATCGAAATTTGCTATAATGTATTTTTATTAAAGGTGCAATATGTAAGTTTGACACCAAGTGGTTGAACTAGGTATTGCACTCCTGGATCAAAACAAATGCAAGCACAGGTTGCCAGATTGAGGACAGGAGCGAGTGATTTAAACTGTGTTCCTAATAAAAGCAGCGGCACCCGAGAGAAGGAATTACTTCCATATTAAAATTAGTTTTTGTCCTAACCAACACCTCAAATTGATATCTTACTCACATGTGAGCAACAGTGGTAAATGCTAACAATGTGAGTTTGAATGGCTTTTTACAAGACATTTATTGCCATACTACTGAAAGCAGCAGCAGATCTTCAAAATAAAATAAACCGTTTGAAATTGAACTAAAGAACTAAACACATATAAGTGATTCGGCATGTACATTTAATAATGTTAAAGGGTATTAAATGTATGTAAAAAAAAAAAAATGTATTAAACAGATTATAAACCTTACTATTTCTTGAGTGAGTGGATATTCTGTGCTTCTGATTGGCTGTATCTGTTGCAACCAGCCAAATAGCACTGCATATCTCATCATGAAGTGTATTGGTAGGATAAGAGGTTACAATGTGACTTGCTCAACTAATGTTTAAATTCGTATTATTTATAACATTTGCTAATTAATAACCTCATATGGAACTGAATCTGTCTCATTTTGGTCACGGACGCATGCTTTCAGTGCCTTTCTGAATGAATGAATGGAATACGCAGTTTTCCACCAAGGCAACCCCGGTTGCTGAAATATATATGAAATATATGGAATTGGCAGGTTAAAATTACCAAAACAAAGGCAGCTGTTCCAGCATGGAATCACATTTTCCAAGCAGAATATCTGACTTCAGCATTGTTTTTCAGATAAACAAACACCACAATATGTGGTGACAAATAATTCAAGGCATTTTTCAAAAATGCTGATCCATTTAGTATGCGTGAGATCAAACTGAGATTCAAAAATAAATGTAAATAATTTGATTAAAGATTTTAACAGAACTTCTAGTAATTTATAGAAAGTTATTGTGTTTAGTTGTTAAAAATAGAAGAATCATGACTTTTATTTTATTTCCAATTAGGGTTGTCTAAAGCAGGGGTGTCAAGCTCAATTCCTGGAGGGCCGCAGCCCTGCAGAGTTTAGTTTCAACTCTGCTTCCACACACCTTCCTGTAGGTATCAAACAAGCCTAAAGCACTCAATTAGTTTGATCAGGTGTGTTTGATTTGGGTTGGAACTAAACTGTGCAGAGCTGCGGCCCTCCAGGAATTGAGTTTGACACCTGTGGTCTAAAGTATTGGGTTCGGTATCAACCAGTTCTGAAATATTTAAACGTAAAAACCAACATTTTAGCGCTGTTGAGCATGTATTTAAATATTGCCGATAGGCCATTGCGTTCACGCTCAACAGAAATGACTGTGATTGGCCATGAAGGTCATTGGTTCACTATTCTTCATTGCTGTTCACCAAGTGCAAACACAGATATACCAGCCTGATCTCTCTAGAAGACAAGTATTTAACATTTTTGTCAATTTAGTGGCTAATTTGTATGAATTGGTATGAGTTCAGTTGTATGAAAATTTCCAATTTTAAAAATGAGGTGTGGCACCCAACCTCGCCCCTAAACCCAACCATCATTTGGGTGATAAGCAAATCGAACTAAATTGTATAGATTAAATCATACTAATTAGCCACTAAATCAATTGCAGTGAGATTGTGTTGGACACACTGACACTGGAGTGAGAGCAAATGAATACAATGGCCAATCAGCAATGTGCGCTTAACAACACTCAAATATTAACAGGAAATGGACGTTTTTACAATTTAAAATTATCAAACTCTATACTTTTGACAACCTTACTTCAATGAATATCACTGCTTTATTTATTGGGAAGAAAAAAAAACTAATTATTTGTGCTTTTTTTCATTAAGCTTTAGTTTTCTGTCTCAAATCTCAGTTACATGACTTAACATACTGTCCAAACGGCAAAACCAAATCAACAGTTAATTAGAAATGTCTCACCTGCTTAAAGTAAATATAGAGTAGTTTTACTGAGAAACAAGGAAAGCTAAACCTCATACTTATGAACGAGTTTTGAAAGAGCCATCAGTGGAATACAGTAAACTCTGACTAATGCGTTTTTGTGCAAACAGAAGTCAATCATTTCTGCTACATGAAGCATATCTGAGATAGGCCAATAACAACATATGTTCAAAGTCCAGAGCTACTTAACAAGCAACAACAGACAGAAAAAATGCAGCCAAGCAGGTCTCTCTCTTTGTACATTCACTTTATCACATTGCAAGCACTGGTTGCTTTGTTTTGTAATAGTCTCAAAAAAACTACTATGATTAACAACCAGAAAAAAATAAACAAGAAACATAAATGACAACACTGAAAGCAAACATGGCTTTTTTTCATGCACACTCACAGAATTTATTATAGTATAGGTGTTAAACTGAAGTGAAAATAACAAAGCATATTTATCATATTGCCCTTAATCTGTTTCACTTAATCCAGTTCATCTTTTTTGATTTATTACATCCTCAAAGGCTTCAGTAGCACTTTCTTAAAACACTGTGTAGACATACATCTTCTACATGATATATAAATTATCATAACGCTTTATTCAGCAGTATGCACAGTCAACTGAATAAAGCATCAGATCGAGAAAAATGTCACATTTACTGTAAGCCCTTACAGGGATATTATTATAAGCTATTTACCTATAATCATATTCCTCTCCTGCCAAGATGAGAAAATAAAGACTTGTAGGTGTACTCAGAATTTTAAGAATGAATCGCATAATTTTATGTATTATTTATTTGAATTATTTGCCATACTTAACTGAAAGTGTATCATATCTACATAATAATGTGATCTATACACATGAATCAGCTCTTTAAAATGCTAAAAGTGTCTCAACTGCACTGTAGACCATCAAATGATGGAGAAAGGCATTATATCTGTGCATATTTCCAATTTGCTGAAATATGATGCTCTTTTCCATAATTTTATATTCATTCAATGATTG